AGTCTTACTTCACTAGATAAAGTTATATCTGAAAATAAATGTGTTTTTGGTAACTCAGGTTTACTAAATGATAGAACAGTGAAGTTAAGCATTAAAGATACAAATCCAAGATACTGCAAAGCTAGAGTTCCACCTTATGCAATGAGGAATAAAATTGAAAATGAGCTAAGTAGATTGGAATCTAATGGCATTATAAAGAAGCTAGACTATTCCGATTGGGCGACACCCATTGTGCCAGTGTTAAAGAAGGATGGTTCTATAAGAATTTGTGGAGACTACAAAACTACACTGAATAAGCAAATAGAGCTAAATAGGTACCTTATACCTAACATTGAGGAAATTTCTTTGAATTTGGCAGGAGGAGACAAATTCACTGAATTAGACTTTAGTCATGCTTACACTCAACTAGAACTGCATCCAGATTCAAAAGTCTATACGACAATAAACACACATAAAGGACTCTACCAATATGAAAGACTATGTTTTGGCATATCATCTAGCCCTGGAATTTTCCAAGCTGTCATGGACAGTATTTTTAAGGACATTCCAAATGTTTGTGTGTACTTTGACAATGTGTACATAACTGGTAAGAATGACACTGAACATCTTAAAACACTTGATAAAGTATTGAAAATTGTTGGTGAAAAAGGTTTAAAGATAAACAAAGATAAATGTCAATTCATGCTGACAGAAATTAGTTTTCTTGGTTATATATTGAGCAAACAAGGCATCAGGCCTCAACCTGAGAAAACAAAAGCAATTAAAGAAGCACCCAAACCTGAAAATACCCAACAACTAAGAGCTTTTTTGGGCTTGATAAATTACTATGCAAAGTTCATAGGGAATCTGTCTGGTAAACTATCACCACTGTACAAGCTGCTACAGAAAAATGCAACTTGGCACTGGAGTAAACAACAAGAAGCTGCTTTTAACACAGCAAAAGAGGCTTTGTCTGCTGACACCTTACTAACTCACTATGACCCAGGGAAAAGACTTATATTAACATGTGATGCTTCACCAGATGGTGTAGGAGCAGTCTTGTCCCACATGGATAAGAAGGGTGACAGACCCATTGCTTTTGCCAGTAGATCTTTGAACCAGGCTGAGAAAAATTATTCTCAGTCAGATAGGGAAGGCTTAGGCATCATTTTTGGTGTTAAGAAATTTCATAAGTTTCTGTTTGGTAGGAAGTTCACCATCTTTACAGATCATAAACCATTGCTAGGTTTATTTGGAGAAAACAAAACCCTACCTGAGCATGCCTCACCAAGAATTCAAAGATGGGCTATCACACTAACTGCATACAATTATGAATTGAAATACAAACCTGGATCTGAGAATAGTGCAGATAGTCTTAGTAGATTACCTTTAAAAAACCAAAGCCTGAGCTATGTACCAGAAGATGTATTTGTTCTCTTCACTATCATGGATAACTCCAATATAAATGTGAATGATATTAAAAGAGAAACACAAAAAGATGAGTGCTTAATAAAAGTATATGAGTACTGTAAGAATGGTTGGCCTGAAGAGTCAGTGAATGAGGACTTAAAGCCATATAAAATAAGAAAAACAGAGTTAAGTCTAGAAGATGGATGTATACTATGGGGGTCAAGAGTAATTATCCCCAAAATGTTACAAAAAGAAGTTTTAAGAACTTTACATGATACTCATCTTGGTTCTTCCAAAATGAAGAGTCTAGCAAGATCATGGTTCTGGTGGCCACATATGGATGCTGATATTGAAAAATATGTAAAACTTTGTTCAAGCTGTGCACAACATTCAAATCAACCAGCTACAGCACCTTTGCAAAACTGGGACTGGCCAATCGAACCATGGAAACGTATACATATAGATTTCGCAGGACCTTTCATGAACAAAATGTTCTTAATTGTTATTGATTCACATTCTAAATGGTTAGAAGTTAAAATCATGAACACAATCACTGCAAATGATACCATTATAGAACTTAAGGAAATATTTTCAACTCATGGATTACCAGATCAAATTGTTTCAGATAATGGGCCTAGTTTCACAGCTCATGAGTTTAAACTGTTTTGTGTGGCAAATGGTATTGAGCATATAACCACATCCCCCTATCATCCTGCTGGGAATGGTTTGGCTGAAAGAGCGGTAGGCATATTCAAAACCGCTATGGTAAAAATGAATACCGGTAACAAGTTTTCTCTTAGAGAAAGAGTAAACAGGTTCTTAACCAAATACCGCACAACTCCTCATATAACAACAGGTGTTGCACCATGTGAATTGCTATGTGGTAGGAAAATTAAAACTCATCTTGACCTACTACATCCAACTGTTCAAAGGTCTGTTTCCCAACATCAACATACACAAAAAGTAAATCATGACAAATCATCCATTGAAAGAGAATTTGCAGTTAATGATAATGTGTATCTAAGAAATTATGGGAGAAGGGAAAAATGGATACCAGGTCAAATTGTTCAATGTACAGGACCTGTGTCTTATAAAGTAAAAACAAATGATGGACTTATTGTCCGTAGACATGCAGACCAGTTAAAAATAACTTGTGCAGATAATAAGTGTGAATCTATCAATCCCACCAAGTCTGATCAGTTCACACCAACTCAGTTTGTTCCACAACCAAGTTCTGTTGATATGAGTGAACCAAGTTGTCTGGAGTCAGAAAATGTAAATTCTGGAGTTAATGATTTAAATCCTAGACCTCCTGAGATAGAGAATCCAGATGGTCAGAATCTTGAGTCACCAAATCAGAAGCCACTGAGAAGGTCAAGCAGGACAATCAAAGTCCCAAATAAGTTAGACCTATGATTCTAAAGGTCAAAAGGACTTTGACATTATTGTTTTGTATTTTGATTATGTTGTAGCATATTGTGCATTGTTTGTAAGGATGTAATCTACCATAGTGTTCATGTTACAATATAATTAGTGATTTTAGGATACTATCAATTGTTCTATTGAGAGATGTGTTATTGTGTTCTAAGGGTAAAGGGATGTAATAGATTGAAATAATTGTGAGGTCAAGGGAACTCACTCTTCTGTATTAGTTATATTTATAATATTGTTATCTTGAGTGATGTCCCTGGTGTGCTTCCTCTCGTCCTCTCTGTGTGTTACCATCGTGATGTAGTTAGACCCATTAAATGTGTTATATACAACCACAGGCTTCTGTCGTCAATCTATTATAAAAACGTTTTTTATGAATTTTTTTACAAGCTTTTATTTAACTCACTTCCTCTGTCGTCAGTCGTCAGTCTAGATAGAAACGCAGGAGTGAAAATTCGGACAGTTCTACTTGACCGATACGATTCACAGTTGGCACGTGGGTCAAGACATGAAGACAATGCAATCTGAAACTAAATTTGACTTAATTGGATGCCTAATTAATTTTTTATTAATTAATTAAAATTTGGACCGAATTAGTAGGCATGTCTAGCCAACCACACCACACGCGTCATCACCTTCAATAGCTGCGCCATCACGTAATGGCTGCGTTCAAAAACATTGCGCGCCTACTGAACGTGATGTTCAGTAGGCGCGCAATGGTTTTTAGTCATGTAACTCTATTGTAAATAAAACATGTAAAGTACTGAAAAAAATAAACCGGGAGTGATCTCCCCAAAACTTTCTCGAATATTCTTATATAAAATAACAGGGGATGGGAACTCGGGCTATAGACATGATTTTTAATCCATTTTAAATACTTAAAGTTTTAAAAATAGAATAAAATCTCGTAGACAAATTAATTGCTCACCAAGTGAACGCGAAATAAAAAAGCGCATAATAGTGCGCAATATTATTATTACTTTTAAAATTTACATTAGTTTTTTGAGAAATCGGAAGTAGCGTAAAGTACTACTTCCAGTCAACGGAAATGACTCAAAATTTAATAGAAGGTAGAGAATTAGATCTTTTACTTACGTATGAAATTTCTTTTATCTATCTGAAATAGTACTCAAGTTATAGGCTTTTGAAAAATTCAAAGTAGGAAAAGTACCACTTCCGGTTATCGGAAATCGCTCAAAAGTTGATACGGATCTACGATTTTGATTAAATACTTATATATGAAATTTCATCAACCTAGCTGTAACGGTACTCAAGTTATCGTGTTTACACACGGACACACACACACACAGACACACACACAGACACACAGACATACGGACAAGATTGCAAAATTATGTTTTTCCGTATCAGTGAGATGTAAAACGTCGAGATTTGCAAAAATCTCGATTTTTTTTTTTTGCACGATTACAAGACTTTCTCTATACTTCGTATATACGAGAAAGTAAAAATTCATAAAAAACGTTTTAATAACAAGCTTTTATGTAACAATGCACTAAAAAGTAGAAAATAAATTATAGACTACTATTTAAATAACTATAAAGAAAAGCATGGGTGTCTTCCTTAACATTAGTAAAGGTATCCAATAGATACTAAAGTGACCCACGCTTTTCTTTATAGTTATTTAAATAGTAGTCTATAATTTATTTTCTACTTTTTAGTGCATTGTTACATAAAAGCTTGTTATTAAAACGTTTTTTATGAAATTTTTTTTATCTATTTGCTAAACTAACAGCTCTCTTTTGTTGAAGGAATGTAACTAGTGACGCTTTTAAAATAACTAGTATTGCCAGTAAGGCATATACAAAAATTATTTTAATTGTTGTGGTAAAGACATTATAACCTTCTTGGTTATGCTGCTATAATAGTATAATCAAGGAAGGCCCAAGGACCGGACTGTGCAATGAGGCGGTCGTATCAGCTGGCATCATAAATAGTAGTAGTTACGGCATAAACGTCCAAATTAAATATAACGAATGTTATTTTTTTATATTAAAAAAACGTTTTGTTTCTTTTCATCTAACACAGATTCGCATTAAGAAAATTTCAACACTGAATCAAATAATGCTTTTACAAAGCAAACATTTGAGAGCTGTAAAAACCTGGATATTTGACAAGTTTTATAAATATTTATCTGGCATTTTTTTAATACCAAAGTAAACAATAACAAATGGCTCAAGCAGACTTTGATAGCGGAACTGTGACTCTGCAAAATTGTATTTTTATGACGTTGGTCTTATCCTGGTATGATGAAATATTTTTTTGAAATAAAGATAGCTGGTCTACCCTTCATTCCAAGTCAAGGAACGATTTTGGTATCCATTTTACGCTTTATTAATATATTTTCCAGGCATTTTTCATGTGTGAGAAATCTGAACGTTTTCGCCTTTGCTAAGGAAACTGATGGTAAAAGTTCTGCTGAATGTTTTAGAAGATTGTCCAACTTAAACAAACAACACATAGGTTTAAAATGCTGTAAGTCTACCAACGTTCTCCCTTGCCATACTGATGTAGAATTTGTAGAACCGTACTGTTTAAATAATATTGACTGCTTGATTCCCTGGCAATTTTACTGGTATTCAACATCACCACGGGAGCACTTTGTGTCAGCAAAAAACTATTTCACGCATATTCACCATTCTCGTGATACAAATAATAAAGATATCGGTTCTACCCATACCTTGAAAACTCACACATCAACAAAAATGGATTTATCAGATTCTTCTTGTAAAAGTCTACCTGATCATTTGACCGTACATGCAGCCCATATAACTGAAGTTCATAATGTTCCAATGCAAGTTCTGATACGTCCAATCCCATCAATACTGGATGAGGAAAAAGTTGTCTCTTTAATGAAAACTATTGAGGTAATACTTTAATATAGTATATTAAATATATAAAAATCTTTTTATCCTATGCTCAACGATTATAAGAGTTTTAATTAATTTTTTAAAATACTTTTTTTTTTAGAATTTTTATTGTAATGATATCAATATAAACTAAACAGTTTAGCATATGCACTCATATTTGCTATGCCTATTACACCTAATGATTGTAACTTTTACTAGGCAAATGTTTTTTAGTGGCATAGGTAGGAGTGTGTTGGGGGCTGGGGGGGTGTTATGACCCCCACTAAGACAACAGTCTCATGTCAAGTTACAGCAATTTCTGATGGTGCACTAGTTTTGATAATTTTTTAAACACCCACCAAAGACAAAACACCACCTATGTCACTGCACAGCAATATCATGATGGTGTAAATTGCGAAATTGTTTTCTCTAGGACCCAGATACAAGAGACAATGTTCCACCAATTGACATCTTGTGGATCACTGGCAGAGAAGGGGGCGACTATTACTATTCTTTTGGTGGCTGTCACAGATATGAAGCATACAGAAGGTTAAAAAAAGAAACTGTTCCGTGTAAACTGTTTAGATCTACAGTGGACGATCTGCGTACCTACCTGGGTGCTTCAACACCTGATTTGTTATAGACTGAGTGATCCAGTGCATAATTTTTTTCACATGTTTTCTTACTCGGCATATTTCCATTATATTAAATTATCATGTCTATGACATAGCCTATTTATATTATTGTGATACATTTTCTTGTATTTGTTTTTTTTTAAAATTGTTTTTGAAGGATCCATTTACTTTTTATCTCACAGTTTGCAGAAAAGTTTTTTTTGGGTTAGGATTTGGTTAGAAAAATGATAGGCTTCTAGGACTATGAGATAGAGAGAATAATCCAGTCTTATGTTAATTTTCCTGAATTGCAGTTTCATTACTAAATGTAAACTTAACTCACCTATACATTTTCTTCTCCACATAAATTTGTTATATTAACTTATAGTTGCTCAAATATTTCATTAAAGTGTTAAACCAGAATCATTACAATGTTTTAGTTGTCAATTTTTTTTATTAATTTTAAAAATAAAATGAGTCTCTAGTGTGAATTACTTTCCATATACACAGTCTGTTTGTAAATGGGAAAATCTACATTTATTGTTTAGGAAAAAAAAACCTTTTTATACACTATTTAGTTTAATACATTCAGAGGTCCTTCACAATGTACAGAATAACAGAATATGAATTAAAGATTTCTTAAAAACTTGATATTACACAATGGAGAACAATAACGTAAGCACATGATGATAAATTCTCATTTCTGTGTATACGCTGTTGCTATTCCTGTTTGTTTTTGTCAACTATAGACTGTGTGGTGCCTCCCCACTCTCATGGGAAACTTGTTATTCCTGCTGGTATATGTCAACTATAGACTGTGTGGTGCCTCCCCACTCTCATGGGAAACTTGCTATTCCTGTTTGTTTTTGTCAACTATAGACTGTATGGTGTCTTCCCACTCTCATGGGAAACTTGCTATTCCTGTTTGTTTTTGTCAACTATAGACTGTGTGGTGCCTCCCCACTCTCATGGGAAACTTGCTATTCCTGTTTGTTTTTGTCAACTATAGACTGTATGGTGTCTTCCCACTCTCATGGGAAACTTGCTATTCCTGTTTGTTTTTGTCAACTATAGACTGTATGGTGTCTTCCCACTCTCATGGGAAACTTGCTATTCCTGTTTGTTTTTGTCAACTATAGACTGTGTGGTGCCTCCCCACTCTCATGGGAAACGACTCGTTCCACTCTGATATCCCAGCAGGGGCCGTGCTAGCCAGTGGGACGGTGTTGGGTGGGATTGGATAGTAGGCTTGGATGCTGGCCTGACAGGCCTTTTGGTGGGCCACTCTGTTACGAGCATCCATAATCCGTTCATTGGCCTCCGTCAGCATTTTAGTGTCAAGCGCAGCTTTGGCTACAGCTGTCTCTGTCTGGCGCATCAGTAGTCGATACTCCATAAAGTTTTTCACTGCGTCCCTCTGCTCTATTTCATTCATCTGAAATTGAATATTATCTTAAATTTGTATATCTCTTGTTTGAAATTTTAAAAATTCTATTAATTGTAAAACTATAACTTAGCACTTTAGCCTAAAATATTTTATTTAATGTGTTGGGTAAACCCTTCCCTTGCCATCAGCGGTTTTTAAAAACATAGTCATTTTATAAATTTTAATTACTACTTTTAAGTAAGAGTGATCTATAATTTAAGTTTTGTTTTGTTACTGAAATTTTAAACTAGGGTTGGTTTTTTAAAAAGCTATATTTTCCCCACTGTTTTCTCAGCATCAACTTGCACACCTAAACACAGAAGACACTTTTTCATACAACAATGTGACCTAGATTATACCCTCAATTCTCAACAAAAAATTTTTTTTTTAAAGAATAAAAAATCTGCATGGATTTTTTAGGACAGGAAAGAACAACCTACAGACGAATTTTAAATTATATCAACTTGCTCAAATTATTTAAATCATTTGCCTAGAACAAAAGCATTTAACATTGACATATGAGAGACCACCACAACCCACCTTAGCAGTCGTCACTTTGTTCCGTCTGTGTGTCCTTGTGTCTTCCCATTTTGCTTGCCTGTCATGTCTCAACAAAGCTTTAGACACAGAGGTGTGCTGGGAGTTAAAATCTAACATAAAAGAGTGGTTGGCCCTGAACAGCTTGTTGATGTCTGAACTCCTCACCTGAATACAATTAGAAAATGTTGAAATGAAAATAAAGAACAGTTTTTATCAAATTTGATGAATCTAATATCTTACAAAGTTACAAGACCACTTTGTTGACAATAACTTTGTAAAAAACTAAAATGATTACAGTAGTAAGAAATACTTCATTGAATAATGCAATATCAAAATCATGTTTTTGCTTGAATCAAATATCTTACAATGTTACAAGACCACTTTGACAATAACTTTGTAAAAAACTAAAATGATTACAGTAGTAAGAAATACTTCATTGAATAATGCAATATCAAAATCATGTTTTTGCATGATATTTTACCATTACATGGAAATTAAAAAAGTACACATACACTTCTTAGATTGTAAGCAATTGAGACAAAAACTATGGCTGTGTATTAAAATACCTGTATAACTTATCTCAGAGTCAATGCTTTTTACCTTGCGCTCCTGCTGCTTGTCCATAAAGTTCAGCCTCTGAAGCTCTTTCTTCTCCAACAGCTCTAGCAGCTGGGACTTCTCCAGCTCCCTGGCCTTTAGTATCTGAGCTCTCCTTTGGTCGTGGTACATGCTGATTCTGTCCTTGGCTCGTAGTCTTTCTTCTCGCAAGCCCAAAATATTTTCCATCCTTGCAGCAGCTCTTTCAGATTTTTCTCGCTCCTGTTTGGGAATAGCATGGATATTAAGAATATAAAATGTTCATTTAAAGAGTAAACAGTTTGAGTGTGGTCTTTGAGTAACCTTTGACCTTAAACCTATGTGTTGCTGTTTTAAAAAAGAAAATGTGCCCCAATTATCTTTCTATGTGATTTATTTAATTAATTTATTGTTTACTAAAAGTTGTTAAAATTTTTTATATGCCTGTTACAAAATAATTCATAAAAAGGTTCATTTAAAAAAAACTAAAACTTGAGCTAATCTGTAATCAATTTAAAAGTCATCCATTTATGACTACACAAGGGAAGGGGTGCAGTCTTAGGAAAGTGTACTCATCAACTGGGGAGAGGGAGTTCGGGTCTTTGCTGATGTCCACATGTTAAATTTAACATTAATAAATTTTTTGTGCTTGATAAAAAATGAAGTCACAATATTACATATTTGCAGACATCAAGAACAGTTGGGGAAAGGAGGTTAAGCTGGGGAGCAATTTAAGTTTTTAGTGGATGTCATAAGTGTATAGCTTTTTAAAACAATATTTCAAACCTTGTATGCTTTATGTACAGCTAGAAGATTGGAGAATCCCATAGTTCCTTGTGCTCTGTTGAAAAACCTTTGCTCATTGTTGGTGAAGGTATATGGGTCTGCTTTAGGCTAGGAAAAAAAATGTCCCAGTTTTTAAATAACATGTTTAAAACTAATTCATAATCTATTTAAAATTTGCTAGCTTGACAAATTATTGATGGCATTAAATATAAATTTTTGAACATGATTCTAGTAAGTGATTACAAAAAAACTAATAAATTGAAATGTTCAACTAGATTAACTCAAAGCTGTGTTTTTGCATTTTTATCTCCACTTGGTGCACTTGAAATAAATAAATAAATTTGGGGGGGGGGGGGGGACTAAATTTTTCAGGGGGGGGGGGCAGATACTGGTAAAAGTGTATAAATTATTAAGTTTCCATTTTCTATTTTTATATAAATTCCATTCAGTTTGGGGAATGGTAGATGTTCTTCAGGTGGAGGGGGGGGGAATGAAAGAGATTCAAAGCACTAAATTAACAAGTGAATAACAACCTTAGGTTTGAAGAGTTCTTTTGTCAACCTGTTTGTCTCTGCTTCTCTAACCATCTGCCCAGCTTCTTTCTTACTTAGGATCATCTCTGTGGTGGCATCCCCCACATACAACTTGGGTTTTTCACCTGAACATATAGTAAACATTATCATCCAAAGTTTTTGAATGAGAAATACACATTCAAATAATTTTTTTCATTGTGGTGGAAAATGTAACTTGCAAACCTGACTCATATTAGGGAAAGTAAAGTCAGTTGGGCAAAGAACTGACCACTCAATTAATCTACAAGTCGAGGTCACTGTAACTGGTTTACTCTACTTCATTTGCACTACACAACGAAAAGTATACAACACTTTTTATACTTGTCAATTAAAGAAGTAGAGCTTTAGACTTGATGATCAGTAAGATTTACTTTGCTCCAAGCCAGATGTTCTAGTGACCATGGGGTGAGCTGAGGCTGTCCAGGGTTTTGTCTTAACATTTTTAGAGTTATGACCCACATAATGAAAGTTCTATGGAGTAGCACAGAGGTTATACAGCAGTTTAAAAAGTGAATAAAATAAAGTGAAGGATCTTCACCTCTCAGTCTGAAGCCAGTTCTAGAGACCTCCATCTCTTCGTCATCTTCATCAGGTTCTGTAGACAGAATGGGGCCAAAAAATTGTTTGACGTCCTTGATTCTGGTTTTCTTTTGCTTCTGTTTGATCAAATTAATAACAAGAACAATTATTTTTTTCAAAACCAAATGCATAACAAAAATTGTTTTTATTTATTAGTACTGCAGATTTGTTTTATAAATAAATAATTGGCATTGTGTAATTTAAATTTACTAAATGTGTTAAAGTGGTTTAGATTAAAGGATTGTGAGACCAGCAAACATTTTCTTTACACTTTAGATACATGTTAGCTACGGAGAGGTTAAGTCAACTAGATAGTTCAGCAGCATTCATATAAGCCCCCCCCCCCCTTCATGATTCATTTTAATTTAACAAATTCATTAAAGAAAAACATTTTCTTTTTTAAATGAATTAAATTTTACCTCTTCTTTATCTTTTTCTCTTTTCATTTTTTTCTCTTTACGATGTGAGTAGTTAAGCCCCATGTCACCATGTTCAGCCATCATTGTCTCCATAGCACTGCTGTCTGCAAGAAGGTTTGACATGGTTCCATGCTCCAGCTTTGTCATGTTGATTTGGAAGTTACCATCCTCACACAGAGATGGCAATGATACCAACTGAGTTAATGCCTATAGGATATTTAATTATTTTGGCTGAGAAAACTATTAGGCTTTTACTTTAGTAAGTCAAACAGCATTAAATTAATAAGGTTTACTTCAGTTTTAAAAACTTAGTTAATGACTAGAGGCAGTGGCGTCACGAGGTCAGGTGGCACCCCCCCCCCCCGCGACACCTCTGACTAGAGGATAAAGCAATCACCTCAACAGGTACTATAGAGCCAGGCCTACGGTTCCTCATGTAAGTGTCATAATCCACAGCTTCACCAGCCAGAGTTGTCCTCACAGAGTCAATCAAAAATACTGGAGTACCAGGAGGTGGGATTACCTCCCTTGGCCTAACACCTTTTGGTTTATTTCTGATTGCTAGCCTGATTCACACAAATAATTGAAATATTTTTCAAATAAGCAAATCAATAAAATCATACATTATTCTGTCCCTTTAAAAAATCTCAAGAAAAATAGTAGATCTTATATTTATCTTCTAGTTTGAAAATAAGATTGTTCAGCTTATTTTTTCACAAAAAGATTATCTACTTTTTAAAAATTTTAAATACTACAATAAATACTGTTAGTAAAAAAAATAGGACATTACACAACTGTTGTTTATTTTTTTAAATTTAAATGAGGTCATATTGTGGTCAGATTATCTGGACCCTATTTGTAATCACATGAATAAATGTGCATGTTATTGTGATATAGACTAAACCTGATGGCAGATTTTTTTAAAAACTTTACCTGAGTTATACAGCACTCACATAAACATTATGCTCCCATGTGTTCTGAGAACTGATGGGAAAAGATGTTAAAGCCATGTACAATAAATGTGTGAGAGTTACCTTTTCTTCCTGATTAGAAATCCTCTAACAACTCTCTGGACAATGAGAACAGGGGAGTGTTTGGCCAGGATTGAGTTCACTTTAGCATTGACAGAGTGAAACAATGCCATCTCTTGAGAGTAGGTTGTTTTCTGATCACAAGGATTGTCAACATTGTTTCAAAATTATATAAACATGCATCAAATAGGTGTGAAGATAAACATTGAAAAATGGTGGCTATTTTTAATTTTTAGAAATTCTTACATGGCTGGATTGATGAGACACATTTATTCTGAATGGAGGACTGAGCATCTTGAACCTGCTACTGAACACAGCATCTTCAATGATTTCCTCGTCAGAGATGACATGTTTGTCCAGAGCTTTCAGTGTCAAGATGCTGTTGACAACATGATGTCTGGGGAGAAAAAAACATCATTATAGATATAAATTAATGGAGTTTTAAAAAAAAAAAAACATTATAAATTAATGGAATTTATACCTGTATTTAAAAACATCATTTTAAATTATGGGAATTTTACAATGTATTTAAAAAGATTCATTATAAAATAATGGAGTTTTTAAACTGTGGTGTTTGTTGATGTTTGAATGCAATTTAAGATTTTAATAATTAAAAAAAATGTTTAACTAAATTTAAGATCTATTATTCCTTTTATTTTGAAAATATATGCCAAAATTACAGCATAATGTAAGATTATTTCACTTAATGCATGCTAGATCAAACAATACTAATAACATTAAAACATTAAACTGGTACTTTTATTGGTTATTTAAAAACAATTAAAGACATTTTTTATTGAATGAATAATCATTGCATACCTGTAGTTCTTTTTTAGAGAAAGTGGAGTGTCATAGAGTGTCAAAATGGAGAGACAAGGAGAGGAGCTTAATATCTGGAGTGTCTCAAACTTTCCAATAGGGTTGTCATGGAGATATAGTGTATGTAACTTGAGTAGACGTCCCCAAAAATTAGGTCCAGGTATAGCATTGAGCTGGTTATTTGGTGAAATAATTAATATTTAATGAACAGACTAAACATTGTGCTTGTCAAAGCAATAAAATTTGGTGAAATAATTAATATTAATTTTATTATTTTAATTTTTTAAATTTTATTTCTTTTATTGTTTTAAAAGCCACAAAATAATCCACATTTTGTATAGGACTGTTAAGTAAAATTAATGATGTGAGGAATGACAAATTCCAAAATTTTACTTAGGTACTTTTTGTACTTAAAACTTAGGCAGTCTAGCAGACCTACTAACAACACACGGACTGTTAAACACATTGCTTAATTATCAGTTGAGATCAATTGTTTGATTAAATAATTTCAGGTAAATTTGCTTCAGCAAAAATATTGAATTATTTTGATTTAGAAAACACTAACCAGACACAGTTTACAGAAAAAACAAAAATCAATATAAATTTATTTAAGATTCATGCATAATGAGGACTCAAATATTTTATACAGTCCACAATAACTGTGAAAATAAAATAGTCAATAAATTGAACAATATATTTTCTAATTTTTGTACATGTTTACCTGATTTGAATGAAGATCTAGCTTGATAAGTTGTGTACAAGTCACTAGGGAGTCAAACTTGGTGAGATAGTTGTTAGCAAGCAAGCAAATGGTAAGGTTGTTACATGCTTGTATATCACCCAGGGTTCTAAGGTGTAGCCCATTTAAACAAACAATTCGGAATTTCCTGATATCTTTTTCATCACTATTCTGCTCAGAACAGTATGATACTAACACATTTTCTGTAGGATTTAGAAAAAACCTGGAGAAGGGAAATGAAATAAGTATTGTGTTCTTTACAAATTAGCTTATACAAACATGGAATCTTTTATTTTTAATGGAAAAAGGATGCATTTAAAAATTAAAACTTGTTTTTTTTTAAACAGTATACATGCTCACAATACATGTTTTATCAACATGCTGGCATGACTTAGCGTTTCTTTCTGGCATCTCCTCAGATATAAAGGACATTTCTTTTAAATAAACAGCACAAACTTAACCCACCCCTTTACGCTGAAGCAAAATGGCTGAAAGAAACCCTGCTTATATTTTAAAATCAGTATATCAAGCTCTATTTGGATGTAGAAATTATCTCCCTTGCAAGAAGTAGTTGTAATTACTTTTTAGTTAATTAAAAGTACTTTACAGAAATCACTAATATAAGAAAATATAGAAGTATACTATGATGTGACACAGTAGCGTAGCGAGGGGGGGCGGGGGGGGGGGGACACATATGTCCCCGGGCATAGAAAAGTTCGAGGGGGGGGGGTGCAAATCGAAAGTTTGAGGGGGGGGGGTGCAAATGAAAAGTTCGAGGGGGGGGGTGCAAATCGAAAATTTTCTCCCAAGGGGGCGCCAAATTGAAAGTATGTCCCCGGGCGCCGGGAAGGGTCGCTACGCCTCTGATGTGACATGTTGTGCATTCTGAAAAATATACAAATGTTTTATTTTAATTATAGCTCTTTGAGGTTGGTGTTTTCTGTTTATTTTTGGGGTGAATTGGTCATTGTTATGCCACTTTAAGGACAAGGAGTGATTTGATTTTTGTGACAAGATGCGACAGTTAACTCTTATTAAAAAGTTGAGGTAGGGACTAATATATAATAGTAATAAATACTTTAAATAGCTAATTGTTATATTATAGAAAAATCCCTCTAACATCATTAAGAATTGTGTATCAACATTTTATGCTCTATTTGGCCATTTGACTCTGATTTCAACCAGCTTTCCTTTTTGGATTTGCGTTCATAGTAACGTGTTTGTCCACCCAAGAACAATCTGCAAGGAAGCAATTGTTTTATTTTGGAGTTTACTCCCCTAGAAGGGTTGCGGTCCCTACATAACAGGCAATATCTGCCTGGGGGTCTCAATTAGGGACTTTTGGAGATAAAAATTGTAAACTCTGCTCTCTCTGATCAAATCTTTCATATTCTGTTCAAAACTTTATGAAAATAATGTTACTTCATTTATCATTCTTACCCTGATTCTTCAGCTTGTTTAATCACTTCTGCTTCTTTCTGCTTGTAAAACTTATTTAAAAGTTTATGATTATCTTGTGGCTTGATCTCTGCTAGTGGAGCTATTCTTGCCCATTCAGGAATACTTACCATTTTTTTATTTCTTAGATGCTAAATATTGTAAATAATAAACATTTTAAATATGGCATGACATAATAATTTATAAGGAAGCGGGTTCAGAAAAAAGAAATCTAAGTTTATAACTTACGATGTAATTATATGATCAAATATCATGTGAATGTGCTGAATAGGAGTTATGAGAATAGTACTACTTTCTCTCTAGACTAGATATACTCTATATATTATATATATATATATATATATATATATATATATATATATATATATATATATATATACTCTATATTTACTCTATATTCTAATTTCTATAATTTTAAAATGATTTACTATTTACTTTACCATAAGTGTTTATCTATCTATTTAAAATAATTTAGATATGTAATTATTGTAGTTAGACTATTTTAAAATTTTAATTTATTTAACTGATGCTAAATGTATTAATTAGTCCTAGAATATTTAATTATTTATTAATTTATATTAATTATTAATTAAATAATAGAATCAATGATATAATTATAAATTATAATAATAAATTATTAATATTTAGGGCCTATTATTTTATAGAACAGATGTAGTATCGGCATTGATATTTTGTTTACTGTCCAATTATTAAGACCTTAGCTGGAAATTGAAAGGAATACGATAATTTTAAAATTGTACATACTGGTTAAAGAATAAAACATTTTATATAGGCCTAGATTCTAGCTTTAGATTCTTGATCTAGCAGCTGGGACAGAAGCCATTTTAATAAACGTTCTCATAGCGACAAGGGGACATGAATCTTAATTTATTTACAATTATATTAAAGTTTACCTTCTTTTGGTGAGAGCTGACAAAATGGCAGCTTACGTTTGGAAACATTTTAACTGCAATAAGAATCAACTATGCTTGGATACAGTATTAAATTGTGGTCAATCCTTTAGGTATAAAATCAATGATACAGAATGCCATATTCATTTCTGACCAATAAGCATAATGTATATTGTATAATGAATAATGTAGGCCTAATGAAATTGCTAGAAATTATCTAAAAAATAAAAAAAAAAAGAAGTGAAATTGAAATAGGCCTACTTAGTACTACTTTTTAATTATTTTTTTTTGGCTTTTTAAAATTTAAAGTAAAGGCTTAAATAATAATAATCATGCAAAATAGGCAAAACTAAAGATTTATTTTGTTTTAAATCCATTGCCATAAAAGGTGTTTGAATCATGCATACAGTGATTATGTATTTGTATTGCTAGTATCGTATGAGTATTTCTTGGTTCTACTAGTTCTAGTAATTCAATACCAAACTAAATCTTGACCCTAATGTACTAATCCTAACCTGAGTTTATTTCAACTTGCATTTTACAGGTGGAAAAAGAATGATCAAGGTGAATGGTTAGGTGTAATGGCTGGCATGGTTTGGAGACTGAAGCAGGCAAATGATCAGATCTTATATCAAGTTTATGGACCATCAAATTCAAAACATAGTACAAGATCTGCACCTGTATCAAAACTAAACGACAATGCTGATAAAGATGAAATTAAACAAGAACATTTAGACTTTAAAAATGTTGATTCTTTGGTTTCAAAAGACACAAAAGTAACAGGTAAAAGAAGAAAAACACCATTAGTTGCTACTTCAACAAAAACATTTAAAAAGTTCAAGATTGAAGATGTGGTGAAAGTTGAAAATGAAGTAAAGTGTGATGAACATGAAGTACAGCTGTTGCAGGATTATTTCCAACTGGATGTGGATTTAGAAGAATTGTACCAGCACTGGTCTTTAAAAGATCCAAATTTCCAAAAGGTGGCTGCAGCATTCACTGGCATTCGTATACTTCGTCAAGACCCCACAGAAAACCTTCTTAGTTTTGTATGTTCCTCTAACAATCATATCTCTCGGATATCCAGTATGGTTGAAAAGCTCTGTCTACACTATGGAAACTTTATCTCTAAGGTATTCACTAGAAGAAAAAAATTGAGTAACTAAGTTACTGAAACCAATTTTGTTTTTACTATTCAAACACATTTCACATCCCAAATTATAATGGCCACAATGTAAAAATTACAAAAGTTAAGTTACTCTTTTTGGACCTGATGGTCATTAGTGAAGATGATTGAAATAGTCTACTTGTATCTGTGACCTCAGCATATCATGGGGAAGTGTAGTCAGTTTAATACCCAGCCACCTTTCCCCAACAAGTGTCAGTATTGTCAGGTGCCTCTTCGATAACTCAGGGATGTCTTATGCTACTTGAGTTCAGGATCCATTCACTACATGTTTGAGTTAGAAGTTGTGTTCTATATTGCCCCTTTCAATTTTTGCACCTAATTTTTGTTTAAGGTAGACAACATAGATTACTACACATTTCCAGAGTTTTCTTGTTTGTGTGGGGACGATGTAGAGGCAAAGCTCAGACAGTTAGGTTTTGGCTACAGAGCCAAATTTATAGCAAGCATCGCCAGGAACATCACACAAGAGAAACCTGCGCAGTGGTTGGAGTCACTCAGATGGAAAAGTTACAGTGAGGCTAAAGCAGAGCTCATGACATTGTTAGGGGTGGGAGCAAAGGTAAAAAAATGTAATGAATCTTATATTACATTTAAATTTAATATAACTAACAGAGACTTTTTAATTAATTAAGAAAAATATGAAACACTTATTTTCCATAAGCCTTTTTAAAACTTTAACTAAATATATTTCTTTTTTCTTAAACAAATTACAATCTCAATTGTATTTAAAATGTTTTTTGAAATTTTTTAATACAGGAATATTAATGTACCTGTAAATTCACAATGAAACATAACAGTACCATAACCTTTCTGAAAACCTAGAAAATCTGAAGGGGAAATTCAGAAGTGTAAAAACTAATTTCCAATGTAAAAAAAAAGCATCCCCCTCGGAAGGCATAGAAATTTAAAATTGTTTGAGGAAGTTTTTACCATACTTTGTAAAACTAGGAAAATTATTTCAGAATATTTGCCGTTGGTTTGCTTAAGTAAGTAAGAAATATAGAAATATTTCATCTCTTGCAGGTAGCTGACTGCGTCTGTCTGATGTCACTAGACAAGCCTGGGGCACTGCCTGTTGACACTCACGTATGGCAAATTACCAGGAAGAACTACATGGCTAAACTGCAGACAGCTAAATCTTTGACTGACAAATTGTATCGAGAAATAGGTAAAAAAAAAATCAATTTTTCTTGTATTATAAAGAGAAACTTCATTTAGTGAAGAAGACTCCTTTTACGGCCTGACTATAATCCATAACATGCATATTTGTGGTCAGTAGAGTATTTCAGCTGAACACCCTCAGCTAACCATTGAGATCACTAGAGCAGTGTGATGCCTTGAGTGTCTATTTTTAAATCCTGTTTCCCGAGGGCTTATGCTATTGTGAAAGTAACTCTCCTTGAGTTCTTATAACAGCCACATCAGTGAAGAGTTGTGTATCCACCTTATTTATTTTCCTAGAGAGACTTAAAAAAATGAATATCAGGTTGTGAGATACAATACTTCCAGAGATGCCTGCCCATTTTGTACATGTAACAATGACTACATGTTTCTACATAATTAACTTGCAGGTGACTTTTACAGAAGTTTATGGGGACCCTATGCTGGTTGGGCTCACTCTGTAAGTTATTTTTCCATCTTTCCTCTATTAGTTAGTTGAATGAAGCCTATTTGTTTGACAAGCAATATATTTGCTATGCACATGTACATAAACAAACTTTTTACCCTTTCAATTTTAGGTGCTCTTCACCGCTGATCTCAGGCACAATAAAGAAAAGAACACAGAAGAGCTACACACTTCGACAGAGCACTGCTTGAAACCAAACTCAAGGGGGAAAAATCGGTCGCCCAATCACTTTGTCAAACACACAAAAAATAAAAAAGTCTGTTAAAATTTACTGGCGCATAAAGTTTATTTGGTCTCTGGCTGAATGCAATTTGCTGTTACTTGGCTATGGGTACTGGCTAGAGGTAAATGGTTTGTACATGTTTACATACATTGCAAAGTGTGGTTGTGACAAAATTTAACTACTACAAGTTTGTGACAAATTTTAACTTCAAGTGGATCTTAACGTTAAACAGTAACTTGCTGTAAGTGTGGTCAAAAACTTTAACTAATTTTCTTTAAGTGAGCTTTTAAAAAAGACAAATACTGTTGGAAAAAGTTATAACAGGAGTTAATTACAAAAATAATTTGATACTGGATTAGATAACATACGTAGACTGTCACAGAAAGGTATTGTACATCAAAATTCAAACTGTTACAATCAAAAGCAACATAAGTTAATGATAGCACAAGGATGTAACTCATTCATCAGTTTTGGTTGTATCAGAAAGTAGCTACTTGCATCCAGTGGATAAATTCCAACTGAATGTATCAGCTTGAGGATGGCTGATGAAATATTAATGTCAGTATAACTTAATAATTTTGTTTGGTGGGCTGTATATAAATTCCAGGATTAGTTTTAACGTGTAGGCATTCCAACTTCATAATAATCCTTCTCCAAGGCAGCCAAATCAATACGGGCATCCATGAACTCTGACTCATCCATGCCCTCCCCTACATACCAGTGTACAAAAGCTCTCTTAGCGTACATGAGGTCAAACTTGTGATCTAGTATAGCCCAGGCCTCAGCTATGGCAGTTGAGTTGCTGAGCATTACGGCAGCTCTTAAAACAGCGGCGAGGTCCCCTCCAGGTACTGTTGTGGGTGGTTGGAAATTTATGGCAACCTGTGGAATACACAAACAATTATTTTTAGCTTTAATTGGATGGTGTGGTCAGGTAGTGTGGGTGGTTGGAAATTTATGGCAACCTGTGGAATAGTTTTTTGACAATTATTTTTAGTTTTAATTGGATGGTGTGGTCAGGTAGTGTGGGTGGTTGGAAATTTATGGCAACCTGTGGAATAGTTTTTTGACAATTATTTTTAGTTTTAATTGGATGGTGTGGTCAGGTAGTGTGGGTGGTTGGAAATTTATGGCAACCTGTGGAATAGTTTTTTAACAATTATTTTTAGTTTTAATTGGATGGTGTGGTCAGGTAGTGTGGGTGGTTGGAAATTTATAGCAACCTGTGGAATCGTTTTTTAACAATTAGTTTTAGCTTTAATTGGATGGTGTGGTCAGGTAGTGTGGGTGGTTGGAAATTTATGGCAACCTGTGGAATCGTTTTTTAACAATTATTTTTAGCTTTAATTGGATGGCATGGTCAGGTAGTGGGGCGCTCCAATGCTAACCCAAAAGTCTTGAGTTTGGATCTCAGACTCTTGTCTATACTAATCTGAATCTACCCAGCTGTGATGGGTATCTGACACACATTAGAGAAAGTGAAGGTAGTTGGGCATAGTGCTGACCACACCATCCCTTCATATGCAGAGGTCACAAAAAGTTGAACTCTTATGGCAAATACTTTTTTCGAGCAATCTTTTTTTTTTTTAAAAACAAATATACAAGGCTAAGGTGTGATGTCGTTTTAAGTGGCAGGGGTTCTGGCTTGTGAAGATGTGGGGTGATGGGGGGGGGGGGGGGCGAGAGTCGGCAGGTAAAAATCGGTTAATAAATGACACCTTAGCCAAAACTATTTGACAGAACAATATCTCAAATTGCAATGATTACCCTGCATTAAAATTTTAAACATTAAATATTGAAATATATTAACAACATTACAAACATGTTTTGCATTATGATGGTTTGCCTACATTAAGAAGTAGTAAACATTTCAAAACCTACCTTAAAACCTGTAGGGCACCAGTCCACAAACTTGATGGATCTTTTAGACTTAATGCTTGATATGGCAGTGTTGACATCCCCTGGTACAATATCTCCCCTGTACAGGATGGTACAGGCCATGTACAATCCATGAGTGGGATTGCACTTAACCATCTGATTGGCTGGCTCAAAGCACGCAGATGTCAATTGTCCAACGGTCAGTTGTTCGTGGTAAGCTTTTTCCGCAGAGATGAATGGAGCATAGGTGACTAGAGGAAAGTGAATTCTGGGATAGGGTACTAAATTTGTTTGCCATTCAGAGAGCGTCGTGTTTAGAGATCCTTCAAATCTTAGTGATGTTGTAATGCCACTAACAACCTACAAAGAAATTTAATGATTTAATTAAACTAAACATCTCTACCACAGTGTTAAGCTTTATTCATTAAAATATCCAGGTCTGATTAAATTTGTGTATTAAAAGCTATTTACATTATTTGACAGTAAACAGCACTAACATAATCAACTAGCACCGTAACAGATAACACAGAACCCTCTCCTGTAATTTCCCATTGATTATAAGCAGCATATAAAACTTGAACAGGTTTAAAAAAAAACAAGCACAATGATGTAAATACCTGAGCTATAAGTCTATTTAAATTTGTGTAGGTAGGTCTTTCAATGTCTAAACTACGTCTGCAAATGTCATAGCAAGCTTCGTTGTCAAATATAAAACAGCAGTCAGAAACTTCCAGCGAGGCGTGGGTGTTTAGGATAGCATTGTATGGTTCAACAACAGCAGTAGAGATCTATAAAACAGTACAAAGTTGTGAGGAACAAATTTAGTGCAATGAATATAGAATGACCTCTTTAACTGCCTGCATTATCCAGCTGGTGCAATACAATAAAGGATTAAACAATAGCCTGGTGGCAATTCTGAATATTAAGGACCAGTATGTTTTACTGGGAATTTTTTGAACTACCTCATTAATTATGTGTAAAATATATTTAATTAGTAGCTTTTATGGATACTTATAGATACAAAGATCAGACAACTACATACATTAGGAGCTGGGTAAATGGCAAACTCCATGATAGATTTTTTGTTGTAGTCACTTCTCATTCGAGACATGAGCAGGGAGCAGAATCCAGAGCCCGTCCCCCCACCAAAGCTGTGAAACAGGAAGAAGCCTTGGAGACCGGAACATTGTTCAGCCTGGAATAAAAGAAGTGACACAGAAGGTTAAAACCAGCAGGGATATGGGTTGGTGACATCTAGTAATGCTGGTGGTAACTATGGAGACCGGAACATTGTTCAGCCTGGAATAAAAGAAGTGACATACAAGGTTAAAAACCAGCAGGGATATGGGTTGGTGACATCTTGTAATGCTGGTGGTAACCATGGAGACCGGAACATTGTTCAGCCTGGAATAAAAGAAGTGTCACAGAAGGTTAACATTTCTACTGGTAGCCATTGTTTTTGTGAACAAAAGTAGCCAGAATGTCTATGTTATACAACCGTTACATTGAACAGAAAAAAACTATTTAAAGATAATAGCAGCTGACAATTAAGCTGTACATATCAGCACAATCATGTGCCATGTAGAAAAATAATTATTCCAAAACATTATTTTTGAATTATTAAACAATTGTACTTTTCATCAAACAGCACCTGTTTTAATACTTTTACAATTTTAATGAGCTTCTTTCCCCCCAAGTGCACTTTAATGGTTGGCGATTGGGAGGGGGGGGGTCATTTTCAGGCCTACCTATGGATAGCAGCATGTACTGAAATTTTCAATTATTATATTGCTTTTTACTAACAGGTAAGGGAATAAAACAATGCAGGGTAAAAAACGAGTGGGGAAAATGAGATGAGTAAAACAATAGATTATCATAATCTTATCCTATCAGATAAAAGAAAAGCAAATCATACATGTCTTCGTATTGTGTCAAGAGCAAGGTCCACCATCTCAGCACCTTTTGTGTAGAATCCCCTGGCGTAGTTGTTGGCAGCATCTTCTTTACCAGAGATCAGATTGCTGGGGTGAAACAATGTTCTATATACACCAGTCCTTATTTCATCTGTCCAAATGACAAGACAATAAAATACATAAGACAAGCATTTAACTTCAAATCAAAACAATAGCATCCACTCATTATAACAACTTGACTGTGTGGTTTTTTGCATGACTTTTCTAAAGACTGGACGGATTTGTTGTATTTTATATTATCTACAACTAAACATAATTTGGGAACAAAAGACAGAACAATTTAGTTGTTTTCTCTGTCCACTTAATAAAGAAAACAAACATGGCGTAGCAAGGTAATGCTCAACAAAAATGGTAGACACCATTTTAAACAATTTTCTTTACAACGTAAGCTCTTACTCCTCATAATGCCTCATTCACTCATGTTAACTCAATGACTGAGCTGTATGTTAGATAATGAGTTGAAGAACAGTGACTTACCTATACAGTATACACATTAGTTCAAAACTTTAAGAGTAACCTTTACACTACTACTTTACAGATATGGGACAGTGGGTTCAGATGGTACAGAGTATGCCTGCCAACTCCAAAGTCTCACATTTTAATCTGCTCTCGAGTTTCTAAGTCTGCCATACTATCCCTTCATATGCTGATGAACTCTACTTCATCTGCCAAATGGATTGTCAGGTCCAAAAGGGTAACTGTACTTACTTTAACCTTCAAAAATCAGCTCAAGAGTTTAAGGAGCAAACTGACCTATACAAGTTGGCTCCAAATCTACAAAAGTGGCCCTGGGTACATGCTTCCCTGCTCCTGTCTCCTCAAAGAATGTGCAGAAAGAGTCATCTGCATTTCTAGTGAGCTGATATGGCATGAAGCCAGAGGGGTCAATCCCATGCTCAAGACAGTACAGTTCCCAGCAGGCATTGCCTACCTGAACGCCAGCTTGTCCAATATGGACAGAAACTATTTCACGCTGAAAAGATACACAACACAGATCACTAAAGTGAAAAGTCAGCATGAATGATCCATTGGTTTAATTTTAAATCTCACAATAGACTTTATATGACAATAATCAATAATGTTGTGACAATAATATCAAATGTTTATTTATTGATTTTAAAATTTCAAGTAAAGAAGTTTTAAATTTATTTTAAAAATTTATTTTTATTCTAATCTTTATTCTTAAAATATTCTAGTAGATCTAGATCTAGTCTAGATTCTATGTTTTTTAAACAAACAAACCATTTTGTTAGCACCGACGGAAGAAACTTTGGTAATGGGTAATAAATAATTTGAAATGTTCCTTTTACCAACTATCTACCACGTCTTATGTCAACAAACTGCTAAGAAAAGTATTAAGATTTTAAACCATCATGCGCCATTTCACTTCCAGCTAAGTAGGTCGCTGGGGTTGCCCTACAAATTAGCATTTCCGCGAAGCGACTCGGAAATAACCTCGGTGACCTTACTCAAATATATTTTATATTGTGTTGACGTCACAATCGTAGACGCCACCTACTTCCATGTGAAATGAATGTTTTGGTCAGAGATACCGTTTCATGATTATCATTCATTATGATTAGAAAATATTTTTGGCACAAGTCGAATCAGTGTAACTATAATTTTAATCATTTTTGTAATTTTATACGTGTGCATTTAACTGATAGATCTACATTTTGCAGTTAGTTTCTTATGCATTCGTTTCACTGGCGAAGGGTTAAAAAAATAAAAATAAACCGGAATTAAAAATTGATTTTTAGTTTTAGGCCTTTTTTATTATTATTTTATTATTAAAAAAATATTAGTCTAGATCTAGTCTAGTCCTAGTCTAGATCTAGGCCTTAGTCATTTGTCGGACTTACATTTTTATTAGGCAATTTTTAAATATTTTTATATTAATTAGGCCTAGGCCTTGTATTAAGAAATTTAGTTAGATCTAGACATCTAGATTTAGATCTAGATTAGCCTTAGCAGCTTAGCTAGACTAGGCTTAAGAAGACAGCAGACAATCACAATTACATTACAGTCACGGATTACAGTTACTTCTCAAGATTTAGATACAGGACTTAGGGCCTAATTGTAGTAGTTGTTACACTAGCAGCACTAGCTAGACTATCACTCATTTTACAATTTTTAATTTAAATGAGGCTAAGTCTTAAGTGAAGTGAAAACAAATAGATCTTGTCTTACACTACAAGAAGACTACATGACGACAGACAACCATCAAGAGTACTACTAAAAAGCATAGACTTGAGTAGAGGTTTTAGGTCTAAGACAAACTTACAAAAAAAAAGGTGTCGGCCTAAATCATCTCAATTTTTTTCTAGCGTTTTAAATTATTTAATCATTTCATATTTCTTTTAGTTATGCACCTTGCATTTTACTATGATGATTATTTATTAATCATTTAAAGTGCATTGTAATCATGCTGAATAATTAACAGATATTTTGACAGTTTTTGCCTTTTTACACCTTCCTACTTTATTGTATGTTGTATATGGAATATGAAAGATGTATGCATTATATTGTAATGGTGAAAAAAATTTAGAGGTTTTAAAAATTTTGACACTTAACAGAGCCGGAAAATCTTGTCTGTCTGTGTGTTTGTATGTGTATGTAAACACGATCACCTGAGTACTGTTTCAGTTAGGTTGACACAATTTCATACAAGTATCTTAGTATTTTATTAAATAAAAATTAATTATAATTTGTAATCAGCATATTTAAATTTATCACAACAAAAAAGCTTAAGTTTCTGATCTCAGATATAGTTTGATAGACAAACAGGGTGAGAGATAGAAGTACGCACATGCACTTTTTTATATCAAAAAATTTAGGGGAGATCCCTTTTGCTTTATTTTGTTTTGCAACTTAATTTAGGATATCATATAGCTACCATTACTAGCCACACTATAATTCTTCTATATAATCATATAGATCTAATAAGTTTTTAAAGAAAGGATATCTTTGATGAGAAGTGATAGATGCAGAATGCCATTAGTAAAAATGTGTATTTTATTTATGGTATAATTTCATTTTCAGGATGTGATTGCACAAGAGTAGATAATAATGCCAAATGATTAATGTTAAACAATCGTATGAATTTGATTTGTGGTGAGTTGTTTTATTACTATCTTTTTAGCCAAACCACTAAACATACTTAACCTTAATATTCTCTACTTGCATAAGATAATATCCAAACTTCATCTCAATTTCCTAGTTTTTAATCAAATTTTAAACCTTTTCAATTGTTTATTGCCAGTTTGTTGCTGTGTTATTTTTGCTGTAATGTAGGTTATGTTGTTGGGTTTCAGATGTCTGCCTCATAAGAATTGGTGACCACCAAGAATGCCAAGGTCACCATGGATGATGCTGTAAGCCGTGATTCTGTGACCTCTTCTACCAGTGAAGAGTTTGTTGTGGTCAACGGGGAACCCAAACTGAAAGTTGCGGCAGATGTGAGCGACATCAGCGAAGAGATAGCCAGTGCCACAGCTACTGAAAGTAAAATGTATGATAGCTCGGACAATATTGACGAGCAGTGTGATCATGTGATTCCCAGCAGCCAGTCGGTCAATGTTTTGAATTCAGAATCCATCCTGGAGAATTATCCTGACACCCCTAATGAGGAGGATAAATCCGGTTCTGGCGCAGGTAAAGCTTGGCATTCTATTTTGTCTTTCAAATTTATGGAAATTTAAAATCCTGTTTGTTTTTAGTTAACACAGAAGTAGCTTAAATTATTATTGGATTACTTGCAGTAGAAAGAGGCTTGAGTAGACTTTGTAGTTGAAACTTTAGAAAAACTTTAACAGTTTTTTGCAATCTTAAGATTATCAAATTTTCTGCACACTGCAGAAAACTTTGAAGTTTTTAAATACATGTCTTTCTGATAAACTTTTTTTTTTTTTGCGATTTCAATCTTCTGTTACCTGATCTCCTTAATTATGAAATCAATTTACTTTTGACGACCATAAATCAAGTTGCCTATATAAATTTATTCACTTTATTATTGAGGTGGAATTAAATTTTTATTGTATTGTTTTGACCTTGAAGTAATTAAACTTCAAATGTATGGCTTTGACATTGAAGTCTAAAAGCAGATTGTTTTTGTTTTTGTCATGTACAGACCGGGCACGATCTACCTCCTTACCCACCATACCTATTGGTGACTGCACCATCTTCAATGGGGTCACCTACCTGGGGTGTGCAATGGTTAACGCCCCTCGGAGTGAGGGTGAAATATATCGCAACATGGCTGTCCTGAACCAGCACAGCCAGATGTCCATTCCTGTGGCGCTGTCAGTCCCCGCGACGTCAGAAGGCATAGTCAGGTGAGCTAGGACTAGCTTTTCCCCTTTTTAAGGTTGTCTGTTCAATTCTTCACAAACTTCACTTGACAAATCTGCCTTCACAAAATTCACTTGTGATTTGAAGAGGTTCACAATCTCCTTCAAAAAGTGCACATAACACAATTCCTTCAGAAATCTCACAGATCACTCATAAAATGCACTTCAGTGGCTTTATAAAATGCACTTCATATTTAGCCATTTACAGACGCAGTTCATACTTTTTAATATTTTAAAATGCACTTCCCCAACCCTTTACCTATTGATTCTATTCATAAGAAATCCTAAAACTTTGTAATTGTGCACTATACAAAATTGTTTAATTAATTAAATTTGACTCGACTGATTCTGCTGATTTAAGAAATGAGTGCTACAAGAACATAGTTGAAAGATAACGTAACTTAAGATTGTCTTAAGATTGATAGATTGTAGTATTATGGGAACCTAAAATAAAACTATATAGTGACATTGTAGCAGTTTTTGTTCTATATTAATTAAGTCAAACTTCAATTGGTTAGGAATTCAGTAAAAATGGATGGATTAGGAATTTTTTGGTAATCTTAAGTACCCTACCTAAAATGTTATAAAGCATGTGTTTGCATTAGTTTGCATGGGATGATTAGATGTTTGAAATGTTGGTATAAAATACTGTAGACCATAGAACTATATTTATCTGGTTTAAGTAACAACAAAATCTTTTGATATGTTGACATAAAACACTATAGAGCATAGACCTATTTGGTTTAAATAACAGCATTAGTTGTGTGTACCTGATCGCATTAATCTAGCTGTTGGTTAACACACCCTCCCACTCATAGCCTAGCTGTCACCCATCTACCTAGAGCATTTTATATATGTCATGTAATCCTCCTTCAACAAATGGATCATTTCATGGGGCCATTGTGTGTTTATTATAGTTCTAAATACCATTGTTTAAAACATTAATCTTCACTGTCATTGTTTAAATGTTGACAGAAATTTTTTCTTTAATCTGATGTAACCTGTCTTATATTGTTGGAATTTTTCTGAAACAGTTAAGAATTGTTGACTTGTTAGAAAAGTATTCCCTTTAACTTAAACTCATTCTGAGGAGATCTATATTCAACTTTGAGTTCTTACACCTTTTTTTGTTCAAGAAAACTATACATTACTTAGTACCACTGAGAGAATTGGTTGTGCTATCTACCAATGCTTAACTCATGAAACCCTGGATTTTGTTTGAATGTTACATGTGATGATTCTTTCTGGGTGTTTATTATGTGCAGTTGAATGTCATTGTTTTCATTATCTAGTTAAGTTAGACACATCTCGTACTCTTATCCTCACTATAATCATCGACTTTTTTTGCTTTATAGTTTTACAGTGATTATGATATGATGTTGTGTTCCTTAATTATATTAAAGAAATACAATTATTAGATACAAAATGTTCAATATAAACAACATATAATATAACTTAACAACAGTATGAATTTAATAAGTGGATAATATTCAGTGTGAAGAGGACTTAACTGGAGGCCTATGGCCTTATCACAGTTGTATTGGGCATCTACCTGAACCAATGTATTGGCTGTTTATTGCAGTACAAAACTGTTTAATAAAACTAGTATCAAGTCTTTAAAAACTTAATAACAGTGTGTTGTATATAAAAATTGAAATGGAAAAATGTACATCACTTAATAGCAAATAGGAACAAATGTGTGTCCTATGATGCTGCAGAAGTTAGAAACTAATATTTTGAAAATTGTGAATTCTATAAAATCAGTGAAAACAAACTTGCAAATAAAGGCCAAACAAACTGCTGAATGTCATAGTTTAAAAAAAATAAAATGAACACAATTGCTTTTGTGCATGTTATCAGTTTTTTAATATATCATTTATATTAATATCCAACTATATTCTATCCAATTCTTTAAAAACAGTAGCTAAAAGTCCATTCCCATTTTAATTCCATGTGTTTTTGTCTTTTTTTTCCTTTGATTTGTTCCGCAGCAGAAGTGGAGAGCTCGTGCGGTATGCATGACTTTTTTCTTTGTTTTTCTTCCCTTCACATGGTCCATTCTATTATGACAAACATTGATTCATTAGCTCCAATTTCTTATCTATTTAAATCCTGATCTAAAATGAATGAAAAATAAATAAATTTTTTTTAAAAACATTGATGTTGTCATGCATGATTGTAGGGCCATTTTTTGTTGTAGAGAATTTTGTTTAATAATTTGTTGTAGTGTTGAAGCTACAATCCTGTGTGATAATTACTTAATTTGCTTTGCCTCTAAAATTAACACCATGAGTTTGTGCTTGTTGATTCCATTGTTGTTTCCTGTTTATTGATTGAGTGAAATTTGCTTTATTTTAATAATTACTTTGCATTGATCAATTGAAATTTTTTTTTTTTAAACTAGTTTTTAACTCGTTTTCTATTAGTATCCTGTGTTGTGATTTAACATACAGAAAACTGAAGTTGAATTGCTGTGTTTATTCTTTGTTAACCATAAATTAAAAAGGCAGAATATTAAAGCTGTATTACCCCCCAGCTTTCTGTTGTTGTTTTTTTTATGAGATCCTTTCCAATCTCCTTCAAAAAAGGGAATCAGTTAGCCAATAATTTTGTGTTTAATGTAGCTGCCATACTAGCAACAGTCCTTGTTTTATTATTTGATTTTTTTATTTTGTGTTGTACAATTTGCATGTTACAGTTTCTGTAAAACACGATGTGGAAAAAAAAATTCAGGGTTTCATATATATAATTGGCGTTATTCCTATCATTAGGATAGATTTTTCCTAATTTAAATAATTTCCTAACCCACACAAAAAAAACTTAACAGCTTTGCATTGTCCCTTTCACAGATGACTGATTTTGGCTATTTGGATGTGCTTTACAGCTTCCATTATTCTTGTTGCTTTTCTGCTAGAAACTATTGTTTTTGATATTATGTGATCAAAGTGTGTATGTAACACATATTTTCTGGGGAAATTCTATTCTGCAGTGGTTATCAAAAAATGATTTGTGAACAAATAATTTTCCAGTTTGATTTGAAAATTAACTTTAAGAAGTGGGTAGATACCAGATCGCAAAATTTGACGCGTTTGTTTCAATGTTTATTTACTTCTTAGCTTAGTTAGACTAGTGGTAACTTAAACAGGAATTTTAAACATTCTATATTCTCATGTCAGTGCAGTTGAATGTATGGCATGTAAATAATTCAGTTAAGTGATTGTTTAGACCAGTATGTTATGTGTCTCAAGCTAGTGGCTTTTCAAACCTAAGGCTCATATTGCAACCAATTGATTACCACACAAGCATGTGGAGTCATCTTGTTTTTCTCATGCTCCAGACATTTTTCTATGAATGATATTTTTATGATTTTTTTTCTCAGGGTAGTTTAATCTTTAAGGCCAACATAATAATTGCATTAACCTTTTATTTAAAATGTCAATAAATGTACGGTGGATTTCAAGTGATTAGATATAACCAAACACATATGTTTTTAACATGCAAAGACTAAATAAACAACATTCACTGACATTTATCAATGGTTGCCATTTTTGTTTACATTCCAGACTATTAGAGCCAGCCACTAACTCTGAAATAGCAAATTTCCGCATCCACCGCATACTGTTTTGTGCCAGAGGACCAACAGAGACCCCTGAGCGCCAGTGCTTTGCTTTCACATGTAGTCATGGAGACAGTGCTGAAAATGCCATCTTCCAGTGTCATGTTTTTCGCTGTGATATTCCTGAAGCTGTGAGTGTATTGGGCTCATTTTATTTTATTTCTTAATCTTAATCCATTTGTGTGAATAAATACATAATGAATTATAACTAGCCTGAATAAGTTTTTACATTTATGTAGTAAAACAAACTTTAAATCAACTTTGGATTAATAATTGCTGGGTATCAAGACTACTCCGACAGATTAATGTAAAAACAAACCTTGTTTAGGCTACCCACGAGAGCTCAATGTAAAACAAACCTTCCATTTCCAGGTTCCCAAGATTCTTTACTGCTTTGCTAACACATTCAGACGTATACCAAGGAGCCAGAAATCTTCAGAGACAAGTTTTTCTAGCGCAGAGCTAACCTTCAGTTTTACAGTTAGTCTGGACTTCCGCGAGGATGATGGCAAGGGCGGCTACTCTGCTTGCCCTAAAGACAAAGATGTGTTTAAGTTTAGGGTCAACACTGCCAAACGTCTTCTGATATCAGTACAGCAGTCTGGGCCACATGAGCTCAGGATTGAAAGGTTTGTACATTTGTAAACATTTGAAGAGGGGGGTATCAAATATGGATATAATCATAGCACTTGAAATTTTTTGTTATGGGAAGGGGTTGTTGGACCGTAGAGAACACAGCTCTTAACCCTAAAGTCCCAAGTTCGGATCCCAGACTCAAGTCTGTAGGATGTCCCTGTATCCACTCAGCTCTGGAGGTTACCTGACTCATTGTATGGAAAGTAAAGGTGGCTGGGCATTGTGCTGACCAGACTATTCCTTCATATGCTGAGGTCACAAAACTAATGAACTAGTTTGTTTTTTATTTTATTTTTGTTAGATCTTTATCTAGTCACTTAAGAGGTGTGCCTGCAGCTTATCGTTTCACCAACACTGTTAACCCTCTTCTTTAATGCATACAGAATATATGAAAGCCTTTTCATATTTACCTGTTGGATAAGAAATAATGACAAGAGTTTGCGATGCTGGATATTTTACTTTAGGGAATTTTTACTGTACATAATTATTGCTATACATATATATCGGGCAGATGAGGCTCGTTAGCTGGGGACAGCCACTCTTCTAGGAGAGACAACTCCAAAATTAAACAACTGCTGCCTTGTAGTTTGTTCTTGGTTGGACTAAGGCTATGGAAGCAAATCCAAAAAGAAAAGCAGGCTGAAATCGGAGTCAATGGCCTTAATGGCGCAAAACCAGTTGACACGTAACGCTTAATTGTGTTGGAGGCGTGGTCGAGTCGGCAAAAAGCTCATGGTTGATACATTCGAACAGTCTCGAGTTCAAACCCACTAGCAGATAAATCTCGATCCCCTTCAACACTAATAATTAAGAACGAAGAAGAAGAAGAAGAAGCTATACATATTGACTTGTCCTTTTATAGAATAATAGTTGTAAAAATAAAAATGTGCAAAATTTTATTCAACTTAACATGTTAGTGTTATTCATGAAAGTAAATAATGGAATCTAAGAGGAACTGAATCCCATTGTCTCTGCCATTAACTAGAGAAAGTGGGTTCATGAAGTATAATGAAAACACTCATCCCATTATTACTTTCATGGTTTATCCAGTGTGATAAACAATGCTTTTGCACTTAACTTATAAAGTGCCTTTTTTTTTCAGATATCACTAACCACATTTTTAAGAAGATTATTATAATACATTGGAAAAAATAAATGTTTTTCAGAATATGCTTTATTAATTTGGATACTTAATGGAGTTTCAATGCTTGTCACTACTATTTATATTATAGGATGAAGACTAATAACGCTTGACAAATTGACACATTTTTGTAATGTTATTTTCTAAAGTTAAAAAAAAAACAACTGAAAACATTCAGACAGTAAAGAGATGGGGGTATGGATTACTTTTTAAAGTAGTTATTTTATTTTATAACAGTAGTTAAGTGACCTGATGGTGTTAGTAATAAGAATATTCTCTTGCAGATGTTTTGGTCTGCTTATCTCCCCTGGCAGAAATGTCCAGCACAGTGATATGCAGTTGATTGAGTTGGTGAGTCATTAATTGTTTTTGTGTGTGTTGTGTGTATTTGTTTACAAGTATGACAATTTTGTGTGCTGTGTATGTAGCCTTCCATTCTACTTTAGTAAATATTTGTGTGTAATATATTCTTTTACATTTTGGTTAGACAATTTTAGTGTGTTGTGCATTCTTGTTCTTGCACACCAGTGAGTCTTATTGTGCAATGAACATACACTAAAGGCTTTCATTTGTAGGGAAACCATACACTTGTACATAGTTAATCTGAAAAGTTTTTCCAATTGTAAGATCTTCTAGTGCATTAGTTATTGTTGAATCTACTTAATGCTTAACTTCAGAGCACCATTTCTGCATGTCATTGTATAAGTTAATTTATCTGCTATGTCTGTCATAATCGAGGGCCTATATTTTTTTTAAACTTATTTCTGTATAAAATATTTCCTTGCATCTTAGATGTTCTGTGATGCCTGTTCCTAATTACCGGCACCATTATGTGTGTTGGTTTAGTGAAGACATTTGATACAGGTTAAAGATAATTTTTTTATACAGAAGAGTAAGCCTCCTGCTTGTTTGTAGGTCATGAGCTATTTATAGCTGGTGTGTAGACAAGAAAAGGCTGAAATTTCCTAAACAGTATTGGGTTTCATTGTGGGTTTTTTCCCCCCACATATGACATTAACTAATGTTATACAGCATTGGTGTATGCATAACCTGGTGTAATCATGAGTGATTGTTTTTATCACTCATTTGTTTAGTGAAGTAGTCACTATATAATTGTAAGATGGTGTGAAATCAATTACTGTTGCCACTTAGCAACCAGGGTACGATAGTTGTAAACAGTGAAAAACACTCAAATACTCAAAATATTTCTTTACATTCTTTTATTTTCCTTAATACAATTTGAAAACAATTATTTTATGGACTTGTGTTGGACAACATGAGTGCAAATGAATTAAATCTGAAAAAAGGTGTGTATGTACCATATTTTTATGGCAGTTTTTTTCTGTGACAGGAATCTATGGGATATGTCTCAGAAACCAAGGTGTACAATGTAGCTGGTCACTGGGACCCTTCAGAAAAGTGTTTCACCATCCTCAACACAGAGACTGAAAAAGGTGAGCGAATGGCTACAATGTTGCCACGTAGTTCTTATTTGGACAAATGCTATGTAAGCAAATCCAAAACAAAAGCAGGTTGAAATCTGAGTCAATGGCCTATATGGCACATAACCAGTTGACACGAAATACTTATTGTGTTGAAGGGAATTATTTCCAAAACTGAAATTAAGAACGAATTAGAAGCTACTATGTTGCAACTCATGTTATGATTGTTACATTTCTCATTAACAAAGTTACTATTCAGGCAAATTATTTTCTAACTCATGTTATCATTATTACATCTCATGTGTGTTAAACACCAGTCTAACAATGTTTCACATTATGTTAACACCATAAACATTGTTATCTCACTAGAGATACTAAGCCTAACTACACAAATTAGACTGGGTGTGCCCTGTGTCTTAAGCTCAATCCAGGCTAGTCTTGAGCTTGAAGCTTAAGTTAAAAATCCATGGTTTTTTTTTTAAAATATAGCATTTTGAGTTTTCTAAAATCTGTTGATTAATCCCTCAAAAAATATATTGTAACATTTTTCTAGGGACAGGTTTTTGTTCAAGTCGTAACATTTCAGCAACAGTTCACGTGCTCCTTATTTCAAAGTTGTTATAAATTTTATTCATAAATAGTGCACACAAATAGAGAAAAGTTCTACTAAATAATACATTTGTGATTTACATATCCTGAATATGAGGAAGTCATTTTTTGCTAGTTTGTTTTAGGAAATGGTTAATCTGTTGTCAAAGTAGGTCAGTATCTAAAAATAACCTTCAAGTCTTAATGTGGGGGTGTCAAATTTTTTATGAAAATATTTCAAGTATGTTGCAGTGTGGTTTAGTCTTGAAATGGTTTGGTCCATGTGTATTCCTAATGGATGTTGTATATGAGGTTTTGTTTAAAGTTAGTTTTCTAGAAATTCTCATTTTAATTGGTTGGCTGTATGAGGGTTTGCTTGCATATCAGATTCAAATTTCACACTTAGGTGTACTGCACAAAAAGACAGGGTTTGTTGAAATAAGGACTTGAATGACAAATCTAGCAGGACCATATCAGTGTGTTTTTTTTATGAATTAGGCAAGTGTTAGGGCCAGACCTTAAATTTATTCTTCCTATCCATTAAATAGTCTCAAAAATAAGTAATTGAAATAAAATATTTGTATCAATTTAATTAATTTTTACTTCATTAAGATTTTTTTTTTAATTTACAGACGCATTTGTATTAAATTTATTCTTCCTATATATTAAATAGTCTCAAAAATAAGTAATTGAAATAAAATATTTGTATCAATTTAATTAATTTTTACTTCATTAAGATTTTTTTTTTAATTTACAGACGCATTTGTATTAAATTTATTCTTCCTATTTATTAAATAGTCTCAAAAATAAGTAATTGAAATAAAATATTTGTTATTCCAGTTATTAATTAATTTTACTTCATTAAGATTTTTTTTTTAATTTACAGACACATTTTACAAATGAGATGAGTTGTCCTAATCTCTATTCTCTCTCCCTCCCTCCCTATAGATACCTGAGAGTTGTTCTAATCTCTATTATATATCTCTCTCCCTCCCCAAAGATACCCGCGTGTTTCTCACTGTGGCCGTTGACCTGGTGTTGTTTGGCATCCAGGAGCCTGTCAGGTTTATCTTAGAGACCAAGGCCAAGATCTTCCCCGTGTCTGAGAGGTTTTGGTACCTGAGTCGCAAGGGTTACATGGAGCAGTTCAGTGTCAGGCTCAAACAGGTCAGTGACCTTAGATGACCATGACTTAGTTGACCATGACTTGGCTGACCATGACTTGGCTGACCATGACTTGGCTGACCATGACTTAGATGACCATGACTTAGATGACCATGACTTAGTTGACCATGACTTGGCTGACCATAACTTGGCTGACCATAACTTGGCTGACCATGACTTGGCTGACCATGACTTGGCTGACTATGACTTGGCAGACCATGACTTGGCTGACCATGACTTAGATGAGGCTTAGTTGACCATGACTTAGATGACCATGACTTGGCTGACCATGACTTGGCTGACCATGACTTGGCTGACCATGACTTGGCTGACCATGACTTGGCTGACTGACTTGGCAGACCATGACTTGGCAGACCATGACTTAGATGACCATGACTTAGATGAGACTTAGTTGACCATGACTTAGATGACCATGACTTAGATGACCATGACTTAGATGACCATGACTTAGATGACCATGACTTAGTTGACCATGACTTAGTTGACCATGACTTGGCTGACCATGACCATGACTTAGCTGACCTTGACTTGGCTGACCATGACTTGGCTGACCATGACTTAGTTGACCATGACCATGACTTGGCTGACCTTGACTTGGCTGACCATGACTTGGCTGACCATGACTTAGTTGACCATGACTTGGCTGACCATGACTTGGCTGACCATGACTTGGCTGACCATGACTTGGCTGACCATGACTTGGCTGACCATGACTTGGCTGACCATGACTTGGCTGACCATGACTTGGCTGACCATGACTTGGTTGACCATGACTTGGCTGACCATGACTTGGCTGACCATGACTTGGCTGACCATGACTTGGCTGACCATGACTTGGCTGACCATGACTTGGCTGACCATGACTTGGCTGACCATGACTTGGCTGACCATGACTTGGCTGACCATGACTTAGTTGACCATGACTTGGCTGACCATGACTTGGCTGACCATGACTTGGCTGACCATGGGTAAACTTTGAGCAGGTAGAGAGCAGTGGAGAGAACAAGTGCTACGAAGTGGTTAAAGTGGAGAGCCAGACAGAGGTTGACAGGCGGAACCATAACCTGACCTTGAACTTGAGTGGAACCACTAGAGCTCCCACAGAGTCCATCAAAACACCTCAGGAGGAGGAGGATTCTGGTAGGTTGGGAGGGGGTGGGTTCTGGTAGGTTGGGAGGGGGTGGGTTTTCTGCTACATGAGGGTGGGTTCTTGTAGGTTGGGTGTTAGGGTTAGGGGTTTTGGCATAGGGGGTGGGGTTTCTGGTAGGTTGAGGGGATGGGTTTAGGTAGGTTGGGAGTGGGTGGGTGTTCTGCTACATGAGGGTGGGTTTTGGTAGGGGGGGGGGGGTGGGGTGGGGTTTCTGGTAGGGTGAGGGGATGGGTTTAGGTAGGTTGGGAGTGGGTGGGTTTTGGGAGGTTGTATGAGATATAACTGCTGTATACTGTTGTTGTTATAGATATAGATGAGCCCCTGCTCAGTGGGTCTGGGATTGTGAGCAAAGAGGTGACAGATGAGAACCTTCTGGAAGCTTGGGCAGAAGTCTTGTCCCGCTGGCGTAAAAACCTGTCCTCCAGGCCGCGGCAGGTGACGCAGCTGGTCAGGAAATCCATCCCAGAAGCCCTGCGTGGCGAGGTCTGGCTTCTGCTCTCTGGTTGCCATGAGACACAGAACTTGCTGGAGTCCTACCGTGTGCTCATTACAAAGGTCAGGGGTCATGCTTCGATGTTGTAGCTAGGCTTGACTCTGTGAGGTGGCCAAAAGTTGTCTCCCCTTGTTTAAATGAGCTTGTCTGTGACTTTGTGAGGTGATCAAAAGTTGTTTCCCATCATTGAGATTTAAAGGAGTTTTATCAAAAGTTGTCTCCCTTTGTTGTCCCAGGATTCCCCCTCTGATGCTGTCATACAGAGAGACATCAATAGGACGTTTCCTGCACATGACTTCTTTAAGGATGCTGGTGGACAGGGACAAGATTCACTCTACAGGATCAGTAAGGTAGGTGAGGGGTGCAGTAGGTAGGGGGAGGTGCAATAGGTTTGGTGGGTCACGTAAGACAGGTAAAAAGCAAGGGGGGTAAGGTAGGGTTTTATCTTCATCATGTAGGTAAATGGGGGACTATACACACATTCTAAATTATTGCTGGGGCCAGCAATATTTTTAAGTATGTGGGGCAAAGGTTAGATTTACACAATCAGCATAGTATGTGGATAGAACAATCTTCACTAAAAACATTGTTTTAAGTTGGTGAACAAGTTGATGCAAATTATTAGGTTAGCTTTTTCTAAAAACTTTTAAAAAGCCTGATATAGTTTCTTTGTTGTCTGCATGTAAAACTTAGACTATAAAATCTGTTGCTCTGTTTTAGGACTAGCGTATGATGAGTGGGTTTGTTAATCTGATCCGACAATTACTTTGGTTAGATGTTAGAAAATTTGTTGTTTTTTCAGGCCTACTCAGTGTATGATGAAGAGATTGGCTATGTTCAAGGTCTTTCCTTCTTGGCTGCTGCTCTGTTGCTACATGTGAGTCATTGATTGATTTGAGATGCTGGCAGATGTATTGTATATCTAGTTTATTCTGATAGCTTATTGTTTCAAAAAGATATCAGATCCCCAATCCCAAATACTGGCTGTGAAAAATAAAGTAATTAATAGATTAGACTTTTCAAATTGTTCTTTCCTCAACTGGAATAAGGATGGTATTGAATGAGTAGTCTCCTGTTTCTGAACTATAATGATGTTTATATAGTGAGTTGCCTCCCCTAATGTCCTTACTAAAATGAGGATCATATCGGGAGTTGCCTCCCCTAATGTCCTTACTAAAATGCGGATGATATAGAGTAGTCTCCCCTTATGACCCTACTAAAATGAGGCTTATATCTGGAGTTGCCTCCCCTAGTGTCCTTACTATAATGAGGATAATATAGAGTGAGTTGTCTCCCCCAGATGCCTGAGGAGCAAGCCTTCTGTGTGCTGGTGAAGATCATGTATGAGTACCAGCTGAGGGACCTGTTCAAGCAAGGTTTCCAGGTGCTACACCTCAAGTTTTATCAGCTGGAGAGGCTTATGCAGGTCTGGTTGGTTTTTTGTAATCCTTACATAGCAAGATGTATACACAAGGTTTTTTTCTTTCACGTATTGAAAGGTTTGATTGGTTTTTAAAAACAACAAAAACTGTTTGGTATGTTGAACGTAAAGTTCTCTGTGTATAGGACCAGCTGCCTGACCTGTATGATCACTTTGCTGAGATGGGCCTGGAGATTCACATGTTTGCCTCCCAGTGGTTCCTCACCCTCTTCACGGCCAAGTTCCCCCTGCATGTTGTCTTTGGTATTCTCGACTTGTTCCTCAGTGAGGTATGGCTGACAGTTTACATTATAGGGGGTGAATGGTGGGCTGACATTTTAGACTTTTCTCTGATATTTTACACGTTTTAACTAAATGGGGGTTGTGGCGTGATAGTGTGAAATTCAAATCTGACAGAATTCAAACCTTGGTGATTAGTTCATCGACATATTGAGTCTGTTAAACAGCTTTGATGTACTTGTCTATTGGTATTGTTTCATTTCTCTTTTAATATTTCAGGGGCATCTCATCATTTTCTGTGTAGCTCTTGCATTATTAAAGGTTTGATATTTAATTTTTTTTTTTTTTTTTTTTTTACTGTTCAGAATTTTAAATGTTCTATGGCAATATTTTATTTTTTCTTTAACAGCAATTTTTTTTTATTTTACGTCAATTTTTTTTCTTTAACATCATTTATTTACCTTTCGAACAATTGTAAATCTGTAAATCTAAATTTTTTTAGCTAGGTTTTTAAACCATAATTCTAAAAAATTATTAGTTTACTAATAATAATTCTAATTAATGAACTCAATGACATCAAAATCAGTTGAAAAAATGAGTGTCCTATGAAGAGATGTTTATAATGATTGGCAACTGACATTTGCTCCTGTCTGTTGCAGTCATCACGTAAAGATTTGCTGGCCCACGACTTTGAAGGTGTGTTAAAATATTTTAGAGTTCACTTGCCTAAAAGGTACAGAGGGGAGGAGTCATCCAAGGAGTTGATGAAATTGGCCGTCAACATGAAGGTAAGCCCACCTGCTAATTAAACCCTAACTCCTCATTAAATTAACCTTTAAGGTTCTAGTTTTAAAACAGACTAGTTTTATCTTGCCGCCTTTTTGATCATTCAAATCAGATTATAAAAGGTACCGAATTTGTATTTTAATTTAAAAAATTTAATTTATTAATTACTATATAACTAAACTTAAGCACTTTTTAGAATGTAAATGTGATAAAATAAAGTCACAAATACTACATAATTTAATAGAATTATCCCCAATTTTGTCCATGTTTTTGTTTTGCTTTCTATAAATTCAACTGTAACCTAATGCTACAGGTTAGCAACCGCAAGTTGAAGAAGTACGAGAAGGAATATCAAGCTATTCAAGAACAAAGCATGCAACAGGAGGACCCGGTGGAGAGGTGTGAGGTAAGCTGTTTACATATAGATTTTGTTTTGTTAATATAGGGTTTGTTGTTGTTGTACTGTATGGTTTGGCTTTGATGAAGTTTAGCACTATTTGCTTTGGTGTATAGCAAAGGGCTAGGTTGGTTGCATTTTAGTTGTAGAAATACAGTAATAGAAATGTTGGCTAAAATTTTATTTAAGTAATGTTAACTTTGTGTAATGCATGAAATGTTAACCTTTTGTATTATAGAGAAATTAACTTTGTGTAATGCATGAAATGTTAACCTTTTGTATTACAGGAATGTTAACTTAGTTGTGTTTTATAAAATGTTAACTTTGTAGCATTGGAATGTTGACTTTTTTTTAGTTCTGTGGTGTTAATTTTGTTTCTTGTGGTACAAGATTGTTAACTTTGTTATATTACAGTTATGTTAACATAATTACAGGGATATTAATCTTAATGTAAAATCAGCTTGCTGCCTTATTCACTTTGAACCCATTAATTGTTGATTTTTGAAAGTGTTAGTTCAGCTGTTTTAATTGTAGAATGAAACCTTCAATAATCCATTGATGTTTTATTACATAAACCAGACATGCACATTAAAAACATTCAGATAATCCTCTCAGTATCAAATATATCCCACCTGTATGTTAACAATATGATCAACTCACCAGATTAGTTTAACAAAACCTAAGTTAAAACATAGGCTACCATGTCTTTTTAAGCTTGTAAAACTCAGCCATCTTCAACCCATGTATAAAAAAAATACCACTCATCACAGTAGCTATGGTTTGTTTACAATTCATGTTTTGTTTAATGTCTACATGTGTCAGTTGTAAACATTTGTTCAGCATAGATGTGGCTTATTGTCTTCAATTGGTGTGTACATGTTTTGTTTGGTCCCCACAGAGAGAAAACAAAAGGTTGATAGAGGCCAACATGAGACTAGAGCAAGAAAATGACGACCTGGCACACGAACTTGTGGAGAGCAAGCTGACCCTGAAGAGTAGAATTGATACTGTGAGTAGCAGCTTGGTAGAGTAGAATTGATACTGTGAGTAGCAGCTTGGTAGAGTAGAATAAATAATCTATCATCGTGGTAGAATAGAATTGATAAAGTATCAGCGTGGTAGAATAGAATAATATTTTATCTGCTAGTAGAATCAATACTCAGCTTGTTTTGTTGACGTTTATAAGGTGTGTAATTTGAATATATTGAATGAGTGGGGGGAAGTGTGGGGGTATATGCTTCAGCTTACTATTTATACTTGTCATGGCATGTTTGTGCTGCTGCTAATTTTTTTTTTCAATTTATTTTAGTAGATGTAATCGAAAAATGTATTTGTTATTGATGAATTCTCTTTGGAAATGTCAAATATTATCCTACACTAGCATATAGAACAGATTCAATCTATTTTTAAAGCCATATGACATGGTACAATTGTGTTGGTAGTGCTATAAACAGTTACTGCCCAGTGTGGGTTGCCAGCAATGTTTCCAGAAACTTCCCCAGCTGACAGCCACCCAGAGCCTTGCAAACCTAATGCCTTACCCACTGCCAACAATTTATCATAGAGTATCTGATAGAATTGTGTTGGTCATGTGGTAATGCTATGTTATTTCTAATCTGTTTTTTGTTATTGTAGCTGGAAGACAAATGTGCTGAGCTAGAGAGAGAATTTAACCACACGTCAAATCTACTTAAAGAAACAGAGGATGAGAAGAAAAGGCTTGATGCCGAATCCAAGTCTGTAAGTTTTGTTTGATGCTAGGGGGGAGGGGAAGGGAACACATTAGCCATGGTAGAGCTTTAAAAAACTTCTCTGTGAATTATATTTTCTACCAGCTGTCCGGTGTTTAGACTGCCCTAAAAACGCGATGCTTTCAAGATAACTTTCAAATGGAACAAAATAATTCAAATAATAGTGATCCTGATTTTAAAAAAGCCAATTTATTTATATAATTGAAGTTAAATGTCAAGGTAAAAATAGAATAAAAGTCTAAGCATAAAAAAATGTATCCAAGTTCAGTTTTCTAATTTTACAGCATACATTGTTTTTATTTTAAGCAACAATTTTGATATGTGCAAGTTACTGTAAGGCTACTAAGGAGACAAAATTGTCCTTAGCATAGTGCAGGGCTGCCTACTTGTACGGTTTTGCCCGTAACTTTACGATTTTGACACCCAGGTTACGGAATTACGATTATGCTGCAAAATTACGGTTTTGATTTCAGTAGAGATCAAAATCGACTTTAGTGTAAAAAAAAAAAAAAATTTCTGGTGGTAACTTAACTTTATGTTCCCGGTCTGAGTTTTATATTTTAATTTAGCTAGTTATATTTCAGTATTTCAGTGTGTTATCCGGTTCTAAGGTTCTCAGCCTCTTCCGTAACAATCCCCCCTCCCCCTTCCCGCTCATGTCATGGCTGGCGGCAGTGGTGTTTATATTGTGAACTATTGACCCCGCGAGTGGTCTGTGTTACCTCATGAGCCGGTGTTGTCCGGAGAGAAAAAAAAAGGGCGTGGCCTAAATCATTGAAAGTCTGGTCGCGCAGTCTGGCGAGACATATTTACTGAGGCGGTATTACAGCTAAATGCCTAAATAGCGAGATATCGAGGCATTTTGTTTGAGATGTGCGAGAAGACAAGATTTTACTAAACAACGAGATCTAGGCTCACCTAGATCAATTACGGATCATATTTTTAAAATTGTTCCTTTCTTCTAGATATTACATTGATAAAATGTAGATTTAAAAAAAAAATATTCAAGAAATATGCTAATTCTAAACATCGTCACTCGTCGGCCGCTTACGTTTTCTTGTTCGCGGGAAAAAAAATCCTGACACGCACAGTCGAGGGGTCACTGAGTTCACATTGGTTTATATATCGGTAGTGTTGGCCTATATCATACGTCATACTACTCATTGCAAGAACAATTCCTATTTGAAATTTTCCATTGTCGCCTTACATTCTGAATTTAACGGAGTTTTTAAAAAAAACTAATTATTAGTCCATAAAATAAAAAGTAGCACGAGTCGCCGACTGTCATCATTACGCTGATGAGCTTTACGATCATATAATATGGGTCTTATTTACATTGTATTTAAAAAATGTGTAAAAATACGGAAAGTTACGGAAAACCTATGCTCTTGTTACGGGGAAAATTTTTTTGGGGTAGGCAGCCCTGATAGTGTGGTCCAAAAGGATCTGGCCCCTCTTGGAAAATGCTATTGGTTGATGTAGTTTTAGGTGTTACATAATTTAACAACCAAGACACTCATCTAAACATGTCACTTTTAAAATGAGTTGTTTTTTTTTGTTTATGCCTGCAGCTGAAGGAAATGTGTCGCAGGGAATTGGAGCGAGCAGAAACCGAGTCAAAGAGGAACACTGCAATAATTACTGATTACAAACAGGTGGGTGAGGGGGGGATACTGCAGTAATTAAGTGTGGGGGGACACTGCAATAATTACTGATTACAAACAGGTGGGTGAGGGGGGAATACTGCAATAATTAAGTGTGGGGGGACACTAATAATTACTGATTACAAACATTAGGTTGGGGGTAATACAAAATATAAGTTTACACACAAAAAATGTCATGATTGCAATAATAATTTTACTGAGTTGATTAAATGGTAGGTGTTTTATTTCAGATTTGTACCCAGTTAAGTGAACGCTTGGAGAAACAACAGAACTCTTTTAAAGAAGAATTAGCCAATATTAAGGTCAGTTCTTATTAGAATAATTCACTTTTGTTTTATACCTGGTTGTTTTAAGACTTCAATTTCATCACTGGTTATCTCTGTTTTTTAACTGGTCGGTTTTATTTTATAACTGCATTCTTACTTATTTCAAATAAGAAAATCTAAAATTATAATTTATCTATAAAAAACATTGGTTTTAACTTTGTTCACTAGATATTTAACCAGCACCTGATGTTTTATTTTTAATTTTTTTTTTAACTAGTTTATTTTTGACAGAATATTTGTAACTGTTAATTTAGTTTTAACTGTTCTAATATTGTGACTGTTAATTTAGTTTTAACTGTTCCAATATTTGAGACTGTTAATTTAGTATTAACTGTTCCAATATTGTGACTGTTAATTTATTTGTGTAACTTTCAGACGCAGGTGAAGTCATGTGAAAAATGTTCCTCTCTGTTTGTGGGTGAAAACTTGCGGCTGACGGACAACTCACGGGAAACACCAGAGGACCCAGACATTACAGAGCTGCAGAAACAGGCAAGATGGTTTTCACTTGTCACAGTGGATGTTCAAGCTGATAGGCTTAATAAACTGCCATGTCATTGTCATTGTTCTCTTTCAAACTTGACGGTCTATAGGGGAAAGTGAAGTAGAGTTCACCTGTTTCCTTGACCACGGCATATAAAGCGATAGTGTGGTCAGCACTTGACCATTGTATCATTTGAATCATCACCTGTCGACCAATGTTTCATGTCATCATCACCTGTTGACCATTGTATCATGTGAATTATCACCTGTTGACCAATGTATCATGTGAATTATCACAGGTTGACCATTGTATCCCATGATTCTCCCCAACAGGTGAGAGAGCTAGAGCTGGAACTGGCCCAGACGAAGCTGGCACTGGTGGAGTCTGAGTGCAAGACCCAGGACTTGACCCACCAGCTGAACGCGGCCGTCACGGAGATCTCGGCCAACAAGAACACCTGGTTCCACAAGACCCTCAGCTCCATCAGGGACGTGACCACCACCAAGAAGGAACCCAAAGACTGACCTGCGTCCACTGCTGTCGTGGGACTTAAAATAGGCTGAGTTAGTTTAAATCTATCAGTTAAGACAATGACCCAGAGATTATTATGTTTCTAACACTTATAATATTTATTACGTGAGGAGTAGAGAGTGTAATATGTTGTATGGCTTCCTAGATTAGACTGACAGAAGCAAGTGTTGAGCTCTTGTTGCTACCAGCGTATACATACAATTAGTTCTGCTTTTTCAGACGTTCAGAAAAATGTCTTAAGGTTTTGCCACTGTAACATTTTTTGGGGTCTAGAATGTTGTCAGTTTAGCCTGTTAAATTTTTTTTTTCCCTTTGTTGTTCACACAAAGGGGGGTAACAATTCAGTAACAAACTTCTATCGCGTTCAGTTCATGCATGAAGTATGTGACTCGGCTGAAATTAGTTATTGTAATGGTCATCAAGTTGTGCTGTTGTTGTTTGATCAACACTTAATCATTCTACTTCAAATGATGCTGAAATTCCTAGCAATTGTGGCATTTTAGTTTGAACAACTAGGTTATACATATAATTTTTAAAGTGGTTTTTACCACATTCTACTTTTTGTACCAGCTGTAATCAGTTTGTACCAGTCACAATCAGTTTGTACCAGTCACATTCAGTTTGTACCAGTCACATTCAGTTTGTACCAGTCACATTCAGTTTGTACCAGTCACATTCAGTTTGTACCAGCTGTAATCAGTTTGTACCAGTCACATTCAGTTTGTACCAGTCACATTCAGTTTGTACCAGTCACATTCAGTTTGTACCAGTCACATTCAGTTTGTACCAGTAACATTCAGTTTTTACCAGTCACATTCAGTTTGTACCAGTCACATTCAGTTTGTACCAGCCGAAATCAGTTAGTACCAGTCACATTCAGTTTGTACCAGCTGTAATCAGTTTGTACCAGTCACATTCAGTTTGTACCAGCTGTAATCAGTTTGTACCAGTCACATTCAGTTTGTACCAGCTGTAATCAGTTTGTACCAGCCACATTCAGTTTGTACCAGCTGTAATCAGTTTGTACCAGCCACATTCAGTTTGTACCAGTCACATTCAGTTTGTACCAGTCACATTCAGTTTGTACCAGTCACATTCAGTTTGTACCAGCCGAAATCAGTTAGTACCAGTCACATTCAGTTTGTACCAGCTGTAATCAGTTTGTACCAGTCACATTCAGTTTGTACCAGTCACATTGAGTAAATTTTGTTCAGTTTGTGCTGATCTCACAGTTTAAATCGAGCTGTTTCCATCATGATCCATCATTCACTGCCTGACTTGATACAACACTTCCTTATGGTTTTGTTCAGTCTTTCTTCAGCTCTGCCTCTCTCCAGTCCATACGTTCTTCTTAAAGTTCAAAGATGACCCACTTGAAAGTGATCCCGATAACATTGACACTCCCTTCACCCCCACCCAATAAAAGTGGTTTTTTTTTTATGATTGTCCACAAACTACAATGTCTCTCCAGAACATTCCTTTGTTTTATTTCTTGCACCAGAGTCAAATTGTCCAACTTGGTTCATAATATATTGTGCTAATGTACATACTGAACATTTGTTGTGTTAGCAGTGTGGCTATTTGTACATTAAATTTTAATGTAATTAAAGATGTGTGATATTGTTTCATGCTATTGTGCATAGTTTTTCTTTTATTTGTTGTTTGATCCATGCTTTTATTTTGTCTTGAAATCAAAATATGAAATTTTTTTTTAAAAACAGTATTTTTTGAAGAAGTGTATAAAAAGTTTTCTTAATTCATGAACCACTTAGTGTTAGCTTTGAAAATTGTCACGTGACTTATTGTGAGTTTCTCATTGGTCCAAATTTTGTCCTTCACTAACAACTTGCGCAGCACTTGTGTATACTGAGGGGATCATGTTTTAAATGAAGCTGTGTCGGACTTTGCATGAATGAATGCTGTACACAAACATCAAAACACTCACTACAGTCATTTTTGTAGAGGAAACTTAAAAATACACTGAATAACAAAAGTATCATTTCTTTTACGTTATTCATGTGAACTATTTTTTAACGTAGGAGCTTTCAAATAATAACAAATATGCCATAATAAAAAAAATGTAAACATTTCAACTACTAACTCAAAACCAGCTAAGAATTGCTTGTGTGACTGATATGAGAGTTCAAATAGCTCTGTCCTGTTTCTTATCACAGCTCTTTCCCCTTACTATTATGTTCAGAGTTCCTTATATGCCCCCCCCCCCCTCCCCCACTGACACATACTGTGTTGATGCAAGTTGCCTGCCTGATTCAGTTACACAACTAGATAACTCAAAATTGTATTAGGTCTTTTAATTCTTCTGACAAGCCTATTTGAGATTCTGCCAACTTTTTTATACTTTTATGTAAATGAAATATTTTGTTTCACGTCATTCCTTTAAAGTTTTGTATCAATCTGCATAGATCATATAACACCCCAACTGTGCTTAGAGCGTTGGATTCATCATCTTAGTCACAACACTGGTTTTAATCTGAGGTGTTTCATTCCACCAATTGTCCTCATCATTCGTTGGTCCTGTGTACTCATCATTCATTGGTCCAATTATTACTTTCATGTCAGCTGGAAAAACTAGTCAGTTATCATTTTTATGATTGGATAAAAAGAATAAATATGACTTTTTTTTGTAGACAATGGTAGATGTTTCCTTTTATTTAGTTATTTCAGTTTGATTTGGGTATTATTTTTATAATGTCGATTTGAAATTTGTTGAATTTGATATAAACAGAAAATCTAGCAATCAACTTTTGTTAAACATTGAAAATCCAAATTCGTATTATGCTGATGATTTGTTTTTTAAACATGAGTTTCTTTTTTTTGTTCATTACCCACTATTGCTGTTAAATGCATTATTTTAAAACTTCAGTTAATTTTTAAGAAATATTTTTTCATTGCCCATTCTTACTTTTAAATTAAAAATTTTTTTTGTGTACTTTCATTCCCCCTTATACTTTTAATTAATAACAACTGTACTTAATGTGAACATTATTCTTATAAAATCTGCCAGGAAGGATCACTTCTATGTTTACCTGGACACATTCATATAAATGGACTGTAAGGAAACAGTTACCATGGAATATTTTTTAACACTAAACAAAGGGTTAATGTTAGTTCTGTTTGTACGCTGCATTATAACTTTTTACATGTTGGGTTTTATGTTTATATACACATACATGTAACCTAGAAGTAAAATAGTGGTGGTCATTTTTTATTAATAGCAGCAAATGTTCTGTATATAATAATTTGCTTGTAATAATACAGGTAAAAATCTAGTTAAACAACATCACCACAAAAATTTTAGATAAGGAAGCAGAAGTAAAACAGAAATTATTGTCCCAAGAGTTATTACCCTTCCAGCAATGTTGCCTGTACTATGATCAAGCTTTGCGATTCATCTTATTTAGAACCCATTTAAGAGAATTTAGAATGTTATCTTCTTTTTGACTGACATGTTTTTCTCTTTTTTAAAATTTCAAATTGTTTATGTTGGACCAAATGTTTTGGATGCATAATCTAACTATATCAAACATGATCAAGAACTAGACTTTGAGGCTATCCAGTTTTAGAAAATGTTTATTAAACTTTCCCATCATAGAGAACTAAAAAAAAAAAAAATATTTTTTAATAACTTTTGAATATTTATTTTGCTAATACATTCAGCATTGTTATATTGTTTTATAGACAGGTATTGTTTTTAAAATGCTTACACTTTGATTTTTTTTTATTCACTGACACAACTTTTTTGTTATTGCCACATTTTTTGTTTACATTGAGACATGCTCACCCAATGGGTCCAAGGGAATCATTCATCCTTTGCCAACAAGTCGAAGGATTTGACATTAGGGACAACTGCCACATAATCCATTCTTACACACATATAATTGGAATTCCAATACTTAACTTTTTTTTCATTTCATTTACTCTGTGCAATATTGTTTGGTTATTGATATATAAATATATATATATATATATATATATATATATATATATATATATATATATATATAAATATATATATATATATATATATATATATATATATATATATATATATATATATATATATATATATATATATATATATATATATATATATAAAATAGCCAAATGAACATGTGATTGGCTAATAATAGATGCGTTACTCTGCATTGTTTGGTTGCCTAAGTTGTTGATGAAGCTTATTAAAGTGAACATGTTAGTACTGTTATACTCCATACATTTATTGTAGTTAGCTTTTCTAATTCCAGAAAAAAAACTTCCACAAAATAAAGATTATTTTCCAGATGAAATTTTAACCTTAAGGGATGGTGCTCTCCTTTTCACTATTTGTAATATTTTTTTAGAGATATTTGTCACTTGTGTCAGTAGTGGTGAAAAAATTGCTGAACTGGTGTTGTAATTTATCAAACATTTGAGGTGCTGAACTTTGTGTTTGGATTTGCTAGGCTCAGCACTTAAAGTGTTAATAAAAATTTATTCATTGTGATATGACTTTTAGCATGGTACTCAGAGATTGAGAAAAAATGTATTCCCAACTATAGAATTGATTTATTTAACCTCTGTTAACAAAATTGTCATGTCAGATTTTGAATCACATTAGATTCTGGGATAGAGAACAGAAAAATAATTGGATTGTATTCACAACAAATCTGGTATTTCTATATTAATTTAGAGCCATTACCTTACAACTTTTTTATGTACCACACATAGTTTGCTTGTGTACCTACAGCTTGAATGTTGTTGAACATGAAGCGCAAATAAATTATGATTAATTTAAAAAGTGTGATTTTTCTTGAAATATTTAAATTTGCAAAGGTGCAACAGTGAGGTCAAAATGGTATTATAAAAATGTTAACGGTAGAGTTTGCATCACAAATAACTCGCTTTCCTGTAAAGATTGACACAAGTCCAGCAATTGAGACTTAAAAACAAATTTGCATGTCAATTTTTTTTTATTTATTAAAAATGCTTTCATGATAGCAGTTTGTATACACAAATACATAATCAATAAAAATGTTTATACATGAACATTGTATATTTACACATAAATTTTAATTTGCCATAAAAGATAAACTTTAACAAGAACATGTAAATAAGACATAAATGAGTGCTTAAAATGTACACAATTTTGATAAAAATTTCAGTTCAAAACATCTTTATTATTTACATTATAAACATCTTGAAAATAATTTTACTGAAGTTTTTTTTAAAACAAGCTAAATTTGCATTGCATTATTTTCCTCTCTAAACCACCTTCTCTAAGAGATAAAAACATGTAAAACTGTAAATAGATGTAAAGATTTTCAAATCAAATAAAAACATCACAGTTTGAAAAAAACTGGGAAAGTTTTCAGGCTATCAGTATCACCAGGTTGTGCGAATCTACCTAGATCAATTGAACTTAGATACAGCTTAACAATATAACTATCTTATAAACTTTAGATTAATACTAAACAATATTAGGAACTTGAGGATCCTCCTGGTTTAATTTCAGCTTCCATTTCTGTTTTTTTACTGCTGGTTTTATCATCTACCTCTGTCAAGTTCTCTGTGACATTTCCATTGGTTAACTTCCTTTTTCCACCATCTTGTTTCTGCTTCCAGACCAGACTTTTCTTTATTTCTAAGCCAATTGCTCTTCCCATTGGTGGAGGCACAGCATTGCCAATCTAGGGAGGTAACAAATTAAAATATATCAACTTGGATAAAGTTTTGAATATTGTAATTAATGCCAATAAAATAATTATGGTGGGTAAAATGACACTTATTTTAGTAAGGTTTATTTAATCAAATGCAATACATCCTAAGTATCAGTATTATTAAAATTCTAAAAAATAATGCATCAAAACAATTTATTTTCCCAAAAGGGATCACTGTTAGGGTATGAATTAGGGTTGGTCCAACTTAACTTTAATATATTCTATAGACTATTATTTCCCTACTTCTATGATCTCATGAGATGGTTACATTACTTGTCTTTACATTTTTGCCACTCATGTCTGACATTGTCCTGGCCAATGTTTCCTGCATTAATAATTTCAGTATTGATTCTCTCACCTCCACACTATGTTATATGTAAACAAAATATGACTTGACCAAAAGTGGCAAAAACTTAAAGCCAAGTAATGTAGCCTCATGAAGTAGAGAAATGGTTCGTAGAATGTATTAAACCTGGTCAGATTTTTATTAGTTTTACTGTACCTGTCTGTGTTTGTCCAAAATGTTGCCAAAGAATCTGTACGAGTCAGGGAACCCTTGAGACCTGGCACACTCTCTAACACTGACAACACGATGCTGCTCTGGGTGAAGAACTCGACCCTGAAAATATTTAAAAAACTAGCATCTTATTTTCTTTACAAAAAATATTTATTTACCATACAGAAAAAAAACTTAAATTATCATTTATTTATTTAACATAAACTAAAATATTTTATTTTCTTTCTCAAAAAAAATTTTTTTTTACAATTTTTTTAAGTTGTAATTTTTTTTAAAAATAATTAAAGACAGTTTATAAACGAGATGAAAAGAAAGCCAACCTGCTTCCCCATGGGTTCTGGGTTGGTCACTGTCGTACTGAAGAAGCCGTCCCAATCCAGCCGGCCATACAACCCAGCCCAGTGGTTGTGCCTGTTCCCTGTGTGGGGGAGACACCAGGGTATCAACGTGTTGAACTGGCGGTCAAGGGGGTCACATGCACCTCCTGCTGCACAGCTGCACACGCCTCTACGCTGACCATTTGATCCTTTGCCGTTGCGCTTGTCAGGGTGTGTGTAAAGTCTGCAAGTTATTAATTTTAAAATAAAATACTTGAAAAAACATGAACTATTTTAAAAATAACATTAGTTGTTAAATATTAAACATGCTATGATCGTGCGGAGGCATGATAGTTAACTCCAGAAGTCCAGAGTTTGGACCAACACAGTGTAGATGTGGCTCGTTAACTGGGGAAAACAACCCATCCAGGAGAGAAAACTCCAAAATCAAACAACTGCTGCCTTGCAGATTGTTCTTGGATGGATAAAAGGTATGAAAGCACATCCAGATACAAAAGCAGGTTGAAGTCAAAGTCAACAAGTTGGATATATAAGTTATACTTAAGTATGATGGTGGGAATTCCCTCGAGATTAAGAACAAAGTAGAAAATGATAGAATTCTTACAATTTTTTAGCCTTGTTGCCATCAGAAAGCCGAAGTTCAAGGTTAGGCAGATCCCTCCAGTCAGAGCCAGGGGTCAGGGGGATATTCATCATCCGAGCTGCCACCAGCGGGCTCATCTCCTTACAGATGTGATCTCTCAGCACAGTCTGGTGCTGGCTGCCTCGGATCAGACGCTGGAAGTGGGTTTGGGCATCACCTACGGCAGAATTTTTAAAAAAATTAATTCAACTTTTGATTTTCTTTTTTGAATAAAACATTGTAGACATCCTCACAAAATTATTTGCTTCCATTAATTTTAAGGAAATTCTGAAGTACTAAAAAACAATACATCCATCACATGTTTAAGCTCCACAAAAATTGAAACCAAGCCAAAGTAAAGAGAAAACAACAAAGTAAAATAACATAAAGAACTGGATTTGTATACGAGTGTCATTGTGCAACTATTTGCCATAGATTCAGCTCACTGCAAAGATGTAGAGAGTTCTTTATGTATATGAATTTATGGGTATATAAATTTAATGTGGTATAATCATTAAAAAAAAAACATGCAATCCAGTGTGCTAACTTTGTTATCAAAATCTTGAGAAAATTTGCTCCTGATGAACCCAAAATACACCAATTCACCCATAATTTAAGTCAGTTTACCTTTGTAAGAAATTTCTTCTGTTTTGGCACCGTTCTTAATTTCAGGTAAATCGGACATGGCGTCTCGTACTGTTATTGTTCTGTATGGTGTTGAGGTCATGTTCTTGATGTTTGAATAAAACTATAGGATAAAGAATTTCACACTTTAATTAAACATTTAGAAAAATCTTCCTGTCATACACATTCATATTGTTGTTTAAATTACTATGGCAGCAAATTAAACTAAAATCAACAAAAACTTCATCTTTGTGTTAAAAAAAGTGTATTGCTTCAACTGGATTTTAAGAATATGGGGGGGGGGGGGGGGTGTTTATGTAAGGAGGACATTAGCAACAGCAATACAATTTTAATACCAAATTCTTTCTTAGGCATCTGCTAAGATCCTTCATAAAATTTTTAGAAACATGATATAGAATATTTACTTTATTACTATAGAATTTCTCCTGTACAAAATTTAAATACATTTTAATAAGTTTGAGGAAAAAAAAAAAAATGTTTGTGTAACTTAAAAAAAAAAGTGATTTACTTTCTTGTCGTCCACCATAACTGACAGCTGCATAGCTCGAGGTGCGAAGATGTGCATAGGCTCTGGGTAGAGAGGTAGCTTTTCCCCAGGGGCGGCTGCTAAAATAATAGCCCTCCTCCTGGTCTGTGCCACGCCATAGCTCCCTGCCTGAAGGACTCCAAAAGTACACTGATAACCCATACGCAACAAGCTGCGCAGCGTCAGCTTCAGCACCATACTGCGCTTGTATGAAACAAAGTTGCGCACATTTTCCAGCAGGAAAAATCTGGGTCTGTAGTAGTCGCAGTAGCTGAGGTAGGAGGCAATCAGTGAGTTCTTGAACTTGGAATACTCCCTGGAGTTGAATCTGTTCATGCCACTAAAGCCCTGGCATGGTGGGCCTCCGCATAGCAACTCAACATCACCTACAAAATATTACAGCATTCATTGAATAGATGACTAAATAACGGAACATTAATTATAAACAAGCATAAACTTCAATGAATGAAATGTGTCTGATCCTCAATGCAGCAGTTTACTCGCTGATGAATGGATTTAAAATAAAAAAATAAAAGTAAAATAAAATATTTGAAATAAATTGTATTGACATTAGTGGTTGTTCAACTCACCCTTTTGAGGTAATTTTTGTCCCAGTTCATCAGTTTTGTCCCCTTGCATAACTCTCTGGAGTAGGAGGTTACAGTCGTCAGTGAACACTGTACATTTGGGGTTGTTGAGGCGGAAAGCTTGGGCAGCGGGCTGCTCTTTCTCTATAGCCCAAAGACTTTCTGCCATGCCGGCTTGGTGGAAGCCCTCAGACAACCCTAGTCAACAATGTCTAAAATTAGCACCAAAATGCACCAAAATTTAACTAATGCACTTTAGACAACAATAATCCTTGGCCTGTTTTGTTTGCCTATACCTAGGTACTAATCATCTTAAAACACTGGATTGATAAGTTTTCATAATTCTAATTACTTAAAACTTACATGGATAAAACATTTTAGTTCTCTTTCAAACTAAAAATGATCTCAATACAGTTATTAGTTAGTAATAAATAAATCAACTATAAGTTGATAGTCAACAATTTACTTAACATAAAATTCAGCCGTAAAAGTAATACATAAATCAACTTACAGTTGATAATCAACAATTTACTTTAAAATAAAATCAAGTCTAAAAGTAAGCTTACCTCCACAACCAGCAAAAACATCCAACGTACGGAGTCTGTACATGTCAAAAATTTCTTCTACATTATCAACCTGTGTTTCTTCCTTCATACTTGATTTCCCTTTCCCCTTTCCTTTCCCTTTTCCCTAATACATAAGACCAAGCATTAGAACAGCAAGCAATCATCACTTCCTATAAACATTAAAATTTGTATTAACAAAATAAAGTTATATTTTCTGATCAGCTTACTAAAATTAAAATTTCATATTTAGGCATTGAAAACATTCACTTCTTTATTTTACTGGTTTAAACAAGAACATTGAAGTTACCTTTCCTTTGCTTCCCATCAGTCTCACTTTTGCAGGCGGCTCCTCAAACTCCCGCGTATCTGCGTTGTAAGCCTCGTTAAAATAAAACCTGTCAGGCGCAGCCATAAAATAAGAGTCGACAGACTCCTGCAGGTTGTCTTGGTACATGACCGTACACTTGCCACAGACCACGGAGCTGTCTACACTAGCCTGCTCCTCACTCCAGTACAGTTTATTCAAGTCCATGTGGTACACCGCTTGCTGCCCTTTATGTGTGTTCTCTATTCTAATAAAAACAAATTTTTCCACAATAGCTTTACAGAACATCATCAACAGGAGTAACACATTAAATTTTACAGTCATCAGAAACTAAGAAAGAAGTTTTCAAAAAAATTGTTCCCAGTTTATTTTTTTTTTAAATATGAGTTAACAGCATTTTTTTTAAATTAATAAAAAATGTTTTTTAAACAAGCCTTTATATAATTAAGTACAAAAAAAAAATTAAATGTAATCACCAAGCTAGAAATGCACACATTAACCCTACTAGATCTACTTGTAATATAAATATCTCCCAAACAATGGGTCTACCTTACTAGCTACATAATATGAAAATTTTCCTATTTTAATACTTAAAATTATTTATAATGAATTAAATTGAAAAGATTATAGATAACTTTACTGGGAAAGCTTGAAATGGGATCATGTTCTTTAGAACAAGTTAAAAAAATTAGCAATGCACTGTGTGATTAGAAATGCTAACCTGTAAAATTTATTGACTTTCAACTTGATTTCCTTCAAGTTTGGTGTTTGTTTCCCTGCACTCTTCCGGGCTGAAATTTGAATGATTCTGGCAACACGGAATGGCTCTGGACATTGGTCATTGGAACCCTTGACATACTCAGATTTCCTGTAGGCCTCTGGGTATATATCCTCATCAATCTGTAGATCATTTAGGTAATGCAAAGGTCAAAGGTTGCATTTAAATATTTACATGTTAGGTAGCAACTTATGAAAACTAGTCACTACTAACAATTTAAAAAACACAGAATTTGTCAGTGGTTAAGCACTTGACCTCTAACTCAAAGGTTAAGTCAGAATAATAAACCATAGGATGTCACTGATAGTGTAAGTAATGTTAAATCACCACAGTAATTTCCCATAAATTTTTATATCTAACTTCTAAGTTATGGTATGTGTGGAACACTTCACTGAAATTTTTTATAGTACTAATGGCTTTTGAGTCCTGCGCTGATCTATGTAAAAAAACTAATACAATTTTGTATTCAGTCTCCACCTGTAATGGAGCACACCTCAAACCAGTGTAGCAAACTTGAGATATTTACATTTTTTGACTTGGGTTGCTTGGCTGCCATCTTGGGATGTTTGATCTGGAAGCCGTAAGCTTCAGGGTCCAGGTAGCAACAGTCTCCGACCTGATACACCTGACCATCTAGCCGCAGCTTGTTGTAGTATAAGTGACCTGTTGCTGCATTCTCCACCTGAGAAAATGTTCAACATTGAGAGAGCTGGAACATGTCGTAAGGGAAATGGAGCAGAGACCAAGGAGAAACATAAAGGAAAGATATTGGGAAAATGTGGGATGGCAAAGCCTAGCAGTAGAGTGCTAGACTGCTGACCCAAAACTCTCAAGTTCAAATCTGAGGTTCAAGTCACTAGAACATCTCTGAGTCCACCCAGCTCTGATGGGTACCCAACTCATGTTAGGGAAAGTAAAAGCGGCTGGTCATAGTGCTGACATTATCCCTTCATATAGGTCACAGAAACACAAAAACGCTGCTTCACTTGCCCCATGGACCATCAAGTTCAAAAAGGGAATTTTACTATTGAGAAAATGGAGCTAACAAAAAGACCAAGGAGAAACAAAGTATTTGCAAAGGTATTGGTTAACGTTTTCCCCAATAATATTACAGATCTTGTAAAACCTCAGATGGCCAATTCAAAACGTATCATGGAGGTTTCTTCTTGTTGGTATAGTTGTTGGGAGGAAGGGGGTCAAGGGTTAGGCTTGAGCCTATGGTCATGTTAGCCCAAAAATCATGAATGTGGTTTTTTTATGCCAGCTGTATAAAAATGTCAAGAGTCCACCAAATGTAGGTAACTAAGCAGACAGGGTAAAAACATGGCTGGGCATAGTACTGGCTACACATTCCCTTCATCTGATAAAGTCAAAATAAAAAATAAACTACTTCCTGATTTGCCTTCAGGTCTGAGAAGGTACTTCAGCTATGATTAGAGTTAGTGAAGTGATAAAAAAGCTTAAGATTAGTGGCAAGTTCGCTAAATGTTGACCAAAGTACCAGGAGCATAGAAAATATACAAGCACCAACTGACCTCAACCTGCTCAAGCAGACTTGTGTCCATCAGCGCCCTCTTCTCTTCTGCTCTGCGGCAGCTGACGCAGAAATTCTCAGTGCTACAGTTTTTCTCTACACTTGGAGGGTCTTCAAACCGACCCAGCTCTGGGTCATAAAACTTTTGATAGAAAAATGTCTTCCCATCATCCTCTTTGATAACATTATCTTCGTCAGGGTTTTCAATTCCACCTTTCATACTCCAGTCATCAGGGATCGTCTTGTAAATTACCTATAACGTAAAAAAAAAAAAAGAATAACTGTACTTAATGTGATGATTGGTAATGTGATATATAACCTCTCTAGTCTAATATTTTCACATTCAAGATTTTCAAATTCATTCAGATCTGAAAGATAATTTAGTAAAGAAGGCAGGACATTGTGATAACCAAACAAATATCAGGAGTGGCCCTAGGAACAAACTGCTTTACTCAAGACTACCAAGATATTAATAGTAAGGACTATTTTTAGCATTTAAAAAAGCCATTATACAAATTCATTATATTATATTATCATTTATTTCATTTTATCTTTCACTTTTTATTCAGGTTTAAAAGGTTTGAACTATTTCATTTAAATATCTATATTTAACTCTTAAAAGCAAGCTTAGTGATCTACCATAGAAAAAGATTTCAAAGAATTGTTATAAACACAATATTACAAAACAGATCAGTAACTTACCGTAACTTTATCATGTACAGTAATCAATTCATTATCATCGCATTCATCAACCATAAAGAGCTCGAGGGGGTCCGAGGCCTCCCCCAGCACAGTCTCACAGCCCCTGTAGTACCAGTGGACATGCGCCTGCTTGCCAGAGCTGTCCTCAAACAGATACTGTATCTTAGCGATGTAGTACGGCTGTGCTGGGTCAGCTGGTGATATGGACACAAAGTCACCTGCTGTGATCTGGAGATTAAAAAACAGATTCAGAAACATTGGTCTAGACAGAGAAATAAATGATAATATGCATCAAACATTTTTAGATCCAGAAACATTGGTCTAGGCAGAGAAATATATGACGATAATATGCATACATTTTTTAGATTCAGAAACATTGGTCTAGGCAGAGAAATAAATGATAATATGCATAAATTTTTTAGATCCAGAAAATAATGGTCTAGGCAGAGAAATAAATGATGACAAAATGCATAAAAATTTTTTAAATAATTTCTTAAGCTCTAAAGTGTCAAGACTAATTTCAGCAATGTTGCAGTTGAAATGTTTTATACATTCTATGTAACAGTTTTAGATTTGGCTATTCAATTATTTAAGAGAATATAAGTTGGCTTGGTATGGAATGATAAACTAAAATCTAGCCCTAATCTAACCCTTAATCCTGTGACTTTTGGATCTTACTTTCAGCAAATATTTTTATGATCCATAACACAATAGCTTCAACAGACACAAAAAAAAAGATATTCGTTTTACTCAAACTATTTTCCCATATGTTGCATGAATTCTTCTCTGTGTTCAACTGAATATAAAATAATAATTTGTATGCTACCATCAAACCTTATAAATGTCTCTTCTTCTCCCCCCCCCTCCCCCATATCCCATGATGAGAATATCTGGTCACAAGTTAATATGAAAAAGTGAAGAAAAAGTGAAAAAAAAGAAAAAAAACTCACTTCAAAATCATTTATTCTAGCCTTAGAGTAGAACTTCTTCCCTTCTTCACAGACAGCACTGCCCACCCATGAGACCTTGGTCTTGGAGTTTTTAGCTGCCTTGTGCTTGATAACTGCTGCTGCTTTTTCTTCTAGTGTCTCATTTTCAGCTTCTTCCTCAATGTCATCCTCTTCTGCTGACTTGATTGCCATATTTGGGCATCTGAGCACACACAAATACTGAGTCAAAGCCCAAGTCATTCTTTGTGACAGGTTATAAGATGTAACAATAGGAGCTAAACAGAGAGCTTGAGAATGAGAAAAAGGAAGGAAGAACTTTACTCTCATTGTGTTGATTAAGAGTTTTCACTTCTAGAAAAATAAAATCTTTTTACCTTCTCTCTTTACAAGCTTGTTTTGCTCGACCAGTTCCTCCAAATTTGGTCATGTCTTTACAGGCCACACATTTCCCACAGTCAGATTGTTGACAGACCTACAGACATTTCAAAATCAGTTTAACCTACAGACATTTCAATATCAGTTTAACCTACAGACATTTCAAAATTAGTTTAACCTACAGACATTTCAAAATCAGTTTAACCTACAGATGATTAGTTAAAACCACAAAGTCAGTTAAACCTAAATTAAAAAAAAAACAGAATACATACAATCATTGAAATATTAGATCAACTAACATTTGAAACAAAATCAGTTGAATATATAATCACTTAAAATTCACTTAAATCTTGAAACTCCAAATAAAAGCTTTAAAAAATGAAAAGGTTTTTCCCATAAAAACTTACTTCACAAATGCCACACCGCTGGCGCTTAGATTTGGCTGCTTCCTCATCTGTTATCTGCCCTTGGAATATAGAATCAAATATTCCTCGAACTAAAGGTGTCACTGTGGCTTTTGAATGTGTAGGTTTCTCTTTCTTAGCTTTTACTTTTCCAACATCTTTTCTTAGTTGTCTCCTGTGATAAGATATATTTTAATTGTACAAAAATCACATAAAGCTGTCTATTTAGCAACACTTACAAATTGTGTTAAATAAACTGGTAAGCAACCATATAATATTAGTTTCAATATTTAAGGCTATCAATCCATAAGTTTTCAATTTGAAACTGAACTTGAGGCTGACCTTTTGCCCAGGGTGACACCAGCAAGTTTTATAAGAGCCCTCATACAGGGTGTTGTAATCAAGAGGAAATCCTCTTCATCCGCAGCATCATCAAAACTCTGAACCTGGTCCACAACAAACTGGGCGTGGCGGAGCAGGGAATCTTCAGAGAAACTCTTCAAGCCTGCAGGGGGGACTGTGGTCTAAATACAGAGAAAAGTGAAAGTTTAATTGTATACAGAAAAAACCTTAAGTCTGCAGGGGGGGACTGTGGTCTAAATACAGAGAAAAGTGGAAAGTTTAATTTTAAACATTGCGAGATTCTTTTTTACATTGATGTAAGTTTATTAGTAAAGATGAAATAATTCCTGGAACACAGGTTGACTATTATACACTCTTCTGTTGACGTACTTAAAAGTAAAAAAAATAGATTTCAAAATCCTGGCCAGACCATTTTAATCCTTAACACTAGGCTAGTAATCACCTGAATGACTGCATGCTGATTATACATACATTCTAAATTTGAGCCTTGGAAAATTTGACTTAATGCACGTATAATGAAATATATTTAAGTTAAGTAATTAAATGGAACAGTTTTTTTTTAGTTCCAATACAATCAACCAATAGGGGATAATCATGTTCACACTACATAAAGGTTAAGGTTGAACAGAATGTCAAAATGTTCATGTTAAACAAATTGTCACAAAATGGATAGAACAGCTAACCTGAATTTTGTTAAGTAAATCCTCGTATGAAGCCTCTTGGTTGTTCATCAAAAACTCAATCACTGTTTTTGACATATGAACTTTGACCTTCATTTGTTCAATAAATGGGGCATACGCCTCGCTGGGCTGCATCAGGATGTACTCTCCAAATGCTGTAGAGAATCCAATCAGAGCGTTCTCTCCACCATCAAAGCCTGAGACAAACCACTCATTGATGGGACCCATGTTCCTACACGGCACACCACCTGAGGATCAAAGATAAAATAAAATATCAAAACGTACAGGATATAATTGGTCGATAAAAATCTATGTAGAAAAAGCTTGCGGTAACAACTACTAAATACTCAACATCTATTTCTCATTTACACAAAGATTTATCACCTTGAAAACTAATTTTTAAATATTAAGGCATATTTTATTGTTGCATTGTTTAGTTTTAACAAGTGTATTAAATCTTTTAGCTCTTACTCTACTAAATTTAATATAACATTTCAGCTGAATAATGAACAGATTTCACCAGGAATAACTTACTAGGACCTAAATATTAAAACATGTATACATTATAAGTTAATACTGGAGCTTAAATACATTATAAGTAGCCACAAATATACTGGAGCTAAAATACATTACATATAAGCATGTTACCTTCTGGGCTAGCATCCTCTTCAAAAATTGGCTTGAGTACTCCACTAAAAAACAGGTATTTATTCCTCTCAATCAAGCCGGTATCGAACGCACACAAGTGTGTGTTCTTGTCGTAGACGCTGAAAGCAAAAGTTTTTAAATTTGAAATGCTTTTAAAATCTAACATAAGATGAAACCGAAAGGCTGTAGGGTTAGAGGGAATACAATTATTTAGCGCAAAATGCAACTGTTGCATTTGAAACTTTATATAGCTAGAAAATCAATATTGACAAATATATATAATAAAACTTGTCTTGAACTGATTGAGATAAAGTTTTAAATTGTTAGCCTATAAGGGGTCGGCGTGGTCGAGTCGGTAAAGCTCATGGTTGCTAAACCGAAAAGTCTCGAGTTCGAACCCTCGGGCAGATGAGGCTCGTTAGCTGGGTACAGCCACTCTTCTAGGAGAGACAACTCCAAAATTAAACATCTGCTGCCTTGTAGTTTGTTCTTGGTTGGACAAAGGCTATGGAAGCAAATCCAAAAAGAAAAGCAGGCTGAAATCGGAGTCAATGGCCTCAATGGCGCATAACCAGTTGACACGTAACGCTTAATTGTGTTGGAGGCGTGGTCGAGTCGGCAAAAAGCTCATGGTTGATAAATTCGAACAAAGTCTCGAGTTCAAACCCACTGGCAGATAAATCTCGATCCCCTCCAACACTAATAATTAAGAACGAAGAAGAAGAAGAAGTTAGTCTATATTAATATTTTTAACTTTACTTTGTATAAAGCATGATTTAAAACCCCTAAAGTTACAAACTTTTAAAATTTGGTGAGCCAGTAGGACAAGTTAAAGCTACCTAAAGTTGGTGATCTTATGCTGAGGCCTGTCATCTGTCATCTTGTCGTAATCTTCATTTCCAGTATACAGTGACAACTTTGGATCAGTTAGTGCTATCAACTCTTCAACCTGAATTCAGAAGGAAAGAAATGTCAACAGAAAGTGTAAATGGAAAAAAAAAATCTGTGTTTATTTCACTTTCACAGTAAAAATGATGAATTTTTAAAAAATCTTACAATCAAAATTTTAGGCAAAATTATTTTTTCAATCAAAAAGTACTCATTTTTGTTTCAATCCAATTTTTCATTAACATACAAATACTTACCGCTTCGTCAGGGTCACCAGGAAAAAGCTTTAATTCAGGGTCATCCAGATATTTTAGACATTCATTACACTGCAGGGGAGCAGGTTTGAGAGGAACTATATCCACCTTTCTTACACTTCTGCTGAAATCATTTGGAGATCATTGTACAAATGATGTTTGCTATTATTATAATGATGACTTTTATCAAGTTTATGATTTAATTTTACATGGCGATGATAAACATTGAAAATTTATTTCATTTCATATCTAGAAACAAGACTAGTGGGAAGTAGTTTTTGTTGGTCAAATATCTTTAATTGTTACCTTTCTTTTTTGTTTTTGTCATTTTCCTCTAAAAGTTTTATTCTCTTAGGGCTATTTGCAGTGTCTCCATCCACTTCATCAACTTCCTCATCAGATTTATTTTGGTCATCATCAGCTTTCTTTTCAGGCTTTGACCTGCGGATGTAAAGTAAAAAATATAATCGCAGTTGAAAATTTCACAAATATTCTAAAAATGCTGTTTTACTTTTATTTCAACATATGCCTATTATTACATATATGTATTGACAATTAGTGATTATGGAGATGTCTGTACAAAAGTGTGTAGACACAGAGAGATTGTGTGTGTGAGTGGCCTCCCCTTGGAAGTGTGTGTGAGCATGGTAAACAAGTGTGTGAACGAGGGAGTGTAGGCAGTGTGGTGTAGGGTCAACTCAGTGTAGCTATTCAATGTCAATGTTTCTTCTTGTAGTTGAAAATTATACTTCAATATTACAAATTCACTTTGTGGATTGTGTTCTTTATTAATGTTACACCTGGCCTCAAACGAGCCAAAAATAATTAGAAAGCAGAGTGTAACAGTGATGTTTAACATAAAGCAGTTTTAAACAAAATTGTATTACATACTTGGAGCCGAACATTGCAAGAATGGATGGTTGATTTTCTGGAACTTTTTTGTTGCTAAGGCGCCTGGAGGATCTTGAAGGTGCTAAACAAGTTTAAATATGACAGGTTTGATTTACAAGACTTTCTGGGTAGCAAAAAAAAGTAATATAAAAATAATTTGTATTCTAAAACTATTTCTTTTAAATAAGGTGTAACTTTAACAATGTACTAATCTGCCATTACTCTTTATAACTACTCACGTTTCTCTTCTTTAACAGACACTGGTGATGTCCCCTCTTTTGAAGGTCTTCCCCTTCTAGTAGAGTTTCCATTTGAAAGCCTTGCACTCTTGGGTTTTTTAGACGGAGGTGAATCTTCATCGTCTTGACATGTAATACTTTCCTCTGCGTCCTTGACTAGTTTAGTTACTTCATTGTTATTTTCTTTCTCATTTGTTTCTTGCATTGGAGATTCATCCATTGGTTTTACCTGTGTAGAATAAAAGTTTGTTCAAGTTATGTTTGATGGCTCCATTATAGCTCTAGAGTCTAATATATAATTGGATGATTGTGTGTTGGAATTAGTTCCACTTCTGGTTATCAGAGATAGGTGAAAAGTTGATACAGAACTACAAATTTGATATAATACGTATATATGAAATTTCATCAACCTAGCTGTAACGGTACTCAAGTTACCCACACAAAATTGCTAAACTATGATTTTCCGACTCAGGGAGGTGTAAAACGACCAGATTTGTAAAAAAATTTTGAGCAATTACAATATTTCCTCATATGATATATATGAGAAAGTAAAAATTGGAGGTATAACTAGCCAACCAGTTAAGTGTTATCACTTTTAAATAGTTTACTATGTGTTTAGTAGTTTACTATGTGCTTAAACAGATTACTAAGTGTTAAAAAGTTCACTATTTTAACTGTACCTCTGTAGTCTCTTCAGCTGCTATTTTTTGTGCACTGTCTGTTTCAGGTTTTGGGTTAAATGCAAACTGAGACAGCGTCTTGCTGACAGATGACCCACTTTGTGAGGAGCTGTCAGATGACCTAGTTTTTGAGCAGCCACTAGATGACCCACTTGGTGACAGAGCCTTGCCGCCAGATGACCCACTTTGTGAGGAGCTGTCAGATGACCTAGTTTTTGAGCAGCCACTAGATGACCCACTTGGCGACAGAGCCTTGCTGCCAGATGACCCATTTAGTAAGGCGCTACCAGCTGTTCCAGCAGGCTTTAATGACGCAGTGTCGCTCAGCACATCACAGTGACCATTTGTGCCATTGCATTTGTTCAGTGTGTTCTTGAGAAATCCTTCAATAATTTCTTCCAGTTTTTTGTAGTAGCCTTTCTGTTGACAAAGTATAGTTTTGCTTTTTGTACTTAACTTTTTAAAGATTATGACAAATATAAAATTATTTAATTGTCTGACAACAAAATTCTACGAGGTTCTAGTTTATGTACTTTCTTATAGTTGTTAACAGGTATATAAAAAAAAATCTTAAACTAGGTTTACTAGAGGGTGCTAAAATACAGATATTTTCTAATCCGTAAAACCAATCAGAAGAAACAAACTATAAAAATTACTTCTGTAATATCAGCTTCTTTCAACTCCTTGGCAAGATCTTCCATTTGTCTTTTAATAGCATCTGGTAAAAAATTATCCAATAGGCTGCATTTTTTTTTCCAGTAACCCTGTTGAAAAATGTATGGACTTTATTAACTTTAACAAATCAATAGGAAGGTTTACAACAGCTTTAAAAACATAGCAGCAACACTCATCCAGATACAAATTATACTACAGATACAGCCATAAAAGGCAAAGTGGGTAAAATAGAGTAAGTACCAACCCTAGCTCCCGTAGCAAAGAACTAGTTTAAATATTGTCTTGTGTATCTAAGATACCCTGGAGCAATTACGAAAAACTTTAAGTTAAAAAATATTACATATTATTTTCTTTGTCATCTGGCTTAAAAGTTACTCATTTGAAGAAGTAAATTCTACAATATTCACCTTCAAAGTGATGTCTCCTTCCTTAAATTCTTGCTCTATTAAACTCAACCTGAGAGAAAAATTGTGTAAATTAGCAACAAAATAATCAGAACTAAAGTAAAAGTATAAAGTTGAAACATAACTGAAGGAGCAAAAATCTTGTCTGTTGGCATTCTAAGTTCTTTATTAAAAAAACTAAAGATGAATAAAGACTGTGAACTGTGCTGTTGTTATAAGCAACTACCAACTTAGCGACAGGACTAATTGATTATGACCTGACAAATTATCAGATTATCAATTATATTATCTTTAGAAATTATTAATAAGCTAATTACAAACACCCTGTATGATGCTATGGTAGTTTAAATTTTAAATGATACATTTTACTATTAAAGAAACAGCTTTACTGTTTAAACACCACCCTCCCCCCTTCTTGAATTGAGTAAACTTTTAATGGGAATTAGTAAATTTTAAAGAAATGTGGTTTGAAGAACAGGAAAAAAAATTCACCGTGGTATTGACCTAGAATGACGTGGCACGAGGGGATAGTTTTTCCCCTGAAAGAACAAGGCAATCAAATATTTATGAAGATCGAGCACTGTGTTGTCATGGTGCAGACTATAACGAGTGATATTTGGATCTATGGTATATGGCCTGACCTATTTAAATTAGATTGTTTATATCATTGTTATGAGTTTATATTTAACTCTATGTAACAAACCAGCTGGTTAATTGAGGGGCTTGTTCTACTAAGGATACAAAGGGTAAACTAAAAAAATATCGACAGAAAGAGCCTATTTAGTTCAGCAAAACGTATCAAAATCACTCCTCATGCATGACTGGGATCGTTGATCTATATGTACTCTCATGGTTTGACATGTGCTGCTTACGCATTTAAACATGTCAAAATGGTCTTTTTTTAAAAATAAATTCTTTTTCTGGCCCATTTTGAAAACATGTTAAAATTGCAAACTACAAAGAGAACAGAGGGGCTCTTTTGGCATATTTCAGCTCCAAAAGTGCTGTATATAGATCTAGATTAGGTGACGTGACATCAACCAAAATGAGGAAGATGCAGCATTTAATTGGGCATTTGGTTAGCAGCTGACACTATCTATGGAACAGTACACTCGACTGTAGGCATTTTGATGAAAATTTCATAATGATTTTTTAATTTAAAAATCTATCAATAATAGCTAGCACACTAGTAAACTAAGCCAATGTGGCATATTTTAACTTTCTGTCATTATTACTGAAAAAATTCCACAAAGTCAGGCCAGCCTGTGGCACCCTCCACTGAACTTGACTGAAGGAAAAAGTATTTGACCTGTGACCTTCAGTAAAACAAAATTTACTTTTTTTCTTCTTTTTTTTTATTAAACATGTGCTTAATCTTACCCAATAAGTAATAAAAATTTGACAATTAATTTTAATTACTGTTCTAAAGTGAGATAAACAGCTTAATAATCACGTGTTTTCTTGAGGGGGTGTGACCCGGGTGTGACACATCTGATTGACATCACATTGTAACTTTATATTTCTGTGTTTTATGACTATATTTGCTCACAATCAGCATGCTATGCTTTTAAAATTGATAAAGGGTAAGTATACCAAGTTACAAAACCTGAAACGCGTAAACATTCTATTTTTAGGTGTGACATAAAAAACAGTCATAAATCTAGCCAAATGATTGGATTCTTGCGCGGAACACATTTCCCACGCCTCGTGTTCACCAAAAAAGATTATAATAAAATCGCATTATTATTTGTACGGACCTTATCTCTTACCGCCCATAAATTATTACCAGTTAACTGTAGGCCCAATATGTGTTAAATTAGTACTTTAAAGTTTATGAGGAACATAAGCTGGTTTACAAGGACAAGTGATATTTCAGAGTTATTTGATTTAAAAGACAAGAATACATAGAGCTATTTTCACTTACGCGCCGCTTGCGAGACAAACAAAGAAATTAGGTCAAAAGTACATCTGGGAATTCTTAAATATTAAATAACAGACTGAAATAGAAACGGATAGTTCCGTTTTCTAAAATTAACGATGGCATCATAATCAATAGTTTCATCCCTCCACCGTTTAGTGAAAGCGAAACTGGTCGCCAATTTAATAAGCGCCTGAGCCGTGAGATGCCACAAAAATGACAAACCCAGAAGCGTTGAATCGAACGGCCTACTCAACTGTGACTCTAGGGATGCAGGCCTATACCAACTACTTAAGTAGAGTCTTCAGGTAAAACTCCATTTTAGCGTATTTTATTTCTCCGCTGCTTGTTTACCTCCAGTTGAGCGTATTTTATTATAACAACCGAAACACACCAAACATCAAGAAAACACTATTTATTTATTTGTATTGTATTTTTGTTTTAACAAATGAATAAAAAAAACAAAGAGACTGACTTTGAAATTTTGATAATTACTTTTGTTAAAACTTGAGAAAAATCCAAATTTAGAATATTGAGTGTGCAATGTTCGTGTGTCAGAATTTTCATGGCAATGGGTGAAGTACGTAAACGTAACTCACAATTGCAAGGCGGTTAAGTTTGTATTGTTACAAGTATCTCCCAGCCATGATACTATAGGCCTAAATAAACATGAATGAACTTCTAATGACCCCAAAACTGAGGCCAACACAATTTCAAACAGCTATTGCCCGAGCTATGACGTATGCTGATAATTAAAGTCAATGTGAACTCACGGTGAACCTGCGCCTGTGTAAGGATTTTTCTCCCGCTGACGATCACACGATATTTAATTGGAACAGTTCTGATGCTTTTTTATGTTTTTTTACCTTTTCTAATAAAAAAATCGCATTCATAAAAAAAAATAAGTAGATCTGTGTTTTCCTAACGTTTTTGTGTGTTTCGGTGGTAATCTATCGTTTTGGGTACGTAAAATCGCCCGCGACTTGTAATGTGAAAACCAGGTGAATCCTTAAATTTTAATAATTATTTCACATTTTGAGGAGGATTTATGTTTTTTAAAATACAAAAATGTTTCCTTGCTTCATTTATGTACCTGTTTTTAAACAATTGAATTAAAACTTTTCCGTAATAAATGAAGACTAGCGATGTTTCCAACAGATGCAACCATGCTCATTTACTATAGCAGCCATCTTGTTTAAGTTTTATTTTTATAAGCTTTTAGCGCCAGATTCAGGGGGAAGCCACTCTATTTTACAAATGGCTGCTGCTTATATAGCAAATCTTGCTCTCAGACACTGCTGTTTAAAGTTAATTTCTGGCCTATATCGTCACATTTAGCCATTGATTTAGGTTTATTATTCATTTATCTATAATATTTGACACAAACATATGACAATATACTTTAGGTTGAATTATGGATTTTTTTAAATAAAATATTCTGTTATTTTAAATACACCATTAACTTCCTTACCCCTTAAGAGAACATTTGACACCACATTTAAATATCTAGCTTACTCGGTTGACGAGAAAAGAGAGAATTTGAAAATTAATCAAAAATGGAAAATGAATGACAAAACAGCGTTCCTGGTCCTCGACCGGCATAACATGACGTCGTCGACCTGTGTACACGAGCTTTTAATTCCCGCCATGGTAATTGCGTCAGCTTAGGTAATTTACTCACCGGAAAATAACAAAAAGTAACTGGTTGATTTGATAATAAAACTAGATCTAGTTATTTTATTATTTATTAAATTCTAATCTACATGTTATTCATACCATTTTATGCAATAATGAACACCTGCATAAATCAAATGACCATAATAAATATTTTTATTTCAAATTCTAATTTTAAATAATAAATATGCTTAAAATGATATTATAGTTTATAAATACAAATACATTTTATTTTACACTCAATTCACATTATATTGAGTCAACAGTGTGGCAGCTGAGGTTCATACATGGTATTAGTGTCTTTTTTTTTTTTTACATTACATTTTTTTTTCATCTTGAAAACATGACGTATGTGATTTTTTTTTAAAATAAAATCTCCAAACATCGTCACTCGCGTGATTGCTTGCTTGCGTTTACTATCCTATTGATGAAAAATCCCACCACGGTCGCGGGGTCACCGTGACTTCAGCAGGCCTATAGTACACGTCATAGAATGAACACGTGTACACGAGATGGTCGGTGTCTTCACTTCTCTCCCCCCCCTTCTTCAAGCAAATTGAAAAACAGACCTACTTTCCTACTTCTGATCATTTTTTTAAAAGTTCGGTAATTTTTTTTTTTTTTTAAAGTTCTCATATCAGGCATGCTAGATTATTTTTTTAACTAGATCTACATCTAGCTTAAAAAATAAAATAAATAAACGCTTAAAATGCCCATAAACAGATTATTTAGCGCCAAAAAAAAAAGGCCGCTGAACGAGCATTTTTTAAAATACGCAGCAATGAAAATTGAAAAAGGCTAACGGCCGATCAATAAGTCTAAAAATCGCCCGTAATTAGGCCTAGCTCTGAAAAAGGCCACTGAACGAGCTTCACTAATTATATAAACGAATAGGCCACGCAGCGCTGACGAGGTTAACCACCGGTCACGAATGCAGCAACTGTCTGCCCACAGTGAAAAAAAAATCAATATACTAATAAAATTACTAATACAATAATAATGTCCATAATTTTACTTTTTCCGCACATGCTACAATTGAATTATAATTAAAATACTAGACTTAACAGTTCATTCCGCAAAAAACTAGATCTAGTTGTTTCTGTCTGGCAACTAGCGTAACAATGATGCAACGTTACTAAAAATAGCAGAGAGAAATTGTCGCATGGTTACTTACGGGGTAATTGGATTTTTGGTAAAAATCATCCATAATACTGTAAATATACATGGTAAATATCTCAATTATATATTAATCTACTGTTATACGGGCCGTTTTCCCCGTTATACGGTCGTTTTTGGCCGCGGTTCAGTTTATACGGAGAGTGCTCCACTAGAAATCCTCTCATTATTTACAACTACAATTCTAGCGATTTTTTCTGGCATTCTAAGGCATATTATCCATTTTATTAGCATCTTGTGTTAAAATAATGATAAGAATTTGCGAGATTAACAGTTTTTTCATATGTCGTGGATTGGACCCTAAAATAAACGTAAAAACCGTCAGAAAACGACGCGTGACGTTTCAGGGTCAGAGGTCAATCCAGCCGCTATCTAAGCAATGAGGCGGCCTAATATACTTCTATTAAAGCCTTGACAATGTGGTAACATTTTCGTACATTAATAGCCGCGGGCGATTTTACGTACCCAAAACGATAGATTACCGTTTCGGTTGTGTTTATTTATAATAAAATACGCTCAACTGGAGGTGAACGTCAAGCGGTGAATAAAATACGCTAAAACGAGTTTTACCGAGTCTTCATTAGTCTAGAAGTCTAGATCAAGAACTCAAGAAGAATCTATTCTAGATCTAGCTGTTGTAGATCTAAAGATCTAGATTTTAGACCTAGATCTAGATCTTATTCTAGACTAGACTAGATCTGGACTGGAGGAAAGTTTAAAAAAAAAAACGATCTAGGCGCCCAGTTGTTATTGTTATTTAATTTAATAATAAGACAAACTCACTTTTCAGCACAGTCGGCATCTATGACAGGATTCAATACAGGGTTAAGGTCCTCAGTTTTAAGCATTTTAATAAATATACCACCTTTTAGAAAACGAAAACTCCAACTCAAAGCTTAGATTGTGACAGCAAATTGAATGAAAGAATTAATCAACAAAACTTCCCGCGATTTTAGCGGAAGTAATCCCTTTAACCTTTTAGACTAGTAAAAAAGTGGCAATAAAGTGTGTGACGCATTATAAATTCGGTTAAATGTTTTATAATTATGTCTGTATAGTAGTAATAATACGGATATTCTGGTGTTAAAATTATGAAAATACGTAGGCCATTAATTAAACTTAAATTATATTTTAAAATGTGTGAATTCACTATGAATTTAATTGCATTCCCCCATTCAGTGACTCTCCCTAGGTGGGGGAGGGAGGGGAAGGGGAGGAAATACATGTAATTATCTCTATTAGTCTATGCTCCTATAACTTTTGGTAAATTACTTTCATTTAATTAAATTAAGTTAAATTAAATAGTTATTGGGTTAAAAACTGCATTAACATCTGGTAAATTTACAAAATCTTGGAACAAATGTGCCCTACCTATAAAGTAGCTTACATATAAATCAACAATGGGTAATGAAATGAGATGCCATATTCCTTATTAATATTATAGGCCTAGTTTATTTTCTGTACTGTGCCCAAGCGATTGCCAATTTTGAAAACTTGCATTGAATGTTTCTGACTGGTTTAACCTACAGATATAGGCCAAGTGTTTCTTATTCTATAGCTACAGGGCATCTAAATCCAAACCCTATCACTCAAGTGTCTGTAAAAACAAATGTGTTTCCCACAAAAATGATAAGGCTTTTAAACACTGGTTTTGTCTTAAAAAAACATAAGTTACATATAAGCTTCCCTGTTCCTCCATTTCACTCTTTAGTCTTTGTCACCCAAGTTTGGTACCTAACTCAAGTTAAGGAAAGTAAAGGCAGCTGGGCATAATGCTGACTTATTAATCATGGATCACAGAAACAGGTGAACTCTACGTCATTTGTCCCATGGACCGTCTTGTATAAAAAGGGCACTATATTTTAAAATCTTGTATAAGGTTATGCCTGTATTATTAGAGATCCATAAACTTAACAAATTATAGTTCATTTTAAACCATCCATCCCACCTATCAATGTAGTCCTATCAAAGCTTATTCTGTAATCAAGTCTAAGATGTTTCCATAATAAATACTTCAATAAATCCACTTGTAAAAAGTTGTGTCTGTAACTTGTAAACATAGCAGATCATTCCAAACAACATTCTGTGCTTCCATCTTGCTCATGTGGTAACCAAGCAACCATTAAAATAAACAAACAAACCATCTTTTCTGAATCATAGATATTTTTTATTAAAGGGATAACAATAAATGAATGAATATATATGTATCCTGTAACTCAAGCAAACACAATAGTAAATGCAAGAAGTTGTATTGCTGAGATAGTTATAGAAGCATTAAAATAGCATCATATAGGAAACCAGTCTCGTTGCTTGAACTAAAATATGGTGAGACACTGGAGGAATGAGATTCTTGATTTAAAATTGCAGACATTGTTTCTGGTTTGTTCTCAGGCTTCCATCTTTTAACCATGTGTTAAGTTTGTTCAATAGGTGATTTTCTTTTGTTAGATCAATTATTACTATAAAAATATAAAATGTTTTTTCCTATTTCTCATATGATAAAAAACATGGAATTTATAGTTTCATAGGCTACCAATGCCAAACAATGTATGTTTGTAAAACAAATACACAAAAAAATACTTAACTATCAAAAGTGTATCTATGACAATCTCATTCCCTCTCTTTATAAAAAACAGATGGATAAAAAAATATTATGCCTTTTCATGATTATAAAAAGACGCCATTTATAAGGATAAAGCTGTTTGTATCACATGGTGTTCAATACAAGTAAAAGTAGAATTGGTATAAAAATTATATGATTTGTTTGATTCAAAGACAATCATTTTAAATAAAGTGACTAGAGATTCGGTTATAACTGTTTACCAGAATGATTAATATAGTTCAACATTTTTTAATACAGCAACTGCATTATTTTACTTGACAAGCATAAGGATGCACTGATTCTGTTTACACTATCTTCAACATCCAGACTTATATGTATAGTAGTTACAATTTGAAGAAATAAGAATCAAAATGTATGTGGTGACCAAGAAGCTTGGCTGAACTGTGGTACTCACATGAATCTAAATGATACATAAACAACATCATCAAATATACATACATCAGGGGTACTAGGTTGGACACTTCTATATTTTAAAAATGGCAACCAGGCTGAAAAAACCTGGCCAGTGTCTGAGTTGAATATTGTCTCAGGCTTAGTGCATACAAGAGAAAGATTATGAATACAGCAAGCAAGGCATGTGGATAGTTACCATTTTGTTTAAAATATTTGTATTTCTGGATTTTATATGAACATCTTTGGTGAAATGGATTTACTCTTGATTGTGTAAAAAATAAACCATTAAAAATAAAATAGATGGTTAGTGTAAAAATGTTAAAATATAGTAATTCGAATAACCACCATTTACACAATATCAAACAAATTATCCATACTATACAAAAATATGTATGGGGAGTGTATAATACTTATTAGAAAAACTAGACTTGGCACTTTGAGAATTGAACATGCACACTATACTGATACAAAAATGATTTTTGTGACATGCATTGATTTTGTGAGCTCAAGTGATTATGTTGATTTTATAGTATATAAATTACACAATCTAATTTTTGTACATAGCTTTGATTCAGTGATTTATAATGCTTTGTGGTTAAGTACAGCAAAAACAAGACTATTTACATTTGCTTTGATATGAGAACATTAAAACAACCAACTACAATAATAAACAATCTGAACACCATCACAAAAATAGCACCAAAATCTGAGACTGAAATGCTGCGAGGAATGGATGCTCAGATTATACCTTCAGTTTTAAAATATACATTACTCATACAAATATTCAGTTAGTTTAAATATGCTGGCAGGACTATATAGTATACTTTCAAGTTTTTTTTTTGTTAAATTAAGGATTAGAATTCATATTCTTGCTGGTACTGCTGTTAGAATAAGGGTTAGGATTATAGCCTGGGTTAGAGGAGAATTAATAGACAAAAAAAAGCCCCTTAACACGTCCTGCCAACCAACTTAATACTAAGTACAGAATATGTAAATAACTAAAGTGAAAAAAAACCATCCAGTACAAACATGCAGGTAAATTTGATCTTTTGTTAAATTATTCAGTAGAATAACATGGCAGGCTCAAGCAGTTAAAAACTCAGCACTATATACATGACATGTATATATTTGAGTATACAAGTGAAAGCAAAAATTGTATAGGCCTACAGAAAAGTAGAATATTGTTTTGGATTCAGTAGATCGGACGGGACAGTTTTGCATTGAGAGAAGCATGCTTGACCTAAGGATAAAAGACATTATGTTCAACATTTGGATTTAGTTAGTAGGTGACATGCAAATGGAGGTTCAAACCAGACTCATAGTGACAGATTAATTAATAATTTCTACTTGACATAAATCATAATTCTTCTTTAAAAGGAGGTGCTTCTAGTATTGATCCCTCATCCATTTTAATGAGTTCTTCATTTGGGTCAGGTAGTTTCTCATCGGAACCGTCTCCATCTACAATGCCTTTCTCTATAACAACAGAATCCTCTGTGTCAGAGATGTAATTGGGTTCCCCTGTGTAGTGAGTTGGGTAGACTAAGTAGGGTTCTGCAGACAGAGCTATCAGGTTACGAGGTGAAAACTGCACCTTCCATTTTTCTCTGACAAAGAAGAAAAAAAAAAGCCACCTTAAGGTAGGGAACAACAAACAACAAAACAAATGAACAACTAAATAAAAGGTCTGTAAGGAATGTATATGATAACTGACCATCAATAAAATAATTGTTTTTAGTTTTTCAATAAGTTGGTTAATCTGCCCAACTCTGTCAGGCAAAACAAGTGTATGTCAATCAATGTATGACTGTCTAACAAATGTAATGTATGACTGTCTAACAAATGTAATGTATGACTGTCTAACAAATGCAATGTATGACTGTCTAACAAATGTAATGTATGACTGCCTAACAAATGTAATGTATGACTGTCTAACAAATGTAATGTATGACTGTCTAACAAATGTAATTTATGACTGTCTAACAAATGTAATGTATGACTGTCTTAACAAATGTAATGTATGACTGTCTAACAAATGTAGTGTATGACTGTCTAACAAATGTAGTGTATGTATAATAAATGTAGTATGCACTGTCAAACAAATATAGCATTAGACTACCAAACTTAGTCTATGTCTGTGTTAGGATGAGAGTTTATGATGGGGGTCGATACTTGAAGGACAACATGCACAGAAGCCAATGATCCAATATGAACCACGAACAGGGCAGCATTGGTTCATTTAATCGTTTATTGAACTGTTAAACAACTATATCCACGATGACAGACGAATACATCTAGCTACTAACACAACAGGACGATGACTGATCTAAATTATTTTCCCTAACAACAAAATCCTACTCTCCCACGTCACATCCTTTTGTACCTCGTCACACATTCAGAATTTTTTTTTTTAGTATAAATCATTCCACATCACACATAACTTTTATACCCATGCAGTACACTGAAATACCATTCACAACAGTCTGTCTATCAAGTAGTTTACACCATACAAATGTCAAACTAATATAGTTATGTACAACAAACTTACTCAGTGTGCCTGTCAAACATGATAGGCAGGTACTCATCCACAGGTACCATCTTGGCAAGAGGTTTTTGAGCCAGCAGTTTGCGCGCTCCATGAATGGACAGAGCATAACTCACTGTCCAGTAGGAATAGTGGGGCCAGGCTAAAATTTCACTGCCCTGCACCATTTTCTCCAAGTCTTTACGTAAACGTTTTCTACCTAGATACCTGCAAATTGAAATTTGTAAAACATTTATAAATCACTTTTAGCCTCTATGCTTCTAAATTTGGTTTAATTAAACTACATTAACATTTAAGATAAGTTTCACCCAATATTTAATATGGGAAAACTTGCTTGGACATCTAAAGGTTGACTGAGGTAACAAAAAATCTATATAAATGTGTTGTACAAATATTTCCAGTCATTAAAAGTAATTAGTTAACACATGTCTGCAATCAGATGTTCCATTCAGGTTTATCCCTAATTGTTCACAGTAGAGTATTAATCTGCTGGACAGTAACTAGTACATACTAAGTACATGTTATTGCATGGTTAAACTAGTTTGCAGAATGACCCAACCATTTTTCAGCTGGGCGTAGTGCTGCCCACACTATCAATTCATAATCCAAGGTCACAGAAACAGGTGAACTCTACTTCATTTGCCCCATGGACTGTCAGTTTCAAAAACTTTACTTTTTTTACTCTCCATCCATTCCAACAGAATTTCAATTGCCCAATAGACCATTAGGTACAAAAGGTTAACACATTGCATGTACAGTGTTGTTCCTATGAAACAACAGTTGTCTAGAATTGAATCTTTTTCAATTCACTATAAACTATTAAATATATAAATGGTTGTGCATGGGATAGATATGTTATGTTTAAATAAATACGTACAGAAGATCCCAAACAGGAAATAAACTTTCAAGCTCGTGCATCAAATACTTCAATTTCCTCCGAAAATATGGCTCAAACCTAACATCGTCTTCAAAGATTAATATCCTGCTGTAATTTCTGGCAGCTGCCTGTAATGAAATTTCAGACTCTGAAATTAACCTGGTATTTTCTGTTGTCATTTGTTACATAGGTTCTCTGTTAATATTCACATACAGACATACCAATGCATTAATTCAAGGAATGAATTCTGGAAAAACATTACTTCAGATTAATTGATTTTTTTGTCATTTTATTACTAAAAAACAGCATTGCATAAATACTAATACTCTGCAATCATAATTTACTATAACTATGTTTTAAATGGATTCAAGCCTGAGTTCTGTCATAACAAAATTTTTACTGCTGTAAATATTAGATGTGTGCATGTTTGGAAAATAAACTGTTCCAATTGACTCAAAATGGCTGTAGAATTTACTTTCGAGATTTTTAAAATTATCCATTTTCTAAGTGTAACTCCGGTGTGTAAAGTTGTTTGTATACACCATTCTGTTTAGAAGGTTATACAGGTTTTGCCCTGACAAAGTTACAGTATTCTGTATGGTTGTTCAATACTTATCATTGCATAGCTTTATTATACCAAATTGTGTATTGTTAATTGCAAGAAACAAATAAACTAGTAGTTAGGCATCGTATTTTATCCTTCCTAATGATATATTTTAAGCTTGCCAAAACTTTAATACCTCTTCCCAAATTTGGTAATGGCTAAGAAAGCATCCAATTTCTCCCATTGTCATTGCTCTGTAGATGAAAAATATTTCATTCAAAACACTTTTATACAACACTTTAATCGCTTGACTAAAACCTGTAGAAAACATCATACTAAATACCTTCCATGATAAGGATCAGCAAACCCTGGCAGCTGTTTAATTCCTCTCTGATCCAGATATGTGTCATTGAGTTCTCTAATTAAAGAAAAGTATCAAGAAAGGGGTCATTTAGGTTTCTGGCTAAACAGAACTACTATGACAAATTATTCATTAAAAAATTTCTAATTATAATTCACTCGTATTGTGTCATATAAGAATTTTTTTTTAAGTTGTTTTTTTTTTTAGAAAAAAAGGATCACATGATCCTGTTACATAAAACTTTATCACATGTTCCTAGATAAAAATAAGGGTTGTTAATTTTAAGAAAATGATTATGCTAAAAATATTTTTCAGTGCAGCTTAACTTAAATCTTTAAAGTTTATGTCACTTACTTTCCATCAAAAGCATCTATAATTTTAACATCAAGGTCTAAATACTCAAAAGCTTTTAACATTCTAAATCTTCTGGCTGGACGTCTTTTTAAATTGATCATATAGATCTGCATAAAGAAAGAATATATTAGTTAGCATACTACTAACTAATCTTATAGATCTGGATATCATACAGATTTTGCACTAGTCAAGATTATATAGATGAGGAATAGCCTATAAGTTTTCTTTTTTTTTAAATCTTTTAACTTTGAGATTTAGAATGGACATGAAGGAAAAGAGAATAAAAGTTTTACTAATTTGCTTCCCATTTAACCAATAGGTCACTGGATTAGCTGCCTAAGTATTTTCTACAACTTGAATTGACAATTTTTACTGATTTGCTTCCCATTTAACCAATAGGATTAGCTGGCTAAGTATTTTCTTGAAGTGACAAGCAGTTATCACCTGGCATATTTTACCTCATCAAATCCAAGTTTATCTTTTGGTTGCAGGGGTATGCTGACATAAGGTGAGCTGTACAGGGGAGGGACTTCTTCAACTGTGGCCAGAACATTTTGGTTTTTATCAGTCAGAATAACAATAACATTTAACAGCTAATCATTACTCAAACAAACCAGAAAAACTGCAGTATATTTAATTTCATTAACTTTGAGTCATTTCATGATCTAAACCAGGGGTCTCCAAACTTTTCAGTCCGAGGGCCGCATTAACTATCAAATTTTAGTTAGTGGGCCAGTTTGTTCCAGGCATGTCTTTGATTTATCTGAGCAAAGTTCCTCAGCCATCACCAACAAACGTTTTTTCCTTGGACAAAAACATCTCCGCGGGCCGGACGCGAGGATCTCGCGGGCCGCATCCGGCCCGCGGGCCGTAGTTTGGAGACCCCTGATCTAAACTATTGTTTTGACATAATTAGGATATTAAAAAGAATTTTGCATTGTATTCTCATTTTTTTTAAACAATACAAAACATTTTAAAAACAATTAAGAAATATATTTGCACAGCAAAAGTAACATTTTAGTTATGACCACTTAGAAACACACACACAATATACATGAACATATTCCAGTCAGACTCACCCATGGCCTCTAGCTTGACATGATCAAACTGTTCCTTCTCCTCTTTAAGAGAGTAGTGTTTGTCTAATGGGATCATCACTTTACCAAAATACTCAGTGTTGATGACATGCATAGTCTCCCCTATGTGATAGAAAAGTCAAAACTTATTTTAAAATCATCATAAAAGTTGTTAATTGTGAGTAAATGATGAGCAAGCCTCTATTTTTAGAATACTATTATTTTATATTAAGAATGATAACCAAAAGTTAAACAGTTTAGTAAATTTTGATAAATAGGATTGCATTTAAGCAATTTATCATGCAACAACATCCATTAAGCTGAGTAGTTTAGAACATAACTTCAATTATTTATTATTTTTCCTGTTCTGCTTCAAGTGATAGAAAAATCATAGTTCTAATTTTTGTTACATTCCATGCCAATAATTTCACTAAAGCTTAACTGACTTCAATTAGGGGAAATTAATCACCTACATCCAACTTATAAAATGTTAAAATTAAATTATTTCACTAGCTTTAAATTTATATTGTATATCTCAATGTCAAGAACAAAATTTAGAATGGTTGGTGGAGTTGCAACTATTACAAATATAATTAATGTCCAACACTAACTTCAAATAAAATGGAAAGTTTCCATTTTACCAAATTAAAAACAAAACCCTACACAAAGAATATGATAGGGACTTACCCAAAGCTTTGACAGTTTTAGCGAAAATGATGATGTCATCAGCCGGCCCCTTGTAGCCCTCAGGAAGATTGCTGTAGGAGATGTTGCGGGAGAGAGGATGTCTCAGGTCAATCAGTACAGCTGTATGGACCATTGGTACTGGGAAAACACCCATGATCTCCCTATCTACGATTGGTGTGTAGAACTTTGTCCTTGTGTAGTAGCCCTGGAGTTCCATTGGACAAACTTTTCAATCAACATTTATTTACTGATTAGTACTTCACACAATTTAATATTATAATACTGTGATAACATTCTTCTAAATCTTGGTAATCCAAGCTCATACACATCACCATTTAAGATAAGTGAAATCTGGGTGTGGAGGTGCTTTTGATACATGGGCAGCAAAATTACCACATTGTACTGAAAAGAGAAGCTTAAGCACTGCATAGCACTTCTAAACAAAAGAGTTATACATGAAAAGGATTACTGAAATATAGCTAAGTAACAAATCAGATCAAATTACCATGTCTGTCATTCCTCCCCAGAAGTTGGAGTACAGTCCTGCCACTGAAGCATTAAGCATGGGCCCAATGACAAATCTGAAGAGTAATTTTTTTTTTATTTACAGTAATATTATAATATCTAAAACATTCTCAATCTGCTCTTTCTAAGTAATGTAACAATTAGAAAATGAGAGTCTACTTATGCTATATCCTTAAAAACAATCAAAAATGTAAAAATATTACTTACTTCTTTTGCTCAATAAGAATTTTTAAAGTCCTTTCATTTTCTAAAGTCACATCAGCATCTACCATCTGTTAGGCACAATAATTAACAAAATATTAATTTTCCACCGAAAACAAACATTTTAAGAAAACAACAGACTAGTACTTTGTGGTAAATAATTATGTTTGTACGGTTGAAAAAAACATACAAACAAATAGTCAGCCCAACTACTGCGAGCAAAGTTTAAAGCCTCCTCTCGTAATGCAATCACGTGGGTAAAACGTTGTGGTGACCAATCTGTAGAAGCATTCTCATCAGGGAAACCTGTTGGACATAATTCTAATTTTATATTTGCCTACAATGAATTCATAATGTTCATGTATTTATTTTTACATTTTTTTTACAAATTCTGAATTGGTTTACCTTTTTTGATCTGATCCAATTTAACATCCACTCTATGGTACATGGGAGTAACAGCGGCCAGCCATTCTTTCAACATTTCTGTTGAGTTGTCAATATTGTGGTCACTTCGTATCCTAACAGTAATAAATGTAAAATGGTTATTGAAAATCTGAACACAGTTGACAAAAAATAAAAACCTGCTTTGAATAACTTTAAGTAACTGAATTTCGACTATGTGTGATATTAATATGTCTCCTGTATAATCATTCACATTCATTAGAGCTAATTAAATATTAAGGAGAACTAAAGAAATAAATTGCAAGTACTGGACTTTTTTACTATTCTCTATTCATTTGGGAACTTTATTATCAATTCATCATCATCTTTTCAGTTAGTGCCCAAGACACATGAGGCAGATGAAGAAAAGTTCATGTTTCAATGACTTCGGCGTGCAGGGGAGGGAATGGTGTGATCAGCACTATGCCAGTTCGCCTTAGTTTCCCTATCGTGACTTAGATACCCATCAGAGCTGGGTGGACTCGGGAATGCCAGAAAGTCTCATGTTAGCAGTCATAAACTCTACCATCCAACCACGCTATTCACATAATTAATTAATAAGTAATAGGCTTAGGCCTATTATTATTATAACTTCAATATAAGCCTATTATACTATTATTATAATTAAAAATGCATAAATTGATTGACTATTATTAAGTGTTACACAACTATCTTTAGCCCAACTCTTTTTCTTAATGTTTGACTTGGCCTATTATCTAGTATCTATTTACTATTTATTAAATTATTTAGGCCTAGGCTAAGTAGTTCTTCTAATCTGGGGGTGGGGTGGAGATCGTATGAACCCTAACTTAACCTGCTAGCTTTCCTTTAATATACTATTTTTAATACTTATAAATAATCTATATATAATTCTCTTCATGGAGACCATAGAAAACACCAAGCTGTAAGCGCGCCTAGCAGCCCTCTCTCTTCCTCTCTAGGCATATCCCTACCACCCCCACATGGTCTGTTAAGCTGTGGTTCATGCTAAATGTTTACAATCGTAGACCCGGGTTTAGTGACGACTATTAGGGGCAGATAATTTAGTTTGAAACTATTTTAAATTTAGGGGAGGTAACTAAGAGGAGGCTGCTTTCACAGGGGGGGCTGTAGGGTAGGGGGAAAGGAGGGTTGGGTGTTTAATGTTTATAGTTTATAGTCCTTAAAGCAAATATTTTCAGTGGCAGCATTGGTACTGTCGAATTCACAAATTATGAATTACTGAAAAGTAGAAAATAAAACAACTAAATAGCGGCATATGATACGCCGCGGGTCGGCTCGTAAGTATTATTAGTCAAGTACCATAGTGCAATTCTTGATTTTGGATAGTCCAACTTTTCTACAAGTCCCAAGAACCAGGGTAAGGAGTGTTCTTTGTTGCGGACTAAAGTAGCAATAACGACAGTTGGAAGAAGATTTTGGCTCCCAGTGAGTGATTCTGATTGCACACAATTAGACCTTTTATTGCAGGAATGATCGATACTATAAATAAGTAAAAAGGTACAAAAATATAGGGTTATATCTGTTATACGAATTCGACACGTCAGTGCGTCTATGCAGCTCGCCATCTTACTATGGTCGCACTATCAAATTTGTTACAGATAACTCTTAGTAACAGTTTCTCTTTTATTACAGTAGTCTCCCTTAGGTCAGACGAGATGTCGAAGTCACTGCAGTGGATTTCTTAAATCGTTCAAGAATATTAAAGATCAAATTCAGTTGAAGCAATGAAATAAAGAAAAGTTAGACCTAAGGTTCATAGTCTCAGAGCAAATAGCGGTTTAATATTTAAAAAACCATGTAGATCTCTATGTTTTCTTTTTTTTTAATTATTTAAATCTAGATCAAAAATAGTACACTAAAAATAAAAAATAAACAATCTCAAGAGTCAATCTTTCTCATGACAATCAAGATCTAGATCTAGATCTAGTAGATCTAGAGAAAATAAGAAATCTAGATCTAGATCCAACTCGTACTCTAGATTCTAGAACACAGATCTAGATCTAGAGTAGAATCAATCTTATTCTAGATCTAGATCTATAATTTTAAAATAGATCTTATAGGCCTATAATTTATAATATATAGATTCTATCTAGATCTAGTCTAGGTCCAGAATTTAGTTCCTAGAAAATGGCTAGATCTACAATACATCATCTAGATCTAGAATTCAAGGCTAGTTTGAGTAGTTTCCAGGACCAGGTGACTGATGTCGATGAGTCTCTTACTTGGTGCCAGTTACTGAGTTAACAGTCTAGAATTTAGGTCTAGCTAATCAGCTAATGCCACTCTTGACTCTAGCTACTACTAGCTTGAGTTAGCAGTTAGAGTAGAGGGAGAATCTAGACCCCAGCAAGTGTCATTCTTGACTACTCTGTCTAGACTTCTAGAGTCTAGAGAACTATCAGTACTAGTCCTAGATCTAGTGACTCTTGATGTCTAGCTGACTCTAGCTACACCAGCTAGACTGGCTAGAGCAATACTTCAACATCTATAATCCAGCTAGTGTATACTAGTATAGACTCTGTAGTATGTAACAGGTTTTCGTACTACCCCTACCCCATTAGAATATTGATTAAAGCTATCTTTAAGTGTGCAGACATTTTTAAAAGCTTTCAACTTCATAAGTACTGGTTTTAAATACATTTTAGACATCAAGTGTAATATGGAGTGTACTGGTTATTGTAGCTTTGAGTTAGTTTTAGTGTAGTGGTCATCTGACAGAAAAAAATGGACTTTAAACATGGAGCTAAGATCTTTGGAAGTTAAAGTGCTGCTATTCATTGAATATAAATCATAGCAGAATTTTGTTTCTATAATTTAAAATTCTTTAAATCTTAAGAATTAAAGACTTTGGGAAGAAAATGGTTAGAGTAAATTAAACCAAAGAAAAAATGTCTGAGTAAAGTTAATATATTACACTACTGAATGGATGCAAATAATTTCCTTCCTTTCCTAGACATACAACATGGCAAGTGGAGGATCTCTTCATATGGAAGACCTGCTCCAGTTCCTGGAATCAGCTGATACCATAACAGACATCAAAGAAATTATACTTGAAAATTTGAAATCCAGTAAGCCAATGCTCATTTATTTTTTATATTTTAAAACTATTCTTTTTTTTAAGGATTTTTGTAATTTTTAATGTTAAATTTTATCAATCCAAAAATTTTAGCCAAAGAAACCTGGCTTATTCCTGCGCTGGTGGATTATTATTATCAAACACAGTCCTCTGATGTCCAAGAAATTCTGGCAGAGCTGCGGGATGCTCAAGCTAAGGCAAGTCTTGAACTGACTTTAAATAAATCTATAAAGACCTTGGGTTGAAACCATCTGTGTAGTTTTTCTTCTTGCTCTATATTGCTGCTGTAATAGTCCTTAAATTAATGAGAATAACTTTTCCTAGTGTGAGTCAGGTATCCATCAGAGCTGGGTGGCCACCTTTACTTTTCCCAACAGGTACCTTTCAGACGTGGGTGGACTCAGGGACATCCTGCATTCCCCAGTGCAGACTGAGATCTGAACTCAAAACGTTTGGGCTAGCAGTTTATCACTCTACCATTGGCCATGCTGTCCCACAAAACCTTGATATAATCTTCTGTTTATTCCTTCTCTCTTCTTGTTTGATTACTGCTGCCTCTCAAACCAATTCAGTGTTGGATTACTTCATGACTTGTTTTTTAACCTTCCAGGTTCTTCTGGACAAGTTATCAGATGGGCTTAAGTCAACAGAGAACAGGATACACGCCCTGCAGCTTATTCTGTTCCTTGTGTACAAGGAGCTGCCGTGGTGCCATCTGATAATGGAGACACAGCTGTTTGCATCAGTCATTAAAGGCCTGAAGGTTTGTCTTGGTCCCTGTACCCCTGTCTGCTTGATAGTTTAGAACTTTTACTTAATGAGATAAAGGAAGACAGATTTAACAGGGTGCGGTGTTGTGGGAGAGAGGAGTTATAACTATGTAGAAGAGTTGGAGAAAATGATAAAAGAAGTGGGGACTCAAAAGTATTGTTACCTCAGAAGTGACCTATTGGTAGAGTGTATGGTTGCTTACATGATAGTCTCAGGTTCAGATCTCGTTGCCAAGTCTATGGGACAGCTCTGCATCCACCTGGCTCTGATTGGTACCTGACTCACAAGAGAAAAGTAAAAAGTGTCTGGGTAGAGAACTGACCTTTATGTGCCCAAATCATGGAAAAAATTCGATTCACCTATACTATTGACAGTTTTGTTTTTTGATTTCTCTGTAAAATGTTTTTATTATGTAATTATAGCTAAATCTGTCACTAAGCTAAAACTACTGTATTTTTAACCTTCTGTTCCAGCAAAAGCATGTGTTAAAAGGTGACCTTGAGGTGCCCGCCATGATGACCTCCCTGATGATTGTGATCATCCTTTTGCCATCAGTTCCTGTCAGCATGGGCCCACACCTTTCCACGCTCTTTGAAATCTTTGGACGCCTTGCAATATTATGTGTTAAAAAACCTGGTGAGTTTCTCTATTAATTTTTGGACGCCTTGCAATATTATGTGTTAAAAAACCTGGTGAGTTTCTTTTTTATTTTTGGACGCCTTGCAATATTATGTGTTAAAAAACCTGGTGAGTTTCTCTTTTCATTTTTGGATGCCTTGCAATATTATGTGTTAAAAAACCTGGTGAGTTTCTCTTTTCATTTTTGGATGCCTTGCAATATTATGTGTTAAAAAACCTGGTGAGTTTCTCTTTTCATTTTTGGACGCCTTGCAATATTATGTGTTAAAAAACCTGGTGAGTTTCTCTTTTCATTTTTGGATGCCTTGCAATATTATGTGTTAAAAAACCTGGTGAGTTTCTCTTTTCATTTTTGGACGCCTTGCAATATTATGTGTTAAAAAAACCTGGTGAGTTTCTCTATTAATTTTTGGACGCCTTGCAATATTATGTGTTAAAAAACCCGGTGAGTTTCTCTATTAATTTTTGGACGCCTTGCAATATTATGTGTTAAAAAACCTGGTGAGTTTCTCTTTTCATTTTTGGACGCCTTGCAATATTATGTGTTAAAAAACCTGGTGAGTTTCTCTTTTCATTTTTGGACGCCTTGCAATATTATGTGTTAAAAAACCCGGTGAGTTTCTCTATTAATTTTTGGACGCCTTGCAATATTATGTGTTAAAAAAATTGATACGTTTCTCTATTAATTTTTGGACGCCTTGCAATATTATGTGTTTAAAAACCCGGTAAGTTTCTCTATTAATTTTTGGATGCCTTGCAATATTATGTGTTAAAAAACCTGGTTAGTTTCTCTTTTCATTTTTGGACGCCTTGCAATATTATGTGTTAAAAAACCCGGTAAGTTTCTCTATTAATTTTTGGACGCCTTGCAATATTATGTGTTAAAAAACCTGGTGAGTTTCTCTTTTGATTTTTGGACGCCTTGCAATATTATGTGTTAAAAAAAACCTGGTGAGTTTCTTTTTTCATATTTGGACGCCTTGCAATATTATGTGTTAAAAAACCTGGTGAGTTTCTCTATTAATTTTTAGACGCCTTGCAATATAATGTGTTAAAAAAATTGGTACGTTTCTCTATAAATTTTTGGACGCCATGCAATATTATGCGTTAAAAAACCTGGTGAGTTTCTCTATACATTTTTTGACACCTTGCAATATTATGTGTTGCAACCTGGGTTATTTTAATGAAATCATCTAAGAGTAGCTCAACACATCCTGTCAAGCTGCTGTGTGTTTTGAAATTCCTACCATGAATAATTTTTGTGAAACCATGTTGCTTGATACGTTTACTTAAGTTGGCATATTTGATAAACTAATCTAGATTTTTTGTAAACCAGATGGACCATAATATTGTTGGTTAAAAAAATTATTGAACACGAAATTTATAGTTAGCAGGATGTCCACCTTATAACTGTTATTGTTAATAGATCAGACCACAATTTTATCATCAATGGACCTTTCACCAAATGGGTTGTATACTGACTGACCTTTTGAACTAATTCAGGATCAACTTGTACATAATTATTTGCCTATTGTTTTCCTAATCATCACAGTCAACAATGTGTATGTTTCAGCATCCATTGATGAAGTGTATTTTCTGCACATTCAAGTTGCCTTGTACAGTTTATTTAACCGCCTGTATGGCATGTACCCCTGCACTTTTATTGCTTACTTGAATAAGTTTTACAGTCAGAAAGAAAATATTCATGTTTATGAAGAGGTGATTGTGGTAAGCCTCTTTTGTTTTCTGTCCTTTTATTTTTATTTTTCTAACCAGTTAATAGAATATATTATTTATCTGACTTTAAAAAGAAACCAACAACATTTCAAAATCCAAAGTGTTGCAAAAACATATAATGTTTGGATTTCTGATTGGTGTTATATTTGTAGATGTATGATGTTATCTATTTGACATTGTCTTTCCCTAGCCTATGTTAGAGAGAGTCCGTCTCCATCCGCAACTTGTTATTGGTCAAAAAGAATCAGAAACATCTTCCAGCAGGTGGGTTCACTAGTTTCAAGTACCAACACAAGATCCAACAATAGTAGATCCAATACAATATCCAACAATAGTAGAGCCAACAACACTAGATCCAACACAATACCCAATAGTTGTAGATCCAACAACACTAGATCTAACAACATTTGATTCAACAACACTAAATCCAACAACACAAGATCTAATAATTGTATATCCAACAACACTAGATCTAACAACATTTGATTCAACAATAGTAGAGCCAACAACACTAGATCCAACACAATACCCAATAATTGTAGTAGGTAGTCCAAACTGGCGAAAAAGTGCGTTTTATGGTCAGTTTTTGCGGTTTTCAAAAAAAAATTTCACTACTTCTAGTTGTCCTATAAGAATAAAAATTATATGTCAATAAAGTTTAAGTCTTTATCTGTCGTAATCTGGTATCTTTATATCTGTAACACATGTTTGAATGTGTTTTATATTTGTTTAAAAAGTATCAGTTACGTCAACAAATTTCACCGTTTTGCGCGTACCGATCGACCCCACACTGTTTCATTTGGTTGCGGCTTCGCGACGAAGCATCGTAGAAGCATAATCTTAATGTGCTTTTAAAGAGCGAATTCTAGTCTATCGTTTAATGTATAAATTGAAAAAATAACTTGCTTATTTCATTTAAAAAAATCAGTTTTTAAAATTTAAATGCCAATATATACACGAAAACAAACTAATTCTGTTTCAATTTTTACACCGATGTAAAGCTCACTTTTATAACTACTTTGTGTTGTAAATTCAAGTATTTCTGATTTACGTGCCCTCAATAAGCATGTAACCCTCGAGTCAACTTTTAGCCCGGGGTGAGTTGCTCGCCGAAAGGTTTTAAAGCTTGACGACCGATGATGCTAAACGGATTTTACCCTTGCTAGAGCCTTCAAACAAGTTGTAAGTATCATTTTTAAAGTTTCATTTCCATTTTAATAAATGAATTTTAAGTTTGAATGTCAGTTTGGTTTAATTAGTACACGTTATTAATGTAAATTTGAACGATACTAGTCCACGGTTTTGGCGTGTGAACTACGCTTGTACACAGGGTGTGTTTAGACGTGAAGCTATTTAATTCAGGACATTCTAGGGACTTGAAATATGGATGCACTTAACTATTAGATGCTAGTGTTTACTAATTCTTTAAAATCTATCGACTGGGATCAATGATAGGGTCGTATTACTACAGTTTATCTGGACTATCACGTCAAAATTATGAATCGACAAATTCAAAATGGCCACCAGACTATCCTGGTTACTATGTGGACGAACTCAATTATTTACAGGGAACGAAGGTTAAATACTTATAAAATATTAATGAAACACAAAAGAAATTTATAATTATAATAACTATACATTTTTATCAATTTATTTAAAACAAAAGACACTAAATTTTAAGGACTAATGTGATTATTTTTTTTATTTTCTGTTGTGCACTCTGATTCTGATTCCCCTGCTGAATAATGTGAAATGGTCTGCGCCAGTCTCCTTAATAAAATGTACCAGATCAATTTTTAGATGGTGGTGCAATTTATTAAGATTGTACATGTTGTGACTTAGTTTTAAATGTTATATTAGTTGTAAGTGTAAGTGTAAGCAGTACTAGTAGTATTTCTCATTATTTATTTATTTTATATGCATATAGTAACAATGAAGGACAGTTAAGTTGTCCTATAGGATGTTGAGAACCACAGTATGGCACCTTCGTCATTGGATATCTCAACCATTGTGGCACAAGCAACGAATATTTCATTCAATATAATTAATATTAAAAATATACTATCAAGTATAAATTACTTTTAACAAAAAGGTGTTTTCAGGCTTTTTCATGTTTCCAGCTACAGTCATAGGACAAATAGTAGGCCTACACAATAGGCTAGTAGTAAGTTTAATTATATTTTATTAATCACTAAATAAATTATTTATTCCATAGCTGGAGACATTTATGGTGGCTTATCCAGAACTTTCCTTACAAGGGAAGGGAAGGAGGCCAAGCCCCCCCCCCCCTACAGTTCCCAAAACATATCACTGACTCTTGATGCTCCACAAGATCAAGGTTGAGGGAAACAAGACATACAAAGATGTGGAGTTGTGGTTTTAAAAACTGTTCCCCCAAAGCAGTTATCAACCCGATAGGTTTGAATGTAGCATCAACTGCTACATCACTTGTAGGCATCACGTCTTTATTAGATTACATTACATTACTCCACTAAATTTTGATTCTGTTTCTCCTGCACTATATAACTGTGGCATTTTTTGAAAATAATATTTTAACTCATGTGATTTTTGAAAATAATGAACACATTCTTCCTGTTAATGTTACCAACACAATAGTTTTAGAGTTATTCTATGTCCAAAGCAAAAAAAAAAAAAAAAAAAATTAGAATTTTTTTTTTTTTTGAAAATAAAAGTGACCAAAACGCATTTTTGTCATTTTCAATTATTTTTTTACCTTAGAAAGACTCATTTTAGATGACTGAAAAAAATTGGGCATATATATTACAAACTTTGCAGTAACTTTACCAATTTCTACACTTCTATGTTATCTAGTTTAGAAAATATGGGTTCTCAAAAATGGCTCTTTTTGAAAATCAGTTTTTTACCAAATTTTACTTTTTTAAAAATCGCATAACTTTTTTATTTATTGAGATATTTTTATAAAATTTGTGGCATAGAGCTTACAATTAAAAGTTCTTTCATGACATATTCACTCCAGAAGTCTGCAATCAATAGTTAATTTCAGTTTGGACTACCTAATTGTAGATCCAACAACACTAGATCTAACAACATTTGATTCAACAACACTAAATCCAACAACACAAGATCCAACAATAGTAGATCCAACAATAGTAGATCCAACACAATACCCAATAATTGTAGACCCAACAACACTAGATCTAACAACATTTGATTCAACAACACTAAATCCAACAACACAAGATCCAACAATAGTAGATCCAACACAATACCCAATAATTGTAGATCCAACAACACTAGATCTAACAACATTTGATTCAACAACACTAAATCCAACAACACAAGATCCAACAATAGTAGATCCAACACAATACCCAATAATTGTAGATCCAACAACACTAGATTGATACTGGGTAGTAATATACACCTGAAGAGCAAGTAAAAACTACTGGGTTAACAGGCAATGTGTTAGAAAAATGCTTGAATCTACTTCTAAGTAAAAGCTGGAAAGAAAGAAAAAACATTTAAGTAATGTTAATATACTTCAATAAGTTTGGTGAATACTTTTTTATGCCGTAAAAAAACTGCTGTCTATGTGCAGATGGAAGAATCAAGAGACGCAAGACATTGTTGTGTCTTGTTCCAAGCTGTCCCTGGACCTGATAGAGGGGTCATGGGAGGACACTCACTGCCCAGTCTTTCACAGCATCCAGTCTGTAGACAAGTACCGCTACTACACCCAGAACATCCTGCGCTTAGAGAAGAATAAAGGTGAGCCTGTCAGAGCTAGGCACCATGAGTTCCATTTGTCCTCCATCTTGTTTTATTTTCCCACGTTTTCTTTAACTTGCAAAAACGTGGGGCGCCGTGATTTTCTTACAGTTTTTAATACTGTTGACTCTCTACAAGCTCCCTAATAAAAGTCAATAGTATTATCTAATCAATAGTAATATAACTTTTACTTCGGCGCCCCACGTTTTTCATCGCTTATAGTAGAGTGATCGCTTGCATTATTGTGATGTATAACATTTATTTTCTACTTTTTAGTTCAATCAAAAAACGTGGGTTTTTTAAAACTTTTTTAATGATTATTATTTGTAGTGAGTTCTGTCAGATCTAGGCACCATATTACTGCCAGTCTTATTCCTACCAGCCCTACCTGTCCCCTTTGCAACTAGTCTTATGGCTAAAAGTCTTATTTCTAACAGTCCTATTGCTACCTGTCTTATTTCTACCTGTCCTATTGCTAACTGTCCTACTAGTCCTATTGTTACTTGTCCTATTGCTAATAGTCCTATTGCTTACCAGTCCTATTGCTACATGTCCTATTGCTCCCAGTCTTAATTCTACGAGTCCTATTCCTTACCAGTCCTATTCCTTACCAGTCCTATTCCTACCTGTCCTATTCCTACCAGTCCTATTACTTACCAGTCCTATTGCTACATGTCCTATTGCTCCCAGTCTTAATTCTACAAGTCCTATTCCTTACCAGTCCTATTCCTACCTGTCCTATTCCTACCAGTCCTATTACTTACCTGTCCTATTGCTTACCAGTCCTATTTATTTATTACAGCAGCCACTGAGCCTCTCAGTGTTCCCCAGAACAAAAAAATCAAAGACTTTGTGTCCATAAGTTCCCTGCGCATGCCACTGGATGCCAGCGCAGTTGGTGAGAGCCCCTCTGTGCTGATTGGCTTGTCTACACCACCATCTTCTCAACGTACAACACCAGCGGCGTGTCTGGTAGAGACAACCACTCCCACTGGTGGGTTTTCAATTTGTCAAGTCACTTTTGGTTATTTAGTCAACTTTTTCATGTTTAGGAACTTAATGAAATGCAGAAAAGTAACATCTGGTCAACTTTTTTATGTTTGACAACTTAATGATACTCAGTAAAGTAACATATGGTTGTTTAGTCAACTTTTTGATGTTTGGCAACGAAATAAAACAAACTCTATAAACTAGATAATATTGACCTGTTGTTGAATTTCAGCTGGTCAGACAGAAACCCCTGACCTGACCCCTACCCCTAGGCTGCAGACGCCTTGTCAAATTGATGATGGTGAAAAAGTAAACGTTAATTTTCACTTCAATATATCCCGTACAATAATATTAGTTCTCAGCAAACAATGTTAAAATAATTAGCTTTCTTCTACGAGTTTCAGAAAACTTAACCTAATTAGTAGTTTTCTGTTTAAAATTCCTAATGTTATTTTTAGTGAATAGTTGCATGTAAATTAAATTAACTTTTTTCTGATGAACTCTTCTGATTGGAATATTTCTTGTATTTCTAGACGCCGTCTAGTGGTACTAAAGGACTCTTCCAGCCATCATATGACAGCAGGAGGCCAACAGTTGTTGCCCCTAGGGTGTCGACCACCGTGCCCCACTCCACCCCAGTGACACCAGGGTCCTACAGCGTGTACTCCCCAGCCACGCCTACCATCGCAAACAACGACCCATCCCCAATCAGGTCTCTATCTCTCTTTGTTAATCTTCAGGGCTTATCGTGGTGCAGCTTGCCCAAGTTCAATATAATTTTTATTTTAAATAACCACCATGGCAAGTAAAGAAACAAAAGTACATTTTTGTAACACTGGTCCTTATGAAGTAGGGAGCATCTGTAAACAACCTCAACATCTCAAAGGTTTCTTTGGACAACAGAAACTATTTTTACTGTTTTATATTCAATGGTAAAGAGAAAGTTACCCTTTAAAATCTGGTGGCCCATGACATAGAGTTCACCTGTTTCTGTGACCTTGACATAGTAAAAGAAAAACATAAAGAATCCTCTTTAGACCTAGCAAACCATTGAGCACAGGATGTAGAGTTCATAGATTTCTTGACCTTGGCATATGAAGGGAAGATGTGGTCAGTACTTTACCCAGCAACCTCTACTTTCCCTAACATGAGTTAGGTACCCATCAGAGCTGGGTGGACTCAGGGACATTCTACTGACTTGGACCGGATTCAAACTCGAGACTTTCAGGTTAGCAGCCTAGCGCTCTACCGTTTAGACCAGGCTGTCCTTTGACATAGTGTGTTGAGTAATATTCCCTGCTACGATTACTTTAACTAATTTGAGTCAGGTACCCATCAGAGCTGGGTGTGCTCTACCATCTGACCACACCGTCCCATTGTTTTAAATTTGGCACTGTCTAAACTGAATGGACAACCCTGTACACTGGAGTAGGTAGACCTGAAATTTTTATTCAAACTTATACATTAACATTCTTATTTTTTTATTTTAGCTCTAAAATCAGTGCATTTTCTGCCCCTCAAAGTTCACCTAGTACAGCTATTAGAAGTATTCAGTTCATTCAACCTTTGGCTGAAAAGGATGAGGTAATAGAGCAGATTTAAACTTTAAGGAGAGAAAAGTGAGTGAAAAGTGGCCAGGAGTCCACAGTAGCTGATATTGTTTTATTTACTTACATACACAGCTGAAGACAGTTAGTAGCGTGCCTGAGGAGACAGCCCAGCAGGAAGAAAAAAGAGAGTGTGTATCAGTGGATGCTTTAAATCATGTGATCAGTAACATCTCAACTCCAGAGATAGGTAGTGTAACTCTTTTTTCTCAATGTTTATATTAGACTAGTTTTATACTACTAGCATAGTTTGTATTAAAAAGCAAATATATTTCTTCCTAAATCTTCCATGGGAGTATAAGACCTACAATATTGGCTCTAGTCTGAAGGCTGTTATATCACTCTAAGACTTCTGTTGAATGTATTTTCTTTTTTGTAAACACTGAGTGGGTATACGGTCATGACTAGGCTGACTAGGATCCTCTACTTGAGCCAGACAATGCTGTCCTGGCAATCTGTCACCTCATAACACACTTCTCACACCTGAGTCAGCGTGGGTCAAAAGTTTTCTTCCATACTGCAGCACACACTTATGTTAACCTTACTCATGTTTTCAGATACCTTGGATCAAGAGGTGGAGGAGATCAATGAAAGAGAAGACAAGTTTGATGAGAGAAACAGTCCAACATCTTCTATAACCACTTTAATCTCACAGCCAGATATGACTGCTGAATCAGTTAGACAGGTGATCTTAGTTTTTTTACTGCTGAAACTGTACTGAATCAGATTGGGGGTATTTCAGTATCACTAAACCTTTATCTTAGCTTTTTAAAGAATAACCCAAAGATTAAAGTTTAAATTGATTTAAGGAATTATTAAGTGTATTTTTTTAATTATTTTTTTTTTAGTTATTGCTGCTTATTCACACTAGGTAATATATGTTTTTTTAACAGTTTATGAAAAAAGTGAACAGAATTCGGTTCAACAGTTTGACCTCCAACTCTTCATCTGACTATGACACGGCTTCACTGACCCATGGTTCCCGCCACCAAAACACCAGACGCCCTAGATCATGCCCGCCATTCAAGCGCCGTGACAGGCAGGTGACATCAGAGAAGGTGCCATCTACAAGAGGCAGGAAACAAGGGGATGTAAACAATGCTGGACAACAGCCGTCAGATGAAACTTGCTCTAGTAAATTTTTATAATATTGATATGGTTCCCAAAAAAAAAACGCACAAAGGTATAAAGCGAAACTGAAAATCTGGCAAATAGAAAAAGCATAAGTTCAAACTCATTATGTTTAATCCAGTTTAATTTTGTCATATTTAATGGAAAATTTGGTTTATTATACTACATTTTCCTTGTGGTCATTCTTTACTAACATATGAGTTATAGATTTAAAATAAAACTTCCCAATTTTGTGCTTTTGTGCACAATTTTCTGTTTTGCTTTTACCTGAAGCTCTTCTTTCCGGGCACCGATTGATAGCCATCATATGAATTTTTGTCTAGTTCGTTTTTGAAATTCTAAATGTAGCACTTGTTTTATTTAAGTTAACCTAATAATACACAGGCTGGAATATTGATTCAAAAATATTTTCAATTTGGGTTTTAAATGAGTTTTTTATTTCTTTTTTTAAAAATGAAAATGACAAAAATTTTAGTGCTGGTTAGTTAAAGGTAATAGAATATTTCAGAATTCTGTTGACCAAAAAAGTAAATATTGTAATATTGCAAAATTCCTATGAATAGAAACCTTTTATTTTCAGATTGTGCCAATCATCACATTGAGACGTGTAAGACATGCAAGGCCCACCAGCTGGCCCATGAGTCATCGGTGGAGGTGCCGCCATTGCCTGCTCTCGTCAACCCAGTATTCCAGTACATTTTTGCCCCATCCAAATTAGCCATCTGCAGCAACTGCCATCAGCAGCTGCTTGTGACGTCCAACCAGGCACAACATGCTGGCACAACTTTAACTACTGTCAAAGGTGAGTGGCCAGATTTTTGTAATAGTGTTAAAACTAGACACTCTCTTTTTAATAAACAATAGCTGATAAACTTTAGTTTGAGGTGTTTCAGTTTTCAATCAATGGTAATCTGCTTTTAATAGTGTAACTAGCGTAAACTTTAACCTTTGGTTTGTATTTAAGCATTAGAGTATACTTAAAATGTATAGAGTTAATTAAAACCCCAAAAAATTAAGTTAGTGTAAATGACCGTTCCAATAACTGTGAAGATGACCTGTTACTCCCCACACTACCAGGCAATGAAGTGGCCCTGTTCAGCACAATGTCCCAGTCAGAGCTTCTGGACAGGCACATCAAGCTGGGCTCTGAGATCTATGCCAAGGAGCTGGTTAGGCTGCCCTTGACATGCAAGGACTCCACTAACTGGACACATTTTGGGGGTTAGTTTCTTGTTTTTGTTTTCTTGATGCTTGATTCATTACAAATCAAGTAAAAAAAAATGTTATCCTGGTCATTTTTAATGAAATGATGTACTTTATTTTTAAATATGGGTTATTAATTTTTACTTTTCTTGACTGAAAGAGCAAATTATTCTGATCCAAATCAGGCAAAGTAAAATCTGTTATATAAATAATATTTGACTCTTTGACCGAAAACATTTTCAAGTATTAAAAAAAAAATATGTACAGTAAATTAAAAAACAACACTTTTTGTTTTTACCTCTATTTGACTTTACAACCCTTTATGAGGGCTAAAAATGTTGTAAGATGGCTTGCGCCTCCTCTTCCAAAATCTACCTACTTGATTATTATTGGGTTCTCCAGAATTGGTCTATGGAAAATTTCTTTACACTATGTACACTGTGGCTGTGATAACTAACTGTTTAACACAACTACAGTAACTATCAGCAACATACAGCATATTTTTTTAACATCTACTTATCACTAGATTAACAGACTAAAAGTAAAACAAATTAGGTAGGCCTAATATATTCATATAGGTTCAATGCAAAAGAGAAACAAGACAATAACAATTGTGAATAGACCTCAGTCCATCATGTGCTGGATACTGATCACACTGCCAGCTCTACATTACCACCTTAAATGCCTCTGGTCACACACTATCCATCTTCTTAGCACATGTCAACTGTCACTCTCCATGTGATCATCTGTCATTTCACAAACTACACACTGCAATCAAGGGGGTTAACCATCATGTAGTAAGGGACACAACTCTTCTCTCTTACAGGCATCCCTCCTGTTGATGAGGTCAACATTGTCAGAGGTCAGGTCCTACTTCTGCACAACCAGCTCATGTACGAGCGCCACAAGCGAACCAATCACGCCAAACGAAACCGCCGTCTGCTGCGTAGGATAACTAACATGATAATGTTAGAAGAGCAGCAAAAAACTTTGGTAAGAAAATAACATTGTTTAGAAATTGTTCACATTAGTTACAATAACTGAATGGTAGGGAATTGTTTGTGATTCAGAATGATGGGATTAATGCTTTGGGTTATCAAGTGAGAGTAGTCTTTGTTCTGGTTGTGATTGTATTTGTATTGTGAAAGAATTTTGTGGGGAAAAATTGTTACAATTGAGAGGTATTTTAATGACTTCTACAGCTGGACCAGGTTCGTATGCACGAGCAAACCATTCAGCAGCTGAACATCAGCGTCAAGCTGTTGCAGGAAGAGAACAGAAAACTCAAACAGAGCCAGGAGTCTGACGAATATGAAAAACTGGTTCAGTTTCGGTAAACCAAAACAACTTTTAAGCATTTGTCTTAGGCTACAACAAGAAGTCATATATTAAAATGTTAATTATTGTGGCTTATGTTGATGACCAATAGGACAAGCCTGTTTAGGTTAGACCTACAGTTTATATTTTAAAACTTTATTTATTGTGGCCTACTTTGATGACCAACAGAACATGTTCATATTTTAACACATTATTTATGGTGACCAACAGAACATGTTCATATTTTAACACATTATTTATTGATGACCTACAGGACATGTCTGAAGGAAAACAAAGACTTGAAGGCTTCTAGTGTTGTGCTGAAGAACCTGCTGCTCACACAGAAAGAGGATTACGACAAGCAGCAAAAGGTCAATTTTCTTTTTGTTTTATGGCTTTTCAAAGTGAATAGTTAAATTGAATTTGTTTTTTAACTGTAAATTTTTTAATTTTTTATTTTTATTTTCATTTAACTATTAAAGAAATTGTCAAATTTTATTAAAAAATGTAGATTGTAACATTTTTTTAAACAAACAAGTCCAACAGTTTAAGTTATGGCTGTCTACATTTTTACCTAGTTAATTAAATTATGGTTTCCATTTTTCATCATCAGAAATTAGACAACGTTCAACACCAAAACTTGGAAAATGAGAAAGAATTAGAGATTTGTCGTGAGAGACTAGCCAATACAGAAAAACTAAAAGAAACAGTAAATATCATGATTTTTCTCATACTATGTCTCGGAAATTGCCATTTAGTGTTAGTTAATCGTTGATTTTTTTAAAATGAATTTTAAAAAATTATTTTATTGAATTTTATCATCTGTATGTTTACTTTTAAAAATCAATTTTTTTTTTGTTTAATTCCTGAAAAAATCAACTCCATTGATTCTAAACATATTTGTCTTTGATATATTTGTTCTTAATGCCACTAATTGATAATGAACCATGTTTTTGACGCCCCTCTAGGTATTCAGGCTGCGTAAAGAACTTCTACTTCTGCAAGAACTCTATCAGAAATGCCAGGAGAAGCTCCATCAGAGCAGGACTCCTTCATCTGTCAAAACAGAGGAGTCTTACTTGATCAACTCCCTCAAGATGCAGATTGACGGTTAGCTGTTTTTCTCTATATTTCACTTGTAGCTGATAGTTTTTCTTTTTGTAGAACACGGATATTATTGTTAGAGTAAAACAGTCAAAAATTTGTGTAATGGCCAAGATTGCTATATAGGCTATAATAATGCGGTTTGCTGTTTTTCTTTATATTTCATGTGTAGCTGGTAGTTTTTCTGTTGGTTGAACACTGTATCATTGTTAGAGTTTAAAACAGAGTAAAAAAATTATTTATGGCCAAGATTGCTATATAGGCAATAATATGACAGTTTGCTGTTTTTCTCAATACTTAACTTGTAGCTGGTAGTTTTTCTCTTGGTTGAACACAGATATCATTGTTAGAGTGTAAAACGGAGTCAAGATTAGTTTTCTTCTCGCACACTGCCTTATCAGCTATAATATTTTTGATATGACAGTGTTTCAGAAAAAAAAGAAGTATCATTTTTTAAAATAAAGTACGACACTCTTGATTTCACAAAATCTTGTATTAAACCCGGGTTAGTTTTATTTATTTATCTTGTTTGTTGAGTTTAGATCTGACAAAAGAAAACAAGAAGAAAACCCTATTGCTTGATGCCTATCAGACAAGAGCTTTTGAGTTGGAAGAACACCTGAAGACAAAAGTAGGCATTACAATAAACTTTCATTAGTGATGGAAATGTTTTTTTAGTTCATTTTTCTTGAGGCTTGATTTTAAAATTTATTTTTCTTGGCTTAAGGTACCATTGTATGAATGTTGTGTGGAGATATTTCTAGTATCTTGAAGCAAAAATTGTATTTTTACTGATTGTAGTGTTGACTGTTTGTATTCTTACAGGATCAAATTATACTAATGTCAGCTAACTTTAATTCCCTTAAAATAGCTTTTTTGTAATAAATTCTAATTTATGACTTGTTACAGAGATGAAAAATGAAGTGATTGGAATGAATGTATTAGTATTAATGTTTTTATTTTTCATAAGTATGATTATTTATTATTCATCAGGACATAGCAATAAATGACAGCAAGAGGAACTTTGAAGTTTCTAAAAGCTCACATACTGAGCAACTTCAGGTATTGTATGCCTAACAGAATAAAGATTTATAATTAGCCAGTTGAGAAACTGGTTCCCAGAACAATGCGCAAGTGAAAACTGAATCTTCACAAACAGAAAAATACACAAATACAAATCAACTATATTAAAACAATAACTTTTAGCACATTTTTCTGATCACCAAAAACCATTGACAAATAATAAATTTTGCTTTATACAATATGAACCTCAATATTTTAGTTATAATTCAGTAGCAAGTTTTCTATTTATTTCTAGGCTGCTGAGGAACACTGCAAAAGTATGGTCCACATCATTCAGCAATTGGAGGTCAAGGTTATGGAGCTCACCTGTCAGTTGGACCAGGCAGCTCACAAAAAAATGATGGAGGCTCGTGCTGCTCAACTCAAGAGTAGCGCCAACAGTGGCAAAACACTGGAAGTTTCTAAACAAAGCCCAGCAGTAACCCAGTCCCAGGTGGAGCCAGATAAAACTGTGCAACCAGATGCCAAACAGGACACTCAGATTGCCAGCTTGGATATCAGTAAGGAAACAGCAAGTGTGGTTGTTGCAAGTAACACAGTCTCCATCTGCAGTTCAACTTTTGTTGACGACCCGCCCATGCAGGGCAGCCAGCCGTCTTTCATATCTGGTCATTTCCCATCCAGAGACATTGACTCTGGTGCTGCCAGCAGATCCTCCTTCAGGGGGGACAGTGATATCAGCTTTGCATCCATTTCAGAACAAAGCCACACAACGAAAGACAGTGGATGTTGGCCAAAGGAATAAAGATTCTTCCGTTTACGATGTGAAGAATTTTTCTTTTTAAAAAATTCATAAACCATTTTATGATTATTAGTTGGGGAAAAAAAGCAAGTTTTTTTTTTACTTCTGTGATTTTGAAACATAAATTATTGAAAATAATGAAAAGCTGTGGTGGATAAAACATGCTTACACTTAAATCACAGATTTTGTTTTGCTTGCTAGTCATTCTATGAATTCCAGTCCACGAATTTTAAATTTTTATTGATGTTACTTACCAGAAAGTCTAGTCAAAGTGTTATTTTTTAAAATTGATTTTGCGGCTTGTTCTAATTGTCCAAGAAAAAAGAAATTTCAAAATGGAGAATTCTTTTAGTTTGAAACTTGTATATGTGGAAGATGTCAGGCATGTTTGAATGAATAATTTTTTAGAGTAAAAATTGCAATTTAAATAATGCTAACCCATCTTTAGAACCGTGATCTATTGTTAGGGCTACCTGGCTAGCCAACCTTTAGAATCGTGATCTACTGATTTAAGCTACCTTCCTAGCCCACCTTTAGAACCATGATTTATTGGTAAGGGCTACCTTATATTGGTTGTAGTAACCAGAATCTCAGCAGTTTAAAATTTGTGTGTGATCTTTCCTGTTTGTGAGCATAAGTTAACTCCCCCTGCAACTAATTACAGTATTGTAAAGAATATTGTAAAATTATTTGCCTTTATTTCACTGTAGGTACTTTCACTTGCTGTACGCTTTGCATGGTTTTTTGTTTTTTTTTTACTTTTATATATACAGTTTATTTGAAAACTGTATTTCTTTTGAGAAAATATCTGAGTAAGTATTTGGTCAATCCAGGAATTGTTTTTTGTTTTGTTTTTTCTCTCATTATGCAGAAAATGTCTTAGATAATATTATGGAGGGTTGTGGCATGTAGAAATAGGATAGGAGGCTTGTGTCAAAATTGGCATGTTGTTGTTTATAATAGTACATAGTTTATAATATGTACATGATCACTAACAAGCAACCCACAATGTCAGATAAGTTAGGCAATTGCAAGTCAATTGCTGCTGAGGATTTCAGTCAAACAAACTTAAATTTATTAAAACACAAATTTCTAGAATCTTAAAAATGTGAATCTTATTCTACCCTAGAAAAAAAAATTTTAAATTATAATTAAAATATTATCAATAAAAAACCTAAAGTAAGAATTCGCTGACAGATCTAATATTCTAAAGCAGTGTTTCTTAAACTGATTTCGATGCGTCAGTCTCAGGGGTTTGGCAGATATCAAGACACACACCAGACTTATTTAATACGTGCTTCGGATGAACGATAGAACTATTAAGAAGGGTTCAGTGAATGTGCATATGAAATTGTGGAGGTGTTTGTACCTCCAAAAAGGTTAAGAACCACATTAGTAAAGCTAATGTATCTCTCTAACAATTATTTATTATATTTCTACAGATCATAATAGATTTTTTTAATTAAAGCACACCAAAGTTATAATTTGCTTATTGTTTTTGTATTATTAGAATACTATTTAAAACATTCCAGTTTTTAACTGATGCTCTTCATAATAACTTCAAATAATTTTTGCTTGCTTTGTCTGAACTGCATAACATTCTTTGAGACACAGGTGGAGAAAATAGTAAACTTCCAGTATTTTAAGTTTTCTTTGAAAAAATTAAACTGTGATTAAGTTAAAGCAGCTCAAGTTAATCAAGGTTGTGTAGTAATTATTGGAGAAGAAAATAGATATGTACTTACAAAGTTTGTGGGTCTATGTCCATTTTCTATTGTTTAAAATTTACGTTTTTAACATAATTTAACTTAACATTAAATAAGTTAAATATTATTGATAATCAGTTTTTTTATTTACAAACTGCTGTTTAATTATCATACATGTTAATCAATTGAGAACAGGAAACAAAAATGCCAGTACTAATTGCTAAGTGATCACTACAAATAGTACAAATATAACTTTCATTAAGTTTTTTTTTTTTTTATTGTATTAATTTAAACAAGTATTTTTATGTAAACATCTTTTGAGAGTTAATATAAGTATAAGGAGTCTTTAAAATTACTTTTCAACTGCAGTAACTGGAGTTGAACAAATACAATTTTAAGTTTTTGTGCCTCTTCAATTTTCAGTCATAGCTTTTAAAACTTTGAGTAAAAGTACATAATTTGTTGCTTTTTTTTATTTACTATAAACTAAACATTAAAGCATTATTGTCTTTATAATTAACTTAAAGTAATATTTTCAGTGTTATAAAAACTAGGAATAAAAATAAAACTTTTTAAATGCTCAGATTAATTGTATTTTTTCCAGTTATATGATTAACTGAAAAATGTCGAAATTAAATCCAGTATTTCATGTTAAAACACATGTTCTTAAATCAAATACAGTATTAACTTTGATATTCATTAATGTTCTAGCAGTGGTGAGTTTTTTGTGTTAGATTAGCAATTTCTATCTTGTTTTTGAGGAATATGGCTTTTAGTGAAAATTGTGTTAGCACTATGTTTCCCTTTATTAAAGAACAATACTAGTTTTAATATTAAATTTATTTCTTATAGTGCTTGTTACACCCATAACTAAGAGATTGTATTATCTCATTGTAAGTGCCTCGCCATTATTTCAGCTGAATTTTTTTAGGATCGTTGAAATTGTTTTTTAAACTTACAGTTACAAATTTTCATGTTTTGAACTAATCTGAAAGTGATTTATTTTTTAATAATCCAGCAAATAATTAACTAGTTTAATTGAAGATAATAGTACTTGAAACTGTTTTATCTATGTATTTCTATTGATTATACAAAAACATTGAATAATTTTGTCACTAAAGAACTTTTGACATTAATTCAGTTATTCTCATTAATATGAATTGAGAAAAGGTGATTTTTTTTTGTTTGTAAAATAAATAATTGTGAAGGTATAACAATGCATGATGTATATTATTTATATTTTCACCTAAGTACATTAAACACAGTTTAAATGCACCTAGACTGTAGCAGAAGTTTTTATTTGCTTAGTTAGTATCTAGTCGACTTTGTAAACAGATTTCAACTGTGGCAAGTCAACATTTGTTGTATTGTACAATATCCTTGGCAAACAACTTACATATGTTTAGTAAATTATCAATATTGTTGCACTGTAATCAATGCCAGTGTTTTAAATGTACTATTTTGATCCATTTAACCCTCTATTGTCGAAAGATATCCATAAATAAGGCTTTGACACATAAAAGGACATTATCTGGGCATTAAAAAGGCTGTTCAGACAACTAATATTTTTGTAACTTGTGTCATATGTACAGAAAATGTACTATGGTACAAAGTGGTTATCTTGTCATATGTATGTTTAGGAAATGTACTGACATAATCCAATGTACTGACGTAATCTATGGTTTTTAAAATAAGCCTGTATGCTGCTTCCAACACCAAGTTTTATAAGTTTTAAATAGTATTAACTCTACTTACAAAAAACTGAACTTACTAAACGCTGAGTGCCTCAGTAGCTGCCAGAGTTTTATTTTACATTGTTTTCTTGATGTAACTTATTTTAGAATTGATAAATTCAGCGTCTGATGGCTCGTTTTTTTTGTATATTCAATTGTCTAATGTATTAATTTGTAATTTTCAAGAAATAAAGCATTTCAGCGTTGGTGTATTTAAAACTTTTATTTCTTATGTTTATTTATGTCTTCATGGGGTGTTGTTGCCAGAATGTTGTGAGTTTGCACATGAAAAGTTAAAATTTATATGTAAAAATCATGGCAGTGTCAAATATCACAATATCATCACATTTTTAAATAGTTGATTAAAAACAAATGCAACTGTTAATCAATTTAGCTTTTGTTTTATATTTTATTAATTATTTGATTTATAGTACACAGATTTAATTGTAAATAAAATTTTAATAAATGTTTCAGCTCTTGTAATCATCATAGTTATATGTACGGAAGGGAATAGTTGCTTCAACTTCACCTGAAACAAGACAAATATAGATCTGTTTAAACAGGACTTAATTTAACATTTTGAGTTTATAGACTGTGTAAAAGTAAAGTTTCCCTTTTAAACCTGACGGTCTATGGGGCAAGTGAAGTAGAGTTCACTTGTTTCTGTGACCTCGGCATATGAAGAGATAGTGTGGTCAGCACTATGCCCAGCCGCCTTTACTTTCCCCAATGTGAGTTAGGTACCCATCAGAGTTGGGTGGACTCAGGGACGGGCTACTGATTTGAACCCGGATTCGAACTCGAGACATACAGGTTAGCAGTCCAGCTCTCTACCGCTAGACCACTCCGTCCCTTTATAGACCATGACCAACATGATAATGGGAATTTACACTCAGTACCATTGTGAGTGAAGGTTATGAATCCGAATTTGACCAACATACCTCGATCCCAAGCCTTCAATATTTCAACCAACAATTTTTTATGCTGTTTTTGACACAAGCCAGTTTGCCGGGAATCCAAAATTTCTCCTGTGTAAGGTGATATGAACTGCTCCAGCAGCTTAGAGTTCTGAGTTAAATCAAAAGGACAAATACTTTAAATGGTGTTTTTTTTTTATCTTAATTCGTTTATCAAAAAAATGTGATTTTAATAACAGCTATATGTCTCTTATGGGCTACTTAAACAGATTTGGAGGAATTCACTTACTTTGGAATCTAATACAAGATATTCATCTCGACAAATAGGACAGGGACTTGCTGTGTCTATGTGACCATTTCTCTTTAAAAATACAAGTAAAAAACTTAAAAATGACACAAAAATATACAAAACTACATGATTAAATGTAATCAGAAAATGGAAAACTAATGTAAAATTTGTTAAGGTGTCTCTCTGATAGAATTAAAACCTGAGTAAAGAAAATGTCCAGAATGTCATAGTTACATAAAGCATACTCAGCTAGCGAATACCACCCTAAGCCATTGCAAACTACTTTCAATAAGCCAAAAATAGTACTATTCCAGCTTATAAATAAATGTGTACATTGATGGTGGTGACAACTTACAATGCAATTCTTTCTGGTTCTTGGGGGAATTTGACCTTTATGATTTCTCCTGTAATGAAACCACACAGGCTTATCTCCATAACCTTTAACAAAAGCTGAAAAATAAATCAGTTTATGTTAAGCTGTTGTTTAAGTAACACTATATAGGCCTACTCAGAGTTGTTTTTTTTTTTTTTTTCAATTTAAAAAAAAACCCATCCTCAACTGGAATATAAATAATGGTTATGTCTGTTTCTATAGGCTAAACAGAAGAATACATAACTCCTACAAAAAAACAGTTTATTTTAAAAAATACTAATACAGTATTAATTTTTAAAATGATTATTTAAAAAGTACATGTTGATACTTTAAACAAAAAAAAAAAACCACCAAAAGTATGTCATTGTGGTTACCTTCACTGTTCACATATTTAATGCTAGTCTCCACATCAATGATGGGCCGGGCTATTTTAGTGGATTCTTTTTTTTTAGGTTCCTCATTGTCATTTACACTTTCTTCATTACAAAGTCTGTGAGTTGCTACAAAATGTCTGCTCCATGTTTGTGCATTTAAGGAGTACTGAAAAGAAAATAAGCATTAAATATTAACCTTTTCAGACATGTGTGGACTTTTAAAAGGGAATTAAGTGGACTTTTGTGGACAAGGGGGGGGGGGGGGGGTCCAAAATCCAAAAAAAAAATTGTGGACGTCATAAATGGATGACCCCTAAGGAGGAATTCAATAAGAAAGTACAAAAGAAGTCGACCAAGAATCACTTGTTAATGCAGCCTTAAGGCTATCATCACAAAGATGGGTTACACTTGGAGTCATATTGAGAAATTGGCACAGGACAAAGATTCTAGCAGGCTCAGTAGCAGGAGTTATGAGCAGTAAATATATGACCAAGTTTAATTAACTTTAAAATATAAATTAGGGATGGAGTGGCCTAGCTGTAGAAAGTCTGGAAGAAACACTGGCCTAACCCTTCTTTCCCCCCCCCCCTCCCCACCAAAACGAAATGTAATTTCTATAGAAAATATATATATAATATATTATATAATTTTAACAGTGTTTTTTGTGTGTGCTTTGGTTGTGTTTATAATAAAATATGCTCAACTGGAGGTAGACGTGAAGTGGGGAATAAAATACGCTAAAATCTAAATGTAAAATGGAGTTTTACTTAGGCCTAACTAACTAACTAGATCTAGTACTAACTAAGGCCTAACCCTAAGCCCTAAGGAGTTACTAAGGTAGTAAGACAAGTAAGTACTAGAATAGAATCTAGGTAAAACTCCATTTCAGCGTATTTTATTCTCCGTTGCTTGTTTACCTCCAGTTGAGCGTATTTTATTATAACAACCGAAACACACCAAAACATTAGGAAAACACGATTTATTTTTTGTATTGTATTTTTGTTTTAGCAAATAAATAAAAATGAATATTTAAAAAAACACGACTTGTTTATTTGTATTGTATTTTTTTAAAAAAAAGGCATTTGTCTCATGGTGAAACTGATACACTGTTAGTGTTAATCATTCTGTTTTATATTTTTGTATTTATGCAATAAATGTACAAACTCTGTGTTTTTTAATTTGACAGTTTTGCTAAAACTGAAAAAAATATTTTACTATAGAGTTGTAGGTTATTTAAATTCATAGTAAATCTACCATCCTTCCCTTTTTTGTATGAGTAAATTTCTGACTTTTAAAAAAAATTGATGTGGGGTCGTCCATAAATGACGTCACACTCGTAAGGGAGAGAAGGGTCAGCAATTTTGTGACGGTGTGTGATGAGGGGGAGGGGGTGGGGTTTCAGATGGTGTGACGTCCCTTTTTTGCATTATAAAAAAGCAATGTTAGAAAAACAAGTTTTAGCCGTTATTTCACGTTTTAGAAAACGGTTTTAATAAATTGTAATATTGAATTGATCAAAATACTCTATGTTGACAGAGTTCTGACAAGATTTTGGAAAAATTATCGATGTTTTATGAAAAATTCAACATAAATTTTGAGGGGGGGGGGGGGGGGTTGTAGGCTGAAGTGTGACGTCATTTTAGGGGGGGGGGGTCTGACTTTTTGTGACGACGTGTAACAGAGGGGAGGCGGGAGGTAAAAATCGTAAAAAAAGCGTGTCGTCACAAAAAGCAAGACCCCCCCCCCCCAAAAATGACGTAGCACCATCTGAACCCCCCCCCCCCCTCATCACACACCGTCACAAAATTCCCCCCCTCCCCCTACGAGTGTGACGTCATTTATGGACGACCTCTAACATTATTTTTTTTTAAAATGACAACGTGAGTTGTCACACTTTCTCTAACACTCCAAGCCATCCCTCACCAAATTCCACCCCCCCCCCCTCGGCCCACTTTCGGCAGCATCATTGTGCCTTTTAATACTTTTATTCAGTTTAGTTGAAATTGGAACACTTAATTGTACAAAGTGTGCATCTCTATTTTTGTAACCAACAAACAAAGCACTTCAATCAGTCTCTTTGTTGTTTTTTATTCATTTGTTAAAACAAAAATACAATACAAATAAATAAGTCGTGTTTTTTAAACATTCATTTTATTCATTTGTGAAAACAGAAATACAATACAAAAAATAAATCGTGTTTTCCTAATGTTTTGGTGTGTTTCGGTTGTTATAATAAAATACGCTCAACTGGAGGTAAACAAGCAACGGAGAATAAAATACGCTGAAATGGAGTTTTACCTAGAATCTAAGTAGTAACTTAAAAGTTAAAAAGTAAGTAACTTGTGTAGTAGATCTAGTTATAATAATAATATAAATCTAGTTCTAGATCTAGTAGTTAGTAGATCTATTAGTAACTTAACTAAAAAAAAATAACTAGGCCTATTATTCGCAGAACTATCTTAGTATCTTTTGCCGAAAAATCTTATTCCGAGTAGACACTTCGTATTATGTATTAAGCTAGATCTAGATCTAGTCAGTTGTAGACCATTCATTAGCACGATAAATATTTAACTCAAATTCTCATATTTAATTAATTAAATATTGCAATATTTTAACAATAAAATAGGTTGTTTACGTTTATTTTAAAAGCTAATGCTTGGGTTATTCGCTTCAAGGAGGCTGCCATTTTGTTTACTCGATTAATAGAAAGTTTCGCATTTAACATTAAAGTGGTTTAACATTTTTCACAAATGTTAATGTTAATGACGATCTGACTTAATGGCTGATGTGCTACGAGTGAGAATGGGAGGGGTTTGCTTCCTAGTGTAAAGCAGAATGCCCTTTGAAGGCTAGTTCTTAAAAACAAAAAGACGAGAAAAAATATATGCAAGCATTATGGTCAGTGTTTCGGTGTTTCTTTCAGACTTTTCCTCTTGAGGGGGTGGGGGCGGCTAACTTTTCGGGGGAAGGGGCGGACACTGGTAAAAGTATAAATTTTCTATATATTTCTATTTCAATAAGGAGGGGGTCGGTAGACGTGCTTCGGGTGGGGGAGAGGGTGGGGGCAACCCCGAAAAGATGCCTGAAAGAAACACTGAACATGGTTATTTATGTGGAGCTGATGTTGAATGAGTGGGATGGCAGAGGTGCCTTTCAAATATAAATATAAACACATTAATAACTATATTGCAATCTAATTAGATAATTCATTAGCCGTCAAACGTTAATTTTTAAGTAAGTCTCGGCCTAGACAATAGCAAAAGAGGAGAAAACTAGGCAGTATACTATATTGATCTAGGTATATTTTAACACTATTTAAATGATCGTCAATTAGTGAAAACGCACTTATGGAGTATGAGATTTTTGGTGTGATGAATGTGTGTGTGGGGGGGGGGGGGGGGGGGAGAAAGTTTCACATTCAACACTTTATTTATTTTTAAACTGAATTTTACCGACAAGGCTTATTTAGTGTCATTAAAACTCGCCCTTGCTAGGATCTACTAAAACTTCTAGTATTATATAATGGTTAATGATTTGTTACGCACATGCAACGCAGATTTAAGATCATAATCAGTGGCGTAGCTACCGTAAAGCTAGCGTAAGCAAGGCATAGGGGCCCTTTTTCAAAAGTTTGAGGGGGGGTGTGCAAATTGAAAGTCTGAGGGGGGGGGGGGTGCAAATCGAAATTCTGAGGGGGGGGGGGTGCAAATCGAAAGTTTGTCCCCGGTCGCCGGGAAGGGTCGCTACGCCTCTGAGGGGCCCAACTAACAACTTTTTGCATAGGGGCCAAAAAATCCTAGCTACGCCACTGATCATTATATGTTATATCACTGTTGGAGCGGGAAGCAACTCGAATAAGCCAAACGTTGGACTGGAGTGGAACCCACAGACCCCGAGAGAACATGAAAACATCGCGAGCCAAGCGTTGGACTGGGGTGGAACCCACAGACCCCGAGAGAACATGAAACATCGCGAGCCAAACGTTTTGACTTGAGGGGAACACACAGACCCCGAGAGAACATGAAAACATCGCGAGCTAAGTTGGACTGGGACGGGAACCCACAGGCCCCGAGAGAACATGAAAACATCGCGAGCCAAACGTTGGACTGGAGTGGAACCCACAGACCCTGAGAGAACATGAAAACATCGCGAGCCAAACGTTGGACTGGAGTGGAACCCCACAGGCCCCGAGAGAACATGAAAACATCGCGATCCAAACGTTGGACTGGACGGGAACCCACTCGCCCCGAGAGAACATGAAAACATCGCGAGCTAAACGTTGGACTTGAGGGGCACCCACTCGCCCCGAGAGAACATGAAAAACATCGCGAGCCAAACGTTGGACTGGACGGGGAACCCACAGGCCCTGAGAGAACATGAAAACATCGCGAGCCAAGCGTTGGACTGGACGGGAACCCACAGGCCCCGAGAGAACATGAAAACATCGCGAGCCAAACGTTGGACTGGAGGGGAACCCACTTTCTTCGGGGGGGGGGGCGGACACTGTTAAAAGTATATATTTTCTATATAAATTATATAAATTTTATTTCGCCTCCCCCCCCCCCCCCCCCCCCCCCCCCCCCCCCCCCCCCGAAGAGATGCCTGGAAGAAACTCTGAAGCTAGGGATTAGTGGTCCATTTAAAGCCACTCGCTGGATAGTAACAGATGCAGCACATAACGCTGCGGTGGTCCACTTGATCAAACTAATTCTGTAGAATAAGCATTCGATGCTGTATATTATTTTATTATGTCCTAACAGTCACGGAGCACGTTAGATTTTTTTTTTAATTGAATCGTCAGAAAATATTAAACCTATCTGAGTAATTTCGAGGGTAGTTTGTGACTGGTGCAAGTTAAATTAGTTTGGTCCATTTTTAAAAATTCGTACAATCTCGAACATAGTATGGGCCTGGGTGGATTATAAGAAGTCCCTAAAAAACATTAACAGTCACCGGACTATACCGTGGACTGGAGCAATACTTTATTTAGTAGTGGTTTCACAATAGTCTGATTTGTGAGTATTGGGGAACGGGGGGGGGGGGGGGGGGTAAGAAAGAAGCAATCAAATGTTCATCTCTTTCTTTGCTGCATGACTGTGTCATTAGTTTAGAATACACATCGAATCAGGGATGAACTGTTACAATAAAAACGGGTATTGGAAAATGATAATGGTGGGGGAAAAAAACGGTGACCAGAAAGATGCCCAACGGAAAAAAGCGCAAACAGAAATTTGCGCAGACAGAAAAATGCACACAGAAAAAAAAGCGCAAACAGAAAAATGCGCCAAACAATATATATATATATATATATATATATATATATATATATATATATATATATATATATATATATATATATATATATATATATATATATATATATATATATATATATATATATAATTCTCTACTTGGAGACGCTAGAAAACAAGCTGTAAGTGCGCTCCCTACCTCCCCACCCCTACATGTTCTGGTGAGCTGTGGTTCACGCTAAATGTTTACATTCGTAGAGCCGGGTTTAGTGACGGCTATTAGGGGCAGATAATTTAGTTTGAAACGATTTTAAACTTAGGGGAGGTAACTAAGAGGAGGCTGCTTTCACGAAGGGGGGGTGTAGGGTAGGGGTTGGGGGAAAGGAGGGTGGGGGTAGTATCGTCCTTAACGACCTACTGATAGTGTTTTGAAGTAAATATTTTCAGTGACAGCATTGGTACTGTCGAATTCACAAATTATGAATTACTGAAAAGTAGAAAATAAAACAACTAAATAGCGGCGTATGATATGCCGCGGGTCGGCTCGTATATATTATATATATTATATATATATTATATAATATATATATATATATATATATATATATATATATATATATATATATATATATATTATGATAGAGCAGGGTTTGTTTATATAACGACATAAATTTATTTTATAGTTGCCACTGTTTTTATTCTTTCGCATAACGTAAAGAAAATATTAAATACACGCAAATAGCTAACACAAGTTAAACGGATCAATGTCAAATATCATTTTCGTTTAGATTCCTTGAAAAAGTGGATACATTTTAATAACATAATAACATCTGTAATATAAGCGGCTAGATAGTGTATCAGTCCGTCATCGCTATAGATTTTGGAACCATAAAAGTAAACACCTTTCATGTCGTGCTTTTTACCTGCATCGCAGTGTCTTATTATAAGTGAAGGAGTAGGGTATGTTTACAGAGGCGTAGCGACCGGGGACAAACTTTTCGATTTGCACCCCCCCCCCCTCAAGATCTCGATTTGCACCCCCCCCCCTCAAACTTTCGATTTGCACCCAACCTTTCAATTTAATTTTTCCAACCCATTTTGGCGCCCCCTAAGGTCGGCGCCCGAGGACATATGTCATTGATTGATAAAAGGCTCTTTTATTTATTTTATTCACTGAACGTACTGTTTACTAATTATAATTTTTAATCAACTATTCCCCACTATTACTTAAAGTCATCACGTTCATTAGGTGCGCAATGGTTTTATTCATGAAACTTTATTGTAAATTTTAAAAAGTACTGATAAAAAATGCATGAATTTATAAAGTGCAATATGGTAGGTAAAACATGGATATTTTTAAATACTACCTTTTATTTATTTTATACACTGAACGTACTGTTTACTAATTATTATCTTATTTTTCGGTTTGCGGACAAGCTAGGGGTTTTATAGTCATTCACCGAGTCAGGCGCGTCCGCCGGCGCTCGGCGCCACGGACTAGACTGTGAGCACTATGCGTTTATGATTGCATTTAAATTGTGTTTATGTTATGAGTGTTGTGTTTGTTTTGTAGTTGTTTTTTTCCCTTCGTTTGTGTTGTGTTTAGTTTTGTTCTGTTCCCAAGTTGGTACATTTAAAAAAGATTTACCGTGGCGGAGCACGGGTATGCAGTTAGTGTGTGTGTGTGTATATATATATATATATATATATATATATATATATATATATATATATATATATATATATATATATATATATAATCTCTCTCACTCTCGCATATAGCCCCTCCACCCAACCAAATTAAAACAAATAAGAAAGGCAATATCCCACAGTAGCTAGCTATACTGCTTGCAAAGTGCGGGTTATAGGTTCTAATTGTGGTTTGTGCTATAGATAATTGTTTCTCTTCGACATCCTGTCCTAATTTAAAGTTTATAGAAAAAGAAACTATAAAACACAAAATATATAGGCCTACAGACCAGCTTTCAAAAATGTACAACCTTTGCTTTTTACTACTTTTAGGCCCAAAGGGGTCACCCATAAATGACGTCACGCTTTTTTGACGATTTTTACCTCCCCCCTCGTCCCCTCCGTCACAAAAACCCAGGACCCCCCCCCCCCCCCCCCCCCCCCCCAATGACGTCCGTCACACCTCAGCCTACAACCCCCTCAAAATTGCAGTTGAATTTTTCATAAAATACGATAATTTTCAAAAAATCAATTCATTTTACAATTTATTAAAACAGTTTTTAAAACGCGAAATAATAGTTAAAATTCGTTTTCTGACATCGCTTCATATAATGCCAAAGTGTGAAGTCACACCATCAGGAACCCTCCCCCCCCCCCCCCTCATCACACACCGTCACAAAATTACGGATCCCCCTACGAGCGTGACAAGTGTTTCTTCCAGACTTTTTTCCGGGGGGGGGGGCACTTGAAATTTTTGGGGGCGGGGGGGGGCGGTAGACTTTCTTCGAGGAGCGGACACTGTTAAAAGTATATATTTTCTATATAAATTATATAAATTTCATTTCGTTCGGGGGGGGGGGGGGGGGCAGTAAGATGCCTGGAAGAAACTCTGAGCGTGACGTCATTTATGGAGGACACATTACAAAATACGTTTTGAGGCTATAAGTATAAAACTTTCCAGAGCTCACATGCCACAATTTCCACAAACCATCTCCACCCACTCTCACCGCATGCATTGTACTACCCAAATTTAGTAGGTTTAATTAATAATAATTAGCATGCATATGTCGTTGGTCTAAATATTCATAAAGGTCAAAGATACAATGTGATAACTGTAGGACTAGACTAGATGTGGCGATTATATGCTGTAAATAATGATGGGGACCCAAACTTCAATGCGCTTAACCCTATCCCTACAAGGCGGGTCAAATTGACCCGACAATGCTACATTTTAGTTAATTACTGGTCAACCACTGGACCAATTGTTTTGAGCTTCTAGATATGCTACCTACACATACAATGCTTGATTTCAGAATAAAAATGAATGTTTAATTTTGCACGTGTGCATGAGGGTGAGCAGGTTTAGGTTCACTATTCCTCTCCCTACTAACATGGGTCAAATTGACCCGTATACCTTTATATAAAGAAAAACTCTACTAGTGCAGGGGAAAGTGGTATAAATCTATAGAAGTTTCAAACAACTTCCCTTGGAGCTAGACCTTTTGGGCTCATAAGTTTGTATCTCTTCCTGCCTTACTGAAGACAGCAATTAGAAACATTTTTTTCAGCGCCGAAGCACAACAATCCTTTGTTCAACATTGTTGATAGCATGTTTTTTAGACTCAACCTTCTTGTTACAAATGAAACTGTAGTGGATTGCTAGGTTTGGGACTACACATTGAGAAGTTGTAAGGAGATACAAAGACGTACCAACTGATGACTGCATGGGTTCATTGGCTACTGTACCAATTCGATAGCGATGAATCAGACCTGAACTTATTTTTGCTGCTGAATTTGGAAATTAGGGCCATACTGTCAATAAAGTATTTAGGAAGTTGTGTAACAGGCTTTGATATAATCAAGATACAGCAGGAAGCCAATATTGATTTGCATCTAGGCAGTCTTTTGTAGAAAAAAGCCATCTGATGAGGTCAGTTTTATGGTCCATAGATGTTAGACCATGTCACCTCAGACAGTCCAACCATACTTGGGTAAAATAGGACCAACTCCTTGACCAGCTTTCAAGTACATGGAAGCATATTTTGATAAATCAATGGATATTGATATAGAGATAACTAATGTATCAATCTCTGATAACTTTGTACTTTACATTGAACTAAGTTTTTGGCTACTAATCTGTGTCAAGCATGCATATTGATGCAAAAATGATGACATCAAAATGGAAAGACTGCATAAAATCATCCATGTATGGCTCTAGCAACATGCCCCAATGGGCAAACTAAGTGGTAGCTAATGACCATATTTTTCAATTTCCAACTAATGTCCCCAATAAGTTGAAATACAAAGTGACAGCTATTACAAATAGACAGCAGCAGATTTACAAAATTCGTATATTGTCAAAAAAGTTGGTTCTGCCCCAAGTTGAGCATTGAGCACAGAGAACTATGTCCAAGCTACTGCAATTCACATTAGATCAAATAGTAGACAAAAAGAAGCCTTCTGAAACCACCCACTGAGTGTTGGGCCCAATAGCGTCATCCAAACAAAAGTTATTATGTGAGATACGATAACATGTTAGATGGGAAAATATCAACTATTTGTCAAATATATAGATTCTATCTGTAGTCTATATAGATTTACTGTGCTAACTGATAATAATTGTGATTAAGTTTTCTTGCATATGAAAAATAAATTGATAGTAAAGGTATAAGATTTTATATTTAGTAACGTCTAGTTTTATTTATGCCTAAAAAGTATAATAATAAATTACCTAAAACTAAAATTTAGTGTAGAAATGTATAAACTATAATTTTAGTGTCCATCTATCATTGAAATAATAGTTATGCTATAAAAAATATACACATGCAATAATAGATTCTTATATAAAAAGTATACGGGTCAAAACGACCCGCCTTGTAGCCGAATACAGTGAAATAGGGTTGTAGGGATAGGGTTAACTACACACACGTCAAAACTCGTGGGGCAAATACTTAGGTAACACACTGGCCTACATTGGTACAGAATCGAAACGAATAAAAATCAGTTTACCATCAATTCATTATCGATTATTTTTAAAATCCACTTTGTCTATGTTAAAAATAATTTTAGTAACAAGATTAGACTAATATAGAATACGGTAATTAAAAATATAGTTTAAATAATTAAATTAAGCTTAACTAAATGTTTAAACAGCATTAGTCTAATTTTTTAAATTGTTATCAATACCTTGGTATCGAATCAGTGGTTTTGTAAAAGTTAGTGAACCCTACACAGCTACTTCTTGTAAAATCGAAAGGATCTAAGTATGTTTTAGCAGAAAATAAAGTATAATTTCTGCTCAAACTAAATGCAATTCACGATTAATGAAATAAAATAATAACTTATAATTATTTAAAAAATATAAACAATAGTATTAATATGCATTAGAATCAAATTACCGTTTTAAAATATTTACGGAATGTTTCGATTCCCTTCGAATATAAATATCCGCCCGATGACCTTGGAATCCCGTGTCGCTACACATCTAGCCCCTAAGCCGACTTGCCGTGGCGTCATGATAAAGATAGACTAAACGTTTCTAGACTCTAGAATAGGATTGTAGATCATCTTGCATAGTATAAGAAATTAAATATTAGTAAACATCAGACAATAAATATAAGGTACTTAACACAAACAATGAATTGGGATTAGGTTAGCTTGGGTAAAAATTTAGCTAGGTTGTCTGGTCCTCATTGAAGAATCTTCACATAGACTTGACAAATACAAAAATTATTAAATATTCAAGTCTGAGAACAATAGATTTAGAAAAAATCTAGTCATAATCATGATTCATTTAACTAAACCAAGTAAGAGTCTAGTTAAATATATTAATCACCGGATTTAGTTATATTTCTGTAGTAGGCCTAAGCAGTAATTTTTGTTGGAATTGAGATCATCGTGGATGAACAGTAGAAATACAAGATGGAGGTCGACACAACACACGGAGAAGACGGAAATAGTGCGGCCCAGAGGACTTTTTCAGTATAGCCGAACTGATTGTGATTTGAATATCTACTCTCATTGTTTAATAATGATTTGTTTTCCACAGATTCTGTAGTTTTTTTTCAGAATAAATAATGGCCAGTGAAACGGATTGTCTCGACCTACATTTCGCGTTGAAGCTCATCAGGTAGGCGGAAAAAAATGGCCGAAATTGCGACTTTTTCTAATCGTTTAATTCAGAAGTATTTTAAACTTAATCATGACAATTTGCGATGCAAAGTTTTTCCATGTAGATCTAATTATTTTAAATAGTTATCTGTTCGCAGCTAAAGCAATTACATTTACCTAAAGTAAATGGCCTACTTGTATTCATGCAAATTTTGTTATCACGCATGGAGAAAGTTAACCTTTGACCTAACCTTTCAAGGTCGATTGACAAACCGTTTCATTGATTGGAAATCTAATTTTTCTTTTTACGTACAGAATTTAATCATGAGATGCAAATGTATGCTAGATTTAGATTATAATCTTAATGAATTATTTAAAATAAATATAACATCAGTTAGATTCTAGATATTGTTGAGTATCTGAACTTTTGTTCTAATTAAATAAGGCCTAATTTTAGGCCTATTATTACTATTAATTATTTTAGTGGGCTTATTAATTAGATTTGATTAGAATCTAATTATTCTGCTATTTTTACTACAGAGCTAGAGATTTAGATCTACATTATCAATATACTATAATCAGTAATCTAAACTGCACTACATCTAGATACCAAATTTAATAAAGTAATACACAATACATAAGGGACTGGTCAACAGTACTTTGATCGTTCAATGAAATGGCGATAAGTTACAATTGCAGGGCTGGGAGGTTCATAACTGACTTTATTTCTAGTATTCGAGTAGGCCCTATCCAGAAATCTATTTTTAGTACAGAATAGATCACATTGCTCTTGAAAAGTATCTCGTGGGAGTAGTCGAGCTCAATGAGACCTAAATCTAGAATCTACCTGATGAGTTAACAAGAACTTTTCGATAGACCCGTAATGAATAAAAATATCTACTCATATAACTGGGTAGGCTTATAGATCTACTGACTTATAGCATTAAATTTTAAAGTTAAATGGTAATAATTTTATTCCAGGTTGAAATAACTATCACGTAGGCAAATGTTTATAATAAGACCTGTATTTCCATTTACAAAATCATCTAAGGGCATTAACCCACTATTTTTTCCCTCCCTTTAGAAGCCATGGAGTATGGAGCCCAGCTGAGACAATACATTCGTCACTGATATTTACATTTCTGCATCACGCACTAGAAACTATATAGACCTACCATTATTAATTATAATTAACCTATTAAGTTAACAGGTTTTTTTTTGTATACCAGCTTTCATATGTTTACAATGCCCTCCATAACGCTTTTATGTTTGTTTTTCAGATATTTTTGTTTTATACCACTCCTTACTAGATCTACTAGGCAGTGTTTACTGACTGAGCTTGCCAGTTTTTTTACAGATGAGTTTAAGACAGTTAAAAAGATCACTGGTGCTATTATGTCTAGCTTTTGATGCAAAATTCAAGCCATCAAGCAAGGGGATAGAGGTAGTTAAGTTAAATGTTCGATATTTAAGACAAAATAATATATTTATTATTTTTGTGGAAATAAATAAATTATGTGAGTTCTACCTCATGTGTTGTTTTATTTCCTATTTACTATTACCTTATGGTCTAGTAGAAGCATGTTTTTAAATGAGGTTGATTAGCTAAAAATTTGAGACTGAATGTATGAATGTTAGGGATCATGCACATTATGTATAACAAGCAGTATGCTCCAACATAGAGCTGTTAAAATTACTTCTAACACTGTCTTTGACTTTTTGTGCCAAACTCTGCTACCAGTATTTAGAATAGTTGGATGGTTATATGAACATGACTGGCGGGTACATTTCTTTTACCACACACAATACAGCAAGTGTTCAAATATAATAGGATTCCCTAGGGGGGGGGAGGGGGGTCTCTTAGAAATCTACATTATTATGGGCTGGTGGTTTTGTAAAAGGTGTAAGGAGTCAGCAAAACAATTTTAGTTATACTTTTTGGTGCATGATCTATCAGTAGACCTACAAGTACTTTAGAATTGAATTGTCTTATTAAAATTTTGAAGGGATAAGAATAAGAGTTTTTTTTTAAAAATATTTTGTAACAGGCCTAATGATAACAGATCATTACAATTTTACTAATTTAAGGATTTGCTCGTTAGTTTCTTGCTTCAAATACTAAGCACATTTTTAAAAATGCTGATGCAATGATCATGATAGTTTGAGCATGAGTGAATTGAAAAGCTGACATGATATCTTGGTGGCTGCATTAGAGGCAAAGTTTATTTATTGGGAAACAATATTTTGAAAGGCAAAAAAAAAAGCCAAATAAGCTGTTGTTAATAAATTAACATCTAAAGATTTTAAAAAGGCTCTCATGTCTTATCAAACATTCATTGAGCTTATTTTGAATCAGAAGAAACAAAAAGGCATCAAATTAGTGGCTATTATTCTTCTTGTATGTGTGTTCTACCAATGCTGTCATGAAAAATATTGTGCTTATTTATTAGTTTAGACAAAGAAATCACACAATTTGTAAAAAGGCAGACTGGTCTTATAAATCTAAGGTCTATATCAATTTTTGTTTTAATCAATGTACCTTGATCAGCACTATCATTATTGTGAATATATTCTTTTTCAGTTACATAAAGGGTCTATATCTGTATTTAATATTGGTATCCACATAAAACAAGTTGTTTTACTTTAAGTTTTTACAATCTGCATTTTTATTTTCTTGTACAATTAGGCCCACCTATTGACCTTACCATAATTGTTTTATGATGTAGAAATATTTTCACTAGGTTTGTCAAATATTTTTTCCATTTTAGTTTATTTGCTTCAGTTTGGTTAGTATGAAAAGTAAAGTATTTTCATAAATGGACTTATTTATGTAAAAAATGTTTTGAACCTGGCTGTCCATGGGGTAGATAAAATAGAGGTCACTTGGTTCTGTGACCTCTGCATATATAGGGATAATATAATCAGTATTAGCCACCTTTACTTTACCTAACATTAGAGCTGGGTGGACTCAGGGACGTCCTCTGGACTTGAGCCAGGAGTTCGAACTTGAGACTTTTGGGTTAACAATAGTACGCTCCAACATTCGACCACACCATTACATGTTTATGTGATGAAGTTGAAATTAGAATGACTTTTCACTAGTATAGATATATAAATGAAATACAATTAAACAAGAATCTTAAATTTTGCAGAGGATTTTAAAAACTATTTTAGAAGGTTAGTAATTTTTTTTATTTTAAATGTGGGTTAGCTATATTCTTCAAAATGTACTTACATTTTTAATTATTGAAAAATGTGCCTTTTACTAAATCTTGATATCTGATTATTTTGATTTGATTGTTAATCACATGTTCCAATGAACATAAACAATTTTTATACACTTAGTGTATTTTGTTATCCTGAACTAAGGTTTTCATCATGTTTATTGCAGCAGGTCTTAAGTAGGCCTACTGGTACTATTGTACAGAAGAAAAGTTAATGAAATTCCACCTAAAGGATTAGTTCTTTATTTCCCATGCCATAACCTAATTTTTTAAAGTAGTGATGTTTTTTATGTGATTATATAGAACAATAGGCCTACTACAACAATGAAAACCACATTCTAGTTATCAGATTTTTTTACTCTTAACCAATATAAATAACATAAAAGTACATACTAAACTTTTAGCTACTGTTATTGATATTGATAGTGATTCAAAAATATATTTTCTTATTAGTAATATTAGCTTTATAATATAATAAACATTTGCTGTGTTATGTAGGTAATTGTTGATATACTCATGTAAGTGGTGTGTGCAAGTTAATTTGTTTTCTAATATATTGAGCATGAATTGTGCAAAATTGAGTTGAATTCATGCAACATATCTGCATTGATTAAAATGTCAAATGAAACTTCTTTTTAGGTTAACAGTATTTGCATGCTATTAATCAAGTCATTATTTTAGAATCCGTTTTCAGGTGTGCACCAGCCAGTATCAGAGCCCAGTAGGTGTGAAAGAACCTGAAATTCAATGAAATATTTAACTTTTGCAGCCTATATATCTTACTGTTAAAACCTGAAGTTTGGCCAATTCCTAATGTGTCCTGCCTTTTCCCATTTTGGCTGAAAGGTGTGGCAAAAGTAGATCTTTAGTAAATCCATGACATGTGCTGATTACAAATCTACTAATTGCCTTACCCAAAATTATGAAAATATCAGGTATTGACAAACAATTGGCCTATAAGGCAAGGTAAATTGTCTGTCAATTAGGAAACTGGCCTTCTTAGGGTTTAGCAGTGTGATCTGTTACTCAGTATAATATACATGAAAATCAGCTATGAGTGGGGTAAAATTAAGGGAAGTGTGATTGTAAACATGCTAGCATATATTATATAGGGGAAAACACTCAATGGGGTTGGGTAGGTTTTATGCCCATTAGTTACATATTAAACTATTCCTATTTACAAATGAACTTGATGGTGTAGGTTAGTGGGCAGGTTAATTCTGGTTGTCTAAATTGGCATACTTTAAAAATTAAAAGAGGTGAAATGTTAAAAGTGCTTAAATCTTAGTCCACAGTGTATAGACTACTGGTATGTTGAAAGTCCATGATCTGGCCTTATGGGCTATCCTTATAGTTATAGGGTGTCCATTGTACTGAATTAGCTTATTTTTTTACGATACATTTTTACGGTACAATTTGTTTGAATAACCACCTATTTTTTTTCATTCTTGACCTAATTCCAATTTTTGTTTTTCAGATTAATATGAAAACCTCTTTTGCTTTAAAATTTGGTACCATTTTATTGTGAATAAACTTGTAGCCCATTAATTAATTTTTTCTTTTAATTTTCAGATATCTGTTCATTTCAAAAAGTTCTCAATTCCAAACAAAAGTTATTTAATGGTAGTCAGTATTGTAAAAACTGAGGACGGGAGGGGGTGGAAAAATAATTAATAATAAAGACAGTACTGCGAAATTTAAAAATGAAATTAAAACTTAACTATCTATTCTCTTTATTTTATATGCTGGTACTGTAAACTTGTTGTATCACAGATCAAAACTATGTAGTTCAGTTTGGATGATCATATTTCTGTTTCCAGTAACGAACAGAATTGGTAGCTTATGTGAAGAAACTGGATAAAAAGTACAAAACTAACACCAATAAGGTCACAAAAACCAATGGCACTCTCTCCCAAAACCTCCCAAAACACAATATCTTACACTTACAGTTAAACTAGTTTCTAGTACACAACAAAGGAACTTATAAATCAGTCACAGGCATTGTAAATACTAATTAAGATAATAACATCCATATCTTTAATCAACATCAAGTAAACTATGAAAAAAGTAACTTATGAGTACATTTATGGGGAAATTTCAAATGATTAAAAGTAACTTGGATAACACATTACATGAACTATTCCTAACTGCAGTTTTGCAATTTACACAAGTAGAAAAAACCTTTATACTCCATTGATTGGTTAAGCAGTATTTGGATGAACATATTTTCTCATTACAATTTGGTTATTTAAAACAATTTCCTTGGAGGGTTTAATTTGGGGGAGGGGGGGAGGGATTTTAAAAAGAATTACAAGTCATTTATACATTTTTAATTTATGACAATGAAATCCACCATCTCATTGATAGATTTACTAACATTAATTTAATGATGATTTATTGTTTATTTACAGATCTGAACCCTACATTTCATCTTATAAAGTCATGTCATTGAAATAGTTTTCAATATGGTATGTAACATTTATTATTAACACATTATTTTTAAAATTAATATTTTTTTTAAGCTAAATTTTAATGGATATTACACACACTTAAACTACATTTCTGCAATATGTAACTGCAATTTGTTTTTCCATCCCAATGTTTTAGCCACCTATAGATCCACAACAGTTGTTGAGAGCCCTTGGTCCTCTTCTTACCCCTGGTGGGGGTATACGTGGGGCACAAGAAGCATCAAGAATTGCAAGGTAAAGATTTCTGTGTTTTTGTACCTCATTTCTTACACTATTGTAGCTAAGCTAGAGAATGTTCTAATGAATATCATCAATAGGTTTATCTCTATTTAAAAAAAATATTTTCTTGTTTCAGTTTGATGAAAGATGCTACTAAATTAGTGACAAGATGTATTTATTTGAATATACTGCGAGTGACAGAATCACAGGAAGCTCTACAAAAGTAATTTATTATACCTTATGAATTATTGTTTTGACTAGAGTATACTAAAATTAATGTAGCTCTCAAAAAATATTTTTTTAAATGAAATGTTCTGTCTCTTTATTTAAACTGACAGATTTATTGAAGTAGGCGGTTGGAATACATTAAACAACTGGCTAGACAGTGCTCGTAGTGATGGCAATGATCCATTTCTTGGTGAACTATTAGAGGTGTATCTTGTGATGCCTGTCACAGTTGTAATTTTGAAGCAAAACAGTGCAGCCAAGACTATTAAACAATTGAGCAAGACAGAAAATGAAAGTAAGAATAGCTTAATACAAACTGCTTTGCTAAAATAGGAATTTATAATTTGCATACTATTTAATGCATTCACAGCTTTTGCAAAGAGGTTTAATTATTAAAAAATGTTTATACTTTCTTCCTAGAAATAAAAATCCTCTCATCTAAACTGGTTGATATTTGGACTAAAACAATACGTGGACAGAATAATAGTACAGAAGAAGCTGATGGTAAGTTTTAAAGTGTTTCAATTTTTAAAAATGTAAACTGTAATACAGAGTGACAACTCTTGTACAGTGGCGGAACTAGGAAAAATGGGCCACCCCGCAAAAAAAATTTTTTGGCCCCCCCCCATATATGTATATATATATATATACATATATATATATATATATATATATATATATATATATATATATATATATATATATATATATATAACACGCTATCATTCGTGTATTTATTTGAGATTTTGCCTTGTTTTCTAGAACAGTGGTTATTAAACGTAAACAATGTCTGCACTTTATTTCTTGGATATTAGTTGTTGGAGCGCTAGTTTGTCAACACTACCACCGATTCGAGCCAGCTTAGTTGTTGAGGCGCTATCTATTCGCTGCTTGTAAGGCTAAGAGCGGGAGGGGAGGTCTGAGAAAGGAACTTAAAAGGGACAACAAAGCACCGATGTGCTTTTATCCATCAGTACAAAATTTGGGATGGTCTCAAAAAGCCGTCTTAATATCTAGCGGCCTCTCGCGCAATTGATGTTCTTTTCAAAAGAATTTTGCCGACAACAGCCTGTGTTTGATTGTAGGAAAAAGAATATACAAGAGCATAGGATGGTGTCTATAGAATAAAGATACTCCAACCGCAACTACAGTATTCTTTTTTCAAAACAACCATCAGGTTAAAAATGCAAGAAAATTAATTTTAACTAGAAAAAAATTATTATGGGCAGCTGTGGGCCCCCTAAACGGCATGGGCCCCCCGCATTGCGGGGTCTGGCGGCACTGTAGTTCCGCCCCTGCTCTTGTATCAACTAAAGTAATTCAATATTCAAATTAACAAGAATTTTTTTTTTTAAATTAATATATTTTGAAGATTATATATTTAGATTATGTATTTTAATTTTAATGGATATTCTTACATTGGCTTATTTGCCTTATTGAGTTAGCTTGTACAAAACTATCTCGAAAAACCGAACAGCTCCATTCATGTAACATGTCTACTTATAATAGAGTATTTTGATAACATGCATTTGAAGTTATTATTAGTCATGCATAATTTTTCTTTCTCTAAGACTCTAAATGCATATTTTATAAGGGGACTTATTGTATTTCTATTTGCTATTCAAATTCTAGAGAAAAAGAAAAAGAAAAAACACAAAGAAAAAGAGAAGGAAAAAGAAAAAGAGAAGAATGACAAAGACAAGGAGAATGATAAAAAAGAAAAAGAGGAGATGGAAAAAAATAAATCGCGTGAAAAAGACTCAAAAGAAAACAGGGACAAGGATAAGAAAGATAGAGACAGACATAAAGAGAAAGATCGCTCTAAGCGAGAAAAATCAAAGTCTAGCACAGATAGCAAAGAATCTTCATCAAAGAGTACAACATCCGATCCATCAGTCTCAAGTAAAAAAGACATTAGCAGCTCTTCCAAAAAATCTGCTCCTGATGAAACAAAATCTTCATCTTCTAATGTTTCTAGTAAAAATTTGGACAGTGACTTTTTAAAGGATGAAGATTCAAAAAAGCGTCCTAAAACAGTTAAAATGTTAAATACTAAGTTTAGATCTACAGGTCTTTTTGATGAAGAAGAGGAAGAAAGTGACCAAGGAAAAAAGAAAGAGAAACTACCTGCTAAAAGAATAAGGTTTAAAAATTGTTTTCTTGTTAATTGTTATATATAACTATATTGTCAATCATAATTCATTAGTTATAGTAACAGGCATTTTAGAAATGTATTGTAATGTTTTCATTTCTTTACATATTTTTCATTCTATTTTCAATATTATAAATTATTTCACTTATTACAAATTTAATGTAGAATATGTATATATCTCCAATATAAAACAAAAGTATTAATTATAGCAAAATGTCTTAATAACAAGCCCTTACACAAATAATACTATTATCACAGTTTGGATACAAAGCATGAAGAAATATTAGAGAAAAAACCTAGGCTACATTTAACAATGCCCACCTTAGCTCCTACTGGTGCAGATGCTCTGTCTACTACACCACCAGAAGTAACACATGGAAGAATCAAACTTATTGCACCAAAGAGAGGTAAACATTCTACTAGTAAAATTATGTTTACTTAATACTTTTATCTATCAATGCTAAAAAGAAAAAAGAAAAATGTATTTGTCTTGTCATTATCCTAATTATTCTTAAACAGTTTGTATTTTTAATCCTAAATTTCCAACCAAATGCTTATATTATTCATTTGTTTAATTCCAGCACCTGCGCATGAAATTCAAGAAAGCAATGTGTTTATAAATGCCTTACAGCAGTCAACCCTTTCAGGTGGAATAAAAAGGAAGAAAAAACAACTTGCTTCACCATCTACTACTTCTGTTCCTTTATTGTTACGAGGAGTCTCTGGTACAAGTCCACCTCCAGTTACCTCCCCGCTGTCTGCTACATCCCCTCCCCAAAGTACACAATCTGCTGAATCTGGCCCTACTTCCCCTCCATTGTTATCTCCAACCACAGTTATGGCACAGAAATTGCCATCAGTCCCTTCGGTAAATATATTTATTTTTTGGGCTCTCATGTAGGTTAGTGTAGGCTTATGATTTAGGGAAATTTCATAAATAACCCCTCTTTAGGTTATACAAAAGTCTTATTTCTGAACTTATTATACACAGAAGTATTCCAATCTAGTTGACTATTAAAATTTATTCCCGATAGTATTTGGACATGATAAATGCTGTAAAAGGCTCCTGTCATTTGTAAGTTGTCAAAAGTAAATTATACAAAATGTTTTACTGAATTGTTTATGCTCTCCAGTTTTACCGTGATACATTAGAAGATCTACCAGAAAGCTCAAATGAAAAGAAAGAAGTAGAAAAAGGTGAAGAGTCTCCCCCAGCATTAGAATGTATGCAGACAGATGAAAATGTGCCGATTGTTGATATCAAGGATGGAGACCAGGAGATGAATGACGGTGAAGTGAAAGTACCAGGTGAGATGACTTTTCAAGCTATGAAAATAGCATTACATAGCATGGGCTTCGATAATTTATAATGACTTTCATTATACTTTCAATCCATTTCGTGTATCATATACATTAAATATTGTCATTGATTTGTATGTTGTACAGAGAGTAAACCTGATCAAGGTGTGTTGGAGGTGAATGCTGATATAGAGCTTAAACCTGTCAAAGCAAAGAAACCCAAAAAAAATGTCACATGGGCAAGAGAAGCAAACTTAGAAGAATATTTCTATTTTGAATTGGATGAAACTGAAAGAGGTTTGAAAAACTCTTTGTCTTTCTTGTATTTATTTTTCTAACATACTTATTATTATTCTATAATTTGGATCATATTAGGTATTTCTAGAATGTCTGGCTTTCATTGTGCTATTTTTCTCCTTAGAAAATGTCAACAGACCAAAGACTTTCAATGAAATGAAGAAAGAAGAAATGATGTTAGATAGACGTGTAAGTAGCTGATAAACATTACGATTCTGTTTAATTTGTTTTTTGAACCCTCACAAAAATATTTTTGAGTGCTTGATTTAAAAAAAAAAAATGATTAACATGATGTTCAAATATTTTATTTTAAGTTATGTATTTTTTGTTTAGGCCATGGAATCTGCTAAACGCTTCAATAATGACACAATGGTGGAAGTATTACAGGTATTAAAACAATTAGTTTTCTAGGTTTCTGTCTGTAATTATATAATTATACTTTTTTATTAAAAAATTAATAATCTTATCCTTTTTAAGTGGAAGCGTCCTAAACCAATAGACAATGTGATAGTAGTGGTGGAAGCTGGATGTAATAGTGTAGAGAAGCAGATACAGATGGATAGAGAATTGGTAGTCCTATGTGCTCTTTACTTTAACAAGTAAGTCATTGCGTTTTCATATTAATTTATTTAATCATTTTTTAGATTATATATGTTTGATATTTCATTTCCATGATTTGTGTTTAGGGTGCCAGATACACCTAATGAACCTGATCCAGAAATCTCCAATGAAAAATTAGAGACTCAAAATATTCCCCTAGAAGATGTAAGTTTATATTCTAACATTATTATTTTTTGTATAATTTTTTAAAGTTTTAATTCCAAAACTAAAAATTGATATGTTATCTAAACTTGTTAAGCACAATATTTTTAAATTAAGGAATTTATTTTCAGGAAAATGGATCCTGCACTGAATATGAACACACCTATCATAACAACGACCCCTCTTCTTTACCTTATGATCCTGAATTTGGAGGATTGCCACTCCAAAATCATGGCGTACCTCCACTGAATCAAGTTGGACCCATGAGTGGGCTTATGGGTAACATGATGGGCAACAACATGAACAATAATATGGCAGGAAACAATATGGGAAACATGAATATACCACCTCATATTAGTCATATATTAAACACATTACAACAACAGGCTCAAGAAACTCGGGACCCAGTGATACTAAATCTTCAGGGAATGTTATCCAGTGTACTGGTAGGTTGCATATTACTTCATATAGTTTATTTTGTTTTTTAATTACCGGAGAAAACATTTCCATAACATTTGAAAAATTGTATTTTACTTTGGTATTAAGTTTTCAAAACTGCTGCTCAATTTTGTTTACTCCATTAAGCTAATGTATATATTTTGATTTCCCTATTTGTAATTTTAAATTATTTATTTGTAATAAAACAATGTTTAGTACATCTGGTTCTAAAGTTTTTTTTTGTTTTATTATCTTTTAGCAAAGCACAAATCCTCAAGATAGTGGTATGCTTGTAGACAGGATACTTAATGCGCTAGAACCTTTTAAGAATCAGATACCAGGTGAGTAGGAGTTGTACATTTGGCTCAAGCAATAGTTGGACAATTCTTTATAATTTAAATGTGAGCATTATAAATCCATTATTATATTTCTTTCAGGTTTAAGCAACTTAATTAATTCTGTGACTGGAAATGGCATTGATCCTAACATGGGAGGTCCCAGATTTATGGGACCCAATCAAATGGGAAATCCTAGACATGGACTCTTGGGGTCTGCTCCACCAGGTTTCAATATGATGGGCGGTGGTGGAGGTGGAAATATGAGACCTAATGTGCCAGGTTTGTTTTATTTTAATTCATGCTCATTTTTATGTTGTTAACTCCTACTCTTTATTTGTTGTATTTTTACAAGTTTTTATACAACTTGTTTTCTCATGCTTTGTCATGAGTAGAAGCTGGAGAGCAAAATTTCAACCACATCTACCAGACCTATTTTCTTTCAATGTTGGCTCAATGACAATGCAATTTTGCATAAAATTTGACTTAATTAGATCATTAATTAATTGTTAATGTATTAAGGTTCCATAAAAAAAACATGTTGCTATATTTAAGAAGCGACCACTGCTTTTCTTTTTAGTTATTTTAATGGTTGTGCATTATCATATAAAAAATATATAAAAGTAGAACATAAATGGTTTTTATTAAATGTACATTAATAACCAATATTTAAACTACTAAAAAGAAAATCATGGTTCGCTTATATTTTAGCAAAGAAATGCTTTACACTATATAGTGACCCATGATTTTCTTTCAATTTTTTTTTTCAATTCTTTAAAAATTTTAATGCAATAAAATTACACTTGACTCAAAACAGTTGCACACCTAATGAACACAAACAATGAGCATATAATAGCGCTTAAAATTAGTACTTGATAAAGCAAACTTTAATTAATACTTTAAAAATTAATTAAGCATCCAATTAAGTCAAATTTGCAGCCACATTACATTACCGTCCGATCTTGACCCACATGCCAAACTTAAAAGAAATTGGTCTGACAGATGAACAAAGCACTACAAATAGAGGAAGCAAGTTAATTAAAAGCTTTTAAAAACATTTTCATTTTGTTAGTATAATAGTTATTTTTAGGTAGGGTGGGTGTAGAACGGTATGATTGTCCTTTAGAAACAGGTTTTGTGACAACATATTACAGAAGTAAAATAAAAAGGTGTTTTTTTTAAGATGATAAAATTGCGTTTGAAATGAAATGCTAAACTTCATTATCTTAAAACAGCTGACTTACTTACAAACTTGTAATAAATTACAGGACCTGGACCCATGATGGGAAATAATGGAGGAATGGGAGGCAACTATTACATGGGTGGAGGTGGAGGTATGCGAATGGGAGGTCCACCTAATCAATGGAGAGGCAGATCAAGACCATTTGGAAAAAGAGGTATTATATGAATTAAAACAGTTCACTTGAATATGGGCACTAGCCTGTCATTATTTGTCTACTTTACTTTTATTGAATATAGCCTAATTATTCTGTGTAAAATTGTATGAGTTTTTTTATAAAGAGATTTTTATTAAAGTTTTTTCCATATAAATAAATATGATCATTGTAATTTTTAAAATTAATGCATTCTTTCTTTTGTTTCAGGTGGCCAGAGAAATGTTGTTTGTCAGTTTTATGTGAAAAAGGGAAATTGTAAATATGGTGACATTTGTCAATTCATTCATCCTGGCCCTAGTTCATAGCACAAGCTTAATTTTAGTTGATTTAATAAATTGAGACTGAATCTGTACACACAGTGCGACATGTCCACATTCCAGCCTCAACTCATTCAGGGAAGTGGTTACTGTGTTCATGTTTCCCCAACAGCTGAGTTTGTCATGAGATGCCTGTTCTGCTGCCTGCTTGTTATACAAGGATATGAAAGATAGTTTGAAAGAACTATTGTTGTTATTTGTGAAGTATTTTATAATATGAATGCTAGGTTTTTTTATCAATTTGTTGCTTTTTCTAAGTGTAAATTATGAGGTGTACTAAGTAGCATTTATTTAAAATACATGCAATTTCTTCGTTATAAAGTGCAATTTCTTACACAAATCCTTCTGAATATGCTGTTCAAAATAAACTGCTCATTTATTTCATTTTGTAATTCGTAAAAATATTACAATAAATGTTAATGACATTAATTATAATTTTTTAGTAAGAAAATATTTCTCATAGCTTTTTATTTACAGCAGTATATAAAATATTGTATAAAATGTCTATCACATATTAGTCCTTTTATAAATAAATAATAAAAAAATTGCCAGCTGATCTATGGAGCAACACTAATGCTTTACTTAAGCAATATTAATTTTACCTAGGGAAGAAATCATTTTAAAAAAGCATATTCTGAATTATTTAAATTGATACATGTGCATATTGCATAGCTTCAACTTCAAATAATTTTTTGTTCAGTACAAGTTATTTGGATTAGACTAAGGTACTAAAATGTAATCACATAGACTAATTGATTAGACAAATAGAACAAGAATGGTGCCAAACCTTTTTTTGATGTAGATATGTACAGAATGTTGCTAGTCAACATTTTAATTTTGTTGCTGTAAATAATACTAATTCATTGCAAAATTGTTTAAATAAAATAAACCTTTACATATTTTTTATCGTGTTTCTTTTATTTTGTAAATATTTTTGTGCAACATTAAAAATAGCATTTTAGTCAGCTTCTCACCCAAAGCTTTTTATGGTTTTATTTCAGGGTTAAGCATTAAAGTGATTGTTTTAGTTAGGACTAATTATGTCTCAGTTGCATTAAGAAAATCAGTAAATAGCTGTTTATGTTTAAGGAACAGTTTGAAATATACTCAAATCAGTAAATTAGCATTATTCATTAAGTGTTCACAATTTTATTTACTTTGTAGCATATGTAACAAGCTAACCAGTTTTGCCCAATGGGTACATTGAATGATAAAGTTGTCAAACTTTTATTACTAACTCATTGCAGATGAAATACTAGTAAGAACAATTTTTTTAAATCTTCAGACAACACATTATAACATGTTATCAAACGATACTCAACAAGTTTGTTCAGAATTCAACGTTTATTCAAAATGATCCTCATAACAGTGGATGCAAACATGTCAGGAATGACAAAGATAAATAGTGAATCTTCAAAAAAATGAATTTTGATGATGATAGCAAAAGAAAAAAACATTTAGCAACAAAATTACACATCAGACACAGCTACACCACTTTCTGAGTTTTCAAAAAATTGAGTATAATACACAGAACACCTTGTTCTCAAAAACATTCTCATCACAATTAGCATCGATATTTGTAATGAACATTATCAATTAATCTAGATAATTAAGCCTCACAGAGGAAAGTCATACTTTTAAAAATGGGTATCAGATATAAAGATAGTGTTCACTGCAATGTTAAATTCAATAAATCAGTCACACTGATACCATGCACACATGGTCCACTAAAGCCATTAATAATTCTCCTTGATAAAAGGAAAATAATCACATGATAACAGGGGCAAATAGTCATTTAGTACCAATACATACTTTGTGTAATAACAGCAGCAGTATCATACAGATCTATTAAAATTCACTTAAACAAGACATTCACAATGACATTCCGTTGGTTTTTTTTTTACAATACAACTTGAACCTGTAAAAAATGTACGCCCTGCACTTAAGTTTCACTGAATATAAAATAATTTTCAATAAGAACTGCGAAACATCTTAATTGTTGGATATTGTATAAATAGCAGTTTTAAAATACTAAATGCACTCAGCTCTCATAACTCATCTTTTTCTTCAGGGTCTTCACTTTGTGGTGGTGGTGATCCACCAGTCTGTTCATATAGTTTTGTCATAATGGGTTGAACAATGCCTTCCAATTCAGTTTTCTTTTCTTTAAATTCCTCTGCATCAGCTTCAGCATTACTTTCTAACCACTTGATAGTTTCATCAACAGCCTCTGTGATTTTCTCTTTATCACCATCACTCAACTTTGCTCCCAATTTTTCTTTATCATTTATCTGATTTTTAAGAGAATAGGCGTAACTTTCAAGCTCATTCTTGGCATCAACCTTTTCTTTAACCTTCTTATCATCATCTGCATATTTCTCAGCATCATTGATCATACGCTCAATATCCTCAGGCGACAATCTGTTTTGATCATTCTGGATAACAATTTGGTTTTTACTTCCAGTGCCTTTGTCTTCAGCAGTTACTTTGAGAATGCCGTTGACATCAATTTCAAAAGTTACTTCAATCTGGGGAACTCCACGTGGAGCAGGAGGAATGCCTGTCAAGTCAAACTTGCCCAACAAATGATTGTCCTTTGTCATTGAACGCTCTCCCTCATAAACCTGAAGATGAATTATTAATTTAAATTAATAATTTAATAATTAATATTTCATAAAACAATTCCATTCAAAAATTTACAAATTGTTTTAAAACTATAAAATTAAAAATGAAGTATGTACCTGAATAGTTACAGTTGGTTGATTATCGGCCGCTGTAGAGAAAATCTGTGACTTCTTAGTTGGAATGACAGTATTTCTTGGAATAAGCTTTGTCATGACACCACCAACAGTCTCAATACCCATTGTAAGAGGATTAACATCAAGCAGCACAAGATCTCCAGTATCTTCTTCCCCACTCAAAACACCAGCTTGGACAGCTGCACCATAAGCAACAGCTTCATCTGGATTAATGCCTCTGCTTGGTTCCTAAAAAATAATAAAAATTTTTAATAACCCAAAAATTAATACAAGATGAACAACATAAAACTACTTAAACTGCTTAGAAGAAGATGAGTACCTTGCCATTAAAAAACTCCTTAACTAGCTGTTGGACTTTAGGAATACGGGTTGAGCCACCAACCAACACAATTTCATCAATATCATCTGTCTTGAGATCTGCATCTTCCAACACTTGTTTTACTGGTTTCATTGTGGACCGGAACAAGTCCTAAAAATATACATTTGAAAATGTTAAAATACATATTTGAAACTAAGGACCTAATTTTTTTTCGTAAACTAACACTAAATTTTAATGACAGTGACAAGCAATACTACTTACCATGTTCAGTTCTTCAAATTTAGCACGAGTGAGAGTCTCAGAGAAGTCTTCACCATTAAAGAAAGATTCAATCTCCAAACGAACACTGTGAGTAGAAGATAAAGCACGTTTGGCCTTTTCAACTTCACGTCGAAGTTTCTGAACTGCACGATTGTCCTTCTTAATGTCCACACCCTTCTTTTTCTTGTAAAGTTTAATAAAATGCTCCATTACTCTCTGGTCAAAATCTTCTCCACCTGTAAAATACATTGAAATAAAATTTAAGTTTCAATCCTTCAGGATCCTTTAACAATTTTATTAAGCATAAAAAATTAAACAATATTTGACACATAATAAAATAAATATCCACAAAACTGACCTAGATGAGTGTCACCATTGGTGGATACTACTTCAAAAACACCATTATCAATTGTGAGTAGAGAAACATCAAAGGTTCCACCACCAAGATCGAAAACCAGAATATTCTTTTCACCATCCTTCTTATCAAGACCATAAGCAATAGCAGCAGCAGTTCTGTAATTGAAAATATTATCCATAATTTTAAAAGTTTCAAGAATATAGCTAATGAAAAATTTAGATACAATGGTCTATCTCATAGTCAAATGGAACAATTGACTTACGGCTCATTAATGATTCTCATCACATTGAGACCTGCAATAGTTCCAGCATCCTTAGTGGCCTGTCTCTGAGCATCATTGAAATAGGCTGGCACTGTCACAACTGCATTAGTGATTTTCTTCCCTAAATACTCTTCAGCAATGTCCCTCATTTTTCCTAAAACCATAGCTGAAATTTCTTCTGGTGCAAATGTTTTTTCTCCTTCAGAAGTATCTACAACAACGTATGGTTTGCTGTTTTTGTTAACAACCTAAAAAGAAAAATTACAAAATACTGGAACATATTCTACAATTAGCAAACAAATCAATATCCTCAAATTTCCATTGCTATTAAACAAGATCTTATAATAAAAATCAAAAGCTGGCTCAAGTGCCTCACCTTAAATGGATAATATTTTATGTCATGTTGTACAGATTTGTCTTCCCAGGAACGTCCAATAAAACGTTTCACATCAAATACTGTATTCTCTGGGTTAGATGTAAGCTGGTTTTTGGCAGCATCACCAATCAAACGTTCACCATCAGAGGTGAAGGCTACATAGGAGGGTGTGATACGATTACCCTGATCATTGGCAATAATATCAACACGACCATTTTTAAACACACCAACACTGAAACAGAATAGAGAATTTATCAATTATGGTACCTATGTTGTTTTAAATTTCAATAAGACAATTTCAGAACTTAACAGTTTGTATCAAAATATGGACGTAAAAATATATAAATCTAATCAATAAGAAAAATGCTTGAGTATAATTACCAGGAATATGTTGTTCCTAAATCAATACCAATAACTGTTCCAACATCAGATTTCTTTTTGTCAGATTCTTCTGATTCCTCCTTTGATTGAACAACACAAGTGCTGATCATCAGCACCGCAAACAAGCAGAGGGTAAAATGCTTTTCCATTGTCACCACTTCAATCCACAGAGCAGAGTTTTAAAATAACTTACTGGGCTGAAAAAACAAGAAAAAGAATTTAAGCCCTGTGTTAGTTTATTTAAAGCCTACCATTAACTAACTATTATTAAAGAGGAAAGGGAAAGTGAAAAAAAACCCAGAATGGGACTATACAATAATGGACTTTGGGGGGGGGGGGGGGGGGGGGGGGGGAGGGGAGATATCACTGATTAACATAAAAACAATTGACGGGATTCAGAGTGTAGATCTTTTTGTCCATATAGACTTGACAGGCCTATTACTTTGTAAAGATTGAGATTACCATTCTTTACATATGATAATACTTAGTAGCATACTAATCGATTAGAATCTGACATTTAATCATTCATTATAGGAACAAGTGAATCCTGATCCCAAGTTATAGAATCTTTAAATCTAGATCTAGTAAAAACCACTGTAGATCTAGAATGGTTCTACATCTAGACCAACTTACAAGGAAAGTAACTGCAGACATTTAAGATAGATTGTAGATTAATGTAGATCTAGATCTAGACTGTAGACCTATTCGAGATCTATATCTAGTAGTTTTTCTCACTAAATCTAGAATTTACGCAATTATCAATTTAAACATGACCACTGAATAATAGACATCCATATTTAATCCATTAGGCACTAACTTTGGAGTTTTTAGTTCGTCTTAAACTAAATTACTTTATTTAATATTTATTGTCAATCACTGCCATGTCCAACACATCTCTCCATGACAACTCTTCTTAAGCTTGAAGCTAAAGAAAACCACAAATCAAGTTAGACTTTTTAAGTGGCCATCCACAAGAGTTCCTCACTAGTGATCACCAAATAGTGGTCACGTGGTTTTTTTTTCAAAAAAAATTTGGTTGTCATTTTTTCGGCTGGTCTCATAAAAAAACGGTTGACGATATTTGATTTATTTTTTCATAGACTGATAAAACTAATAATGCTTTAGTATGGAAATCAATTTTGTAATATGGAAATCGATATTTAAAAAGTTCTAGTATTTTTGATGAAACCAACTTTTAAATTTAGCCTTCATTCTCCAACGCAAATTTTAAAATGCTTTTCTGGCATATATAGCCCTGCCACCTATAGCTTGTTGTTATAACGTGAAAGTCCCGCCATCTTGCGCGTGGTAAACATTTTAAAAACTAATTAGTAGAAGGTCTCTGGAATTTGGCCGAAAAATCGTCGGAAGTCAAGCGTCCGGTCCGGGCGCCATATTGTTGTAAGCAACCGACCACGCCTCCAAGTTAGCGAGTAATACTAATATCTAGATCAGGAACTATTCATTTTTAATTAATTATATTTAGCCTAAGTAGAGATCTATATCTAGATCAGGAACTATTCATTTTTAATTAATTATATTTAGCCTAAGTATAGCCTATTACTAGAAATCTAGATTTAGATCTAGATCTAGATCTATCGTTTGATAGTTAATTTAGTTTCCATTCTCAATTCTGAGGTGAAGTCAGCTTTATTTTCATTGCAGCAATATTTTAAAAATAGGGCCTTAGATCTAGATTCTAGATCTAGACTAGATCTATCTAGATTTCTAGAATCGGGGCTACTCTAAGATCTAGATTCTAATATCTAGAATCTAGATCTAAATCTAGATAGATAGGGTTGCCAGGTGTCCAGTATTTGAGCAGACTGTCCAGGATAAAATAAATATAAATACTGGACAAGTAGATTCTAGATCTATATGAATAATACTCTGTTACCCCCCTTTCCATCCTTCCCTTCTCAGGGAAGGATGGAAAGGTGTCCAGTATTTTGAATTTTCGGAAAAGGTATCTGGCAACCCTAATTCTAGATCTTCGAGATCCAGTTCGTCGAATAGCCGGCCGGCAAGTTCATCTGCCTAAAGATTAGTTTAGCTTAGCCATAGCAGCTTAGGGCTAAAATATTAAATTATTAATATTTAATTCTAGATCTAGTCGACTAGAGCATAAAGCTAAAACAGTATAGTGACTAGACTAGTTAGAAGAAAATGTCTTACCGTTAATAATGTTCAAGAATATAGTAAATATGGATAATAACCGCTTCTTTCTCACTTTGACTTCCTTCTTTTCTGCTTTGCTTTCGATATGATCACTGACAGCCTGTAGATGCGTTTTTCTATTATTAGTGTTCTTGGCGTGTCGGTTTGTGATTGGTTGTCGTCATCGCTTTCTAAGTTATCCATTGGATATCGTGGACGGAAGCTTGGAAGCTCCGCGAAAAGACACGTAGACTCTCGACGACAAAATACGTACTACGAAATCATGTTTCATCATCACATAAATAAAAACAATTTTTGTTGTTTTGTTTTTAAAAAAATAAAGGCACAAAATTAGCACCTAGATGTAGAATCTAGATCGAGATTCTAAATGCAAAATATTAAAAAATATTGCTTTATTTTGTAATGCTTTTCAAATTTTTGAAGTACCCTTTTGGCCTACTGTAAACAAAAATAAGTAGGCTTGTTAAATTGGAGGATAATACTTAGTGGGCCCACTAAGAAAGATGGTTTGCTCACTCAATCATATTAGGGGTGGGAGATACTAGAAATGATCACTCACTTAAGGAGGGGTGAAGGTTCGCTGAGTTGCATATCACATATAGGCCTATATATATATATATATATATATATATATATATATATATATATATATATATATATATAGGGCCTATATATATATATATATATATATATATATATATATATATATATATATATATATATATATATATATATATATATATATATATATATATATATATATATATATATATATACACTAAAGCAGTTTCTGCAAGTGCGGAGTGAAGCAGGTCTACCGTCCCCAAACTGAATAATTAAGACAGAAAATATATTTCGATGTCTGAAAGAAACACTGGTCTAAATCATAGGGGAAAATTGGCACACGTGCCATACAGTCATGTGGTCGTTAAATTAAAATTAGAAACTATTGCTAAGATCCTTACATTAAATTGATGTAGTAAAATGAGTTATGGTCACACGCTTTTCTTCTTTTTTCGCCAATCTTATAACAAGTTAAATTTGAAATAGATTTCGATTTTTTTTTTTGGTGAGTAAACAAATATTTTGTGAAATATTTTTTTTCTGCTAACAAACACTCTTTTTCTCCAGCAGTTCAATAAAAAAAATTATGGAAGAAAACCTTTAAAAATAAAATGCAGTGAGGCAAGTTAACACACTGGGTATGATATTACAAATTACAAGTCTAAATCTTATTGTGTGGAATGGCAACATCATGCTATTTAAAAGACGTTTTAATTATTAGAAGGGTTTTAGTTAAATTGATAATCTTTATGTTCACTGATGACCATAATCTTCTGATTTTATGTAGATTAATTTGCAGATGTCACGAAAAGTTATATTAATTTGTATCTAATGGCTTAAAAAGGCATGGATGTCACCGGTGCAATAACTTATGGTGTGGAGCTTTAACATGTATTGAATGTACAACTTAATACCAATCAAAATGCACAGGGATTTATTTAATCTTTACGTTTGAGGGGGCGCCAAATGGGTTAGAAAAATAAATTGAAAGGTTGAGAGGGTTGGAAATTCAAAGTTTGAGTGGGGTGCAAATCGAAATCTTGAGGGGGGGGGGGTTGCAAATCTGCCTGGAAGAAACTCTAAATGTGTGACACCAACTGGGGTGGGAGGTTGGGCGCTTTTTTTTTTGCCAGTGCCAACGTAAATAATTGTACAAATGAGATGAGGGGGGCGCAAACTTGATAGTTCGCCCAGGGCGCCGGAATGGGTCGCTACGCCAACAGACTCAATGATATTTTAAGGACTTGACCCGGCTTTGAACTTTAGACTTTCGGGTTAACATCATATGCATTTTCTGGACAGCGTAGATATGTCAATAGAGAGACTACGCGAACAGTGTTTTAAAAGATGTCTGGAAGAAACTCTGGACATAGAATTATCTCCGCTAACTTCGAAAGTTAAACATTCCACCATTTACACCCACACACACAAAGCAAAATCTCGAAAGTTAACCGCTCCAAAAGTACGTGCATCTTTATAATAGTTTCAAGGTAAAATTTCCTGAGCCTCTTGGAAACAGCCAATATATACCTGACAGCATCCCACTACTTGTGATTACGGTGTAAAAAGGAGTTCACATGCAGTGTTTCTTCCAGACTTTTTTCTCCGGATGGGGGGTAGGGGTGGGGGGGGGGGGGGGGGAGGGATAAATTCTCCGGGGGTGGGGTGGACACTGGTAAAAGTATACATTTTCTATATAAATTTCCATTTCGTTCGGGAGGGGGGGGGGGTCGGTAGACTTTCTTTTGGCCTGTAAGAAACACTGTTCACATGTTGAATGGATCCTAGGTAAATACAATCCCTTTCGTCACATATTGTCACAAAATGTCAGGCACCCTCTAAATGACGTCACATCTCAGTCTACTCTCCATGTCCCCAATTTTATTGTTGTTTCTTTCTAAATTGTTGTCTTAACACGGCCAATGTTAAGTATATTATTCAATGTATTGTTCGATTAAATATGTTTTATAAAAAGTCTTTTCAAATGCGAAATAACGGAGATATTTCAGTTCGTTTATACCTAGATCTAGTAAGTCAACTGCGTTTTGAAAAGCAAATAAAAAGTGACGATATCACACTTTCTGGCCCCTCTTTTCCAGAGTTTCTTCCAGGCATCTCCTCAGCCCCCCTCCCCCCCCCCCCCCAAAAAAAGTCTACCGCCCCCCCCCCCTCCCAGAGTTTCTTCCAGGCGTCTCTTCGGGGGGGGGGGGGGGGGCAAAGCCCCCCCGAAAATTTTTTACCGCCCCCCGAACGAAATGAAATTTATATAATTTATATAGAAAATATATACTTTTAACAGTGTCCGCCCCCCCGAAGAAAGTCTACCGAAAATTTCAAGTGCCCCCCCCCCCCCCCGGAGAAAAAAGTCTGGAAGAAACACTGCCCCCACCCCGAACGAAATGGAATTTATATAGAAACTATATACATTTAACCGTGTCCGCCCCCCCCCCCCCACCGAAGAAAGTCTACCCCCCCCCCCCCCCCCCCCCCCCGAAGATTTCAAGTCCCCCCCCCCCCAGGGAGAAAAAGGTCTGGATTAAACACTGCTCCTTTCTTCAAACACACATAGTTACAAAAGTTCATTAATTAACGTCCCATCTGTTTTTTGCTTAATTATATTAACTCAATCAAAATATTTTGTTAATTAATAAGGCTTAGGCCTAGCCTATAAATAAAAGAGCATTTTTACAGTAATTTATTGTGCCAGTTAGTCAGTTTTCTTATATTATTTTGTATTACTCATTATTAGCTATATGTCTATATGTAACCTATGCTAAACAAGAGACATAATATTAAACATTATATTTTTTAACACAGCATAAGCGTGTTGTTTAACACAATCATTATACAGTTTAAAATGTTAATAATTTTTTTTTAGCATAAAATCTCTACTTTCTGCTTTTTGTGCCGACATCGAGAGCCGCGTGGGACTACCATCGTCTACCATCATTTACCGACCGGGATTCGAGCAGGTTAGTCGTGTCTCGTAATGTCTTGTGAACCACGTGTTTGCAATCTTAGATTTCTATGTGTTAGTTTAATTATCAGCCCTAGACTAGTCAACAAAATTGTCAAAGTAGATCTAGATTCTAGATCTAAATCTAGTTTAGATCTAATAATTTAATAAAATATGAGCGCATGGTGATGATGAATTTTATTCCTACATTCGCGGTTTCCACCAGAAGAACAGCTCGAGTTCTGAAGATGGCCTCTGTCCTTCCTTGGATGTCTGAACCATAAACTCGTCTTTTTAATTTTGAACTAGAATCTAGATCTATCTAGATCTAGAAATCTAGATCTATTCTGTGGTAGACTTGTTTTAGAATAATAGATGTGTGGCATAGTTAATTTTAGAACAGACTATTTTTATGTCTATGATCTAGATAGGCTTTTTGATGAGAATTACAGAATGATTTTTTTATTAAAAATGTATTAATAATAGCTAGAATACTAGTAAACTAAGCTAATTTAGCATATTTTAACTTTCTGTGCAAAGTCATTATTACTGAAAAAAATTCCAAAGTCAGGTCAGCCTGTGGCACCCTCCACTGAACTTGAAAGAAGGAAAAAAAAATTGACCCGTGACCTTCATTAAAACAGAATTTACTTATGTTTCTTTTTAACTATTAGTAAACATGTGCTTAATATTACCCAATAAGTAATAAAAATTTGACAATTAATTTTAATTACTGTTGTAAAGTGAGATAAACAGCTTAATAAACACGTGTTTTCTTGAGGGGGTGTGACCCGGGTGTGGCACATCGCATGTAACTTTTTATTTCTGTGTCTTATGACTATTTGTTCACAATCAGCATGCTATGCTTTTAAAATTGATAAAGGGTAAGTATACCAAGCTACAAAACCTAAAATCTAACTAATAATTCATACTTTCAGTTTAAAAAATAATAAAAACGATCATCAATGAAGAAAGCGTAAACATTCTATTTTTAGGTGTGACATAAAAAAACAGTCATAAACCTAGCCAAATGATTGGATTCTTGCGCGGCACACATTTTCCCGCGCCTCGTGTTCACCAAAAAAGATTATAATAAAATGGCATTATTACTTGCACGGACCACATCTCATTCCGACCATAAGTTATTACCAGTTAATTGTAATGTGTGTAAAATTGATACTTTCAAGTTTCATATACACATAGTTTGGTTTATTATACACGGGGTATTTTAGAGTTATTTGATTCGAAAGATGAGAATTATATAGAGCTACTTTCACTAAGGCGCCGCTAGCGAGACAAACAAAGAAATTAGGCCAAAAGTAGATCCGACAATTCTTAATTAATAGACTTAAATAGAAACGGATAGTTCCGATTTCTAAAATTAACGATGGCTTCGTAATCATTAGTTTTATCCCTCTACCCATTAGTGAAAGCGAAACTGGTCGCCATTTTTGGTAAGCGCATGAGCCGTGAGATGGCTTCAAAACAACAAACCCGGAAGCTGTGAATCGAACGGCCTAATCTAGAATTCTAGACCTCGTTTCTAGAGCTAGATCTAGATTTCTAGATCTAGAATAGATTTCCTCTGCACGGTCAAGCCTCGTAGCGGTCATCGCCTGTTTATTGCTTCGTTTAAAAATTGTAGAAACTACAGGTATCTGGGTAATCTATCGTTTTGGGTACGTAAAATCGCCCGCGACTAGAGCAAATTACATTGTCCGAACACTACGTGGGACCGAACACTTCGTCGGTTTTTGGCTCATAGAAACTTTAATTAGCATGTCTCATGCGAAACCACGGCGCCTGCACGTAAACTGTTCATTTATGAACACTTCCGTGTCAAGTACTTCCGTTTCCTCTCTCAAGAATTATTTTTAGAAAATTTTTAACGTTGCATGGTACGCACATTTCTATTTTTACACCAGCCGGATGAAGTGACCTAGGGTTGGACTTAGGGGCAAAACTTGAACCAATCAACGCTTAGCTAAAAGGTTACACTATAAATAGCTTCTATATATGTATGGAACATCGTAAATGTCAAGGTTAATGGGTTATTTTGTGCTTGAACAATAAAAAAAGGGGTGTTCGCTAACTTTTTTGACCTTACATGGGACCGGACAGCAACACAAAAATATTATTAAATAAGAATTTAGAGCATAAAAGGGGCTGGTTATTGAAGGGAAAGGGTCAAATGAGGTCAAGAAGGCAGTGGAATGCGAAAGAGGAGGGGGAATCATGTGACCTGGCTGGCTTAGCAGCGTACTGCGCGAGCCGCAATGGCTGAATGGGATGAACTTTGGGAGTGTGGGAAAAAGGTTTTATACTATTAAAATTACCTCACAATCAATAACACAATATAAATGCATATAATATATGTTTTTATTCATTAAATTGACTTTAAATTATTCTAAATAAACAAAAAGTGCTTTGTCCGATGACGGGTAAAGGTGTCCGAACACATTTGAAATTGTATTACATGTGTCCGAACACACGTTAAGACCCCCCAGTCACTATAACAAGAATAGCTAAAGTTCTATGCGTATGAATACAAAATGACACACACATTATTAAAGTAGAATGATTGCGGATAGATGTGATACTTTTTTTTCCTTCCTATGTTAAGCGGTCACTGAATGAGACCGCATGGAAGTTTTAAGTTGCGTTTTTTCGCGGTGTGTGTCCGGACAGTGTAATTTGCTCTAGTAATGTGAAAAACAGGTGACTCCTTACATTTTAATAATTATTTCACATTTTGAGGAGGATTTATGTTTTGAAAAATATATAGTTTCCTTGTTTCATTTATGTATCTGTTTTTAAACAATTGAATTAAAACTTTTCAGTAATAAATGAACACCAGTGATGTTTCCAACAGATGCAACCATGCTCATTTACTATAGCAGCCATCTTGTTAGTTTTATTTTTATAGACTTATAGCGCGAGATTCAGGCGGAAGTCACTCTATTTTACAAATGGCTGCTGTTTATATAGCAAATCTTACTTGCAGACACTGCTGTTTAAAGTTAATTTCTGGCCTTTATTGATATATTTAGCCATTGATTTAGGTTTATTATTCATTTATCTATAATATTTGACACAAACATATCACAATATACTTCTATTACAGCCTTGACAATGAGGTAACGTTTTCGTACATTAATAGCCGCGGGCGATTTTACGTACCCAAAACGATAGATTACCGGTATCTGCTGTCCATTTCTAAATAGATCTAGATCTAGAGAGTAAAGTTCCACTTGCGGTTAAAACACCGGTGCGGCCATCGCCTGTTTATCGCTTCGTACAATATTTGTTTTGATGTTTTATACAAAACTACCGATATCTGCTGTAAACCTGTCCATTTCTAAATATATCCAGGTCAAATTCTGTTTTTCTCCTTCTGGAAGTCGAGTTTTTAAAGTTTCGAGGTATGACGTCGTAGGCGATTCTAGTTCCCCGTATGAAAAACACTAGGTCCCGGATGAGATGAATAAACCAACCAATCAAAGCTTTTTATAACTAAGTTAACTATAAATAGCTTCTACAATATGTGCGGGACACTGTACATACGATAGATAAGGCTAATAAAGCAACCTGATAGGTGAATAGGGGTGGCCGCAGCTTGGGTGTCGATTTGGGTGGTTTCACCGCGCTGCGTAACCAATGACTTGAGCTAGACTAGCCTAGTTCTAGATGCTCTACATTTCAAGCTAAGCCTAGAATTTCTATTTTTTTCTGCTGTTTTAAATTATTTCGATCATCTACTTCTTCTAAATCTAGTTTGTGTCTCTACATACAAGCATATCTAAGCAAATGTTACGTTATGTCTTGTCAGTGGTTGTTACGTCCCTTTTGTTATGATTATTAGTTGCGTCCCTTGAGTCATCACTGGGTCAACTTTTAATGTGGTTAATTAATTTAATTTACCTTTTTTTAAATTTGGTTTTGAAATCTATTAATTAATAATACAATCAACAAAACGTTTAAAAGTGTAAAATATTTATTTTATTTATTAAACTAGGATTAAAACGTATAAAACACGATCGTTACGCAAGCCGGTTCAGATGGCCGGAGGGAAAAAAAGAGGGGGGAAAATATCGCAAGTAGCACGTCACTAAAACATGAATATCTCAAATTCAATGCGTAGGAATATAAAATGATTGATACATATTAAGAGTAGAAAGGCAGAGGAATAATATAGTACTTTGGGTTTGTTTCTGTGTTAAACGGTTACAAAATAGCGCCCGATGAAAGTCGGGAGTTCGCTATGTGTGACCGGTTGTGGAACTTCACTCTAGATTATATCCAGGTCAAATTCTTTTGTTTTCTCCTTCTGGAAGACACGTTTTTAAATGTTTCGATGTATGACGTCGTAGGCCATAAACAGGCGATGGCCGCACCAGTGTTTTAACAGCGTGTGGAACTTCACTCTAGATCTAGAATCTAGATACCCTGAGTAGAGCCATCGAGCTAGTATTGACACTGGTTTTGACCAAAAAATCGTTGGATCAGATTTTCATTTGCAACATGTCAGTGAGAAGTAGATCTACTAGATTTCGGTAATACTCCATTTTAGCGTATTTTATTCTCCGCTTCTCGTTTACTTCCAGTTGAGCATATTTTATTATAACTGAAACACTCCTAACTAAACGTTAGGAAAACATGATTTATTTTATTTGTATTGTATTTTTCGTTTTAGATTTAGATATGCTTTTGTCAAAACGTGAGACTAGAATACTGACTACAGAGTAGTGAAAGCGAAACCGGTCACCATTTTTGGTAACCGCATGAGCCGTGAGATGGCTTCAAAACAAACCTGGAAGCTGTGAATCGAACGGCCTACTATAAACATTTATGACCTTACAATGACCCCAAAACTGAGGCCAACAATTTCAAACAGCTATTGCCCGAGCTATGAAGTATGCTGATAAAGTCAATTTGAAGCCGCGACAGTGTAAGGATTTTTCTCCTGCTGACGATCACACGATATTTAACTGGAACTGTTCTAATGCTTTGGTTTTATTTACCTTTTCTAATTAAAAATCACATTTTTAAAAAAAAGTAGATCTATCTCTAGTCCTAACATTTTTGTGTTTCGGTGGTGTTTATAATAAAATAAGCTCAACTGGAGATGAGCGTGAAGCGGGGAATAAAATACACTAAAATGGAGTTTTACCCTAGATTTCTTGATCTAGAATATAGATAGCAAAAAGGCCAATGTTTTTAATTCAAATTAAGTGTAACCTGCATTATGATGTATACTATGATAGTGTTTAACCCTCTTAAGACGTAGATCTAGCTTTGAGAGCAGGCGCTATATAGAGTCTGCTATTATTTATTAAGCTTTGCACCTGATTCACAAAATAATCGATAAACATAAAAAGCACTTTTAGTTAATGACTGTTTTACTACATTGTAGTTGGATGCTGTAACTTTATTTTTCATTTTCAGGGCTTTAGCTTTAAGTTCAATTGCTCTTGCTGACTTAAAGAAGGTACTAGATTTTATATTTTTGGTTTGTTTTGCTTTCTGTGTTACTGGAGAGATTATAAATCTCTGGTGTCAAAGAAAGCATATAGCAATGAGCTTGACACCAACATGTTGTGATTCTTGACACAGCATAGAATATTTCAAGCCGACAGCCTCATTTATCTTATTAAAATATACAATAAAAATTATAAAACTTGTCACGTTTAGTGGTAGCTAGCTTATTAGTATAATTTTAAGATTGTATTGAAGTAAAGATTAACATTTAACTGTTGGTACTTTTCATAATTAATGCCCAAACATGTGCATTAGGTAATCAATGCTTGATCAAAGAAGCAACCTATCCTAAAATTAAAATTATTTATTGCTGGTGCCACCTAAAATTTAAGGATTTTGTTGAACCTAATCACAATACCTAGTTTCCATTTTCGAAGAGAGATTTTCTTCGGGTTTTTAAAAAAATACATTTTCAAATTGTTTTTCTTGTTTTGGTTTTTTCTATTTTTTACATAACATCCCATAAATTGATTTACATCTTTATTTGAGTTATTCCAATTTCAACCAACCGTTAATATACTTGGGTGTCACTGATGATATATTGAACTCTCTCACTGATTCCAGTTGATGTCATTAACATATCTGAGACACTTAATACCGGAGTTATATATTTTATACTTGTTTTTAATTTGCAAATAACTTTTCTTACTATTTATAGGTGAAAATGTCAGAAATGCTGTTAACTCCAGTCTGTTTGGGTAAGCATCACAATTTCCCATTAGTATTTAAGTGCCATACTTGATGATTGAATTAAGCTATCTGATGACATGATAGACATAATTTCGCCCCTATCTGATATGGCATGTGTAAATGAAAATATTGAAATAGTAAGTCTGATTTATAGAAACAAGGTTAATCCTTTCATTCATGCTTGCTATCCTTACTGGACGTTTTTTTTTAAAATTTGGCACATATTTAAATATAACTTTAGTTAATAGACTTGGAAAATCTTTTGTATTAACCAAAAGAACCTAATGGTAGTTACTTTGTTCGGTTCTTGGCCAGGTAAAATAAATTTATTTGTAGTTTTATAGAACTAGGACATTCTCACTACTAGATAAGCAGTTTATAGGTAGCAAATGTCATGTAGCACTGCAAATAAACCTGGGTTATGTATTTCCTTTATTTTATTACTCTTACATGTTTTTAATTTTTAATTTATATTGTTCCTGTATTTTGGGTTTTTCTTTTATAAAATAGCCATATATGATGAATCGATTTGTCATAGTTTTTATGATTGATCTTTATCGCCCCAGTCTGAATTGGCTTGATAATATTCTGTAAATAGTAAATCTTAGTTTCTGTACCTGTTTGTATAATGTGTCTGTGATGAAAACAGAACTCTCTCTTCCTGATGTTAACTTGATGAAATAAGCTCTGAGGCACATTAAGCCCATTAAAATAAAATGAATGGTTTAAAGATAATTTTAGTGTTGAGCTGTGCATTTCAAGTCATTAAAAAAGCCACATGCATTTTGTATTTTTTTAAAGTATTTGAAGTTAAGCGCATTTCTAAAGCAAGTTTTATACATTTAAACTGCTGGTTGTAATTGTCCAACTATGGCTATGATGAATACTTTCCAACATTCGCGGTTTCCACCAGAAGAACGATGAGTTCTAGAGATGGCATTTGTCCTTCCTTGGATGTCTGAGCTATGTCGACCCTCCAAATAGTTTTTAAATGTATACAAGCTTCTTACTAGTACATACTAAATTTGAAAGTTGGCAAAATTATTTTTAAACCATAACCGATCTATTAGGCTTACATAGTTCTAGTGTGGTATATGCACTCAGAATTTTGTGCTCATATTGTTAGTTTTATTTCTTAGTACAAGATCAGGACTGTTACTTTTTCTGTATTGTTTCCTCTGCTGTTTTTCCTGTATTTAATTGGGTTCTCTGCTAACCTGTGTCTCCTTGGTGATATATTTACCTTGTGTGGCACAGAGAGCAAATAGCATCCCACTTGACACCAACATGATTGTGATTTATGACACATCATAGAAAATTCCAAGTGAACATTATTGATTCTTGACCTTAAGTAATATTGATTTTACATTGAATGGAATCTGAAAACATGGATTTTTTTTTAAAAGGTTGCTTACCTCATTTGCTGTGGTCCTGGGCTGTGAATGGAAATGGGTATGTACATGATCATCTTGTTTACTTTATTTATAGAAGATTGTGCTTGAGAGATTTCTTGTGATGAAATATTAGATAGGGACAACTGAAATAATGATTGATTTATCGTTTCTGAATGAAATCTCAATTACTAGCCCAAATAGTTTAAAAAGTCATTACCTAGTTTAGATTGATGTACATTGAACATCCCAGATTTCATGATGTAAAATTTTTTAATTTGCGTCAAGACTCGTTTTTAAAAAAATTTACATTATTTTTCTTGTTCTGAAAAAGAAATCTGGTCTGTTTCAATTTTAAAGGGAGCTATAAAAAAATTGATTCCTAAACTGCTTTATAATTTATAATTCTTGCAATTTAATTTTTTTCAAATTTAATACCTTTTATATTAATATATGTGAACATAGAAGAATGTTAGGGGTATTTTGATCTTTGTTGGTTTTACATGATGATGTGATCAAACAATGGGAATCTCTCTGACTTACTGATGATTGTTTGTTCTGACAAAAACCATTTCAGATTTTTAGATATTATTTTATCTTTAATACTCATTTGGAATAAGTTACATTCCTTCTGGTAATTATTTCATTCCTTCTAAAAGTTAACTTAGCTCAAGAGATTTGTATGATGAAGAATGATTCTACCAGATGAATAATCCTGATTACATACAACCGTTCCATTATTTCTGAAAATCTCTTTGGGTTAATATAGTTTATATATTGGAAACAGTAGTTTATTAAAGTTCTATATTACTCTTGATATGCCTGTTTTGTGGATAGCATAGGTTTTATGCCAAAATTGTTTTATAATCAAGCTTAGTATGTATTTTGGAATTGTAGTTCAAATGCTATTGTTTTGCAAATACCATTTTGTAATTATAGTAGATTGCTCTATACCCTCTTATATCATCTGACAATCTTTTCAGCTAGCTGAACAGTTTCTCCCTTACAGTAGCTGCACAAGATCCTACTTAGTAAGTCCTTTTATTAATATAAACACATCTAATATAATGAAGTCATACATGATGATCCGATAACTCATATCTAAAATGACTGAATTTTATCGCCCCAGTCTGATATGACACTCAATAGCATGTACTATCTTAAATTTGTACTAGTTAAGAATATCATCTTAATAACATGTAACTTATTTTACAGCTTGTCACAACACAAGTCTAGGCCTATGTCTTACCCGTAACCCCTAGATGAAGGTGGGTGCCATTTTAATTTACTTCATACTGAATGTGATGAATGCATTATCTGTACATATGTGATGACAATAATGCCCCCGTCTGAATCAGTAATAACCTTAGTTTTTAAATTTGTTGTAGGAAATGCTTTTTTAAAATTTTGACTCCTGGACTGTCAATGTGTACATTACTTTTTATTTAAATTTTAGCCTGCCAATGGACTGTTTGGTGGCCACTAAAGTACAGAGTCTATCCCCAAGGTAAGTGTTTTTAAAATACATTTCTCTGTGATGATACAGATGACGAGTCTGCTTTCAAAGTTCCCCTAAACTAGGTCAGTTTTTGGCTGATGTTATGGGTTTTCTTTGATTGTGTGATGACACTCGAGGCATTTGTCTGAGAGGCTTATGTTGGCATTGTTAATGTTATTTTATCACATCTGATCATTTTTTAAATTTGTTTTCAGCATTGATTGGACATGGACAAGTCTGTAAAAGATGATTCTGTGTATTCAGGTTGGTTATTTGCCTTACAGTTCAGCTTATTTCTCATTGATGATACAGATGACGAGTCTGTTTTCAAAGTACCTTTAAACCATGTCAGTTTTTGGCTGGTTTTTTGGGTTTTCTTTGATCATTTGATGACACTTGAGGCATTTGTCTGAGAGAAACATATACCAGTACCTGACAAGCACATTCTTTCATGTGTTGCTTTTACATTTTTAATATTTGTCTCTTTTCAGAATCCATCGCTGACAAAGATAGCTGTAATTGTAGACCACCAACTTGTATTTTGTATCTGTATGATGAAGTGGATTTCAATAAATTAAAAGCTATATAGAATTGGCAGTTTTTTTTACCTTGCTGTAGTTGTATTTTGTTTTAACGGCTTTTCACAACAAAGTTAAATTGGGCTGTTTGGAAAAGTCGTTAGACAAGTTACAAAAAAAAAATGAAACTGCATATTCTAAATTATATCTAGGTTTTAATTGAACTAATTTTGCCTAACTGATGGAAAGATCTTGCTGATGAATTTAAATTTACAAAATTAAAGTAATAAGCTAGACAAGTGATACTATTGGGGGGGGGTGAATATGAAAGTAAAACTAAAATGAAAGTTCAGAATAAAAACCACCGGTGCCCAACGTATGGCCCACTAGTTCAATGTTTGCTATCCGTCCAGGACAAATATCCTACTCTTCAAAGCATTCATTGAGGGAGATAGTCATTAATAATTTTTGGAATATTAACGTAGTTATATCCCCTTAATTGCTTTAGCTACCGCTCTCCTAGGATCGTGGCGCCTTCTTTTGGGGTTTAAATAAAATTTAAAACAAGTATAAACGACAACCACATTACTAAAACTATCCTACTAATTAAAAACTGTCGTGTTGTGTACATTAAGTATAAAGGGTTCCGACAAGTTTAACACAATTACAGTTTACAGCCATGTTTAATATCTAAAATTAAAATATGTAATTATACGAAATTTTAAGTTTCTAATAAATATTCTTAGGTACATGCAATAAGATAAAACATACTATGTAACCAATTTGTTGCCTATATATTTGTCCATATATAGGGAAATCACATGGGTAAGTTTACACAAAAAACAAAAATAACGTGTCAATTTCGGCACACTTGTATCACAACAGAATTACTTAATTCAACGAATATATTTTATAATAAATACACTTTTTTTTTCACTCAATTCGTAAAGGACGAAACTAAATTATAATTCAAATTTTGTCTGTATTTAACATATATTTAACATGTATATATATATATATATATAATCTGTTTGTAATCGAGGATATATTAGAAAAAAACCGATACTGCTTGTATTAAGTATTAGGTAGTCCAAACTGAAATTAACTATGGATTACAGACTTCTGGAGTATGGCATGAAAGAACTTTAATTGTAAGCTCTATGCCACAAATTTTATGAAAATATCTAAATAAATAAAAAGTTATGCGATTTTTAAAAAAGCAAAATTTGGTAACAACTGATTTTCAAAAAGTGCCATTTTTGAGAACCCATATTTTCTAAACTAAATAACATAGAAGTGTAGAAATTGGTAAAGTTACTGAAAAGTTTGCAATATATATGCCCAATTTTTTTCAGTCATCTAAAGTGAGTCTTTCTAAGGTAAAAGAATAATTGAAAATGACAAAAATGCGTTTTGGTCACTTTTACTTTCATACAAAAAAAAAAAAATCATTTTTTTTTCTTTGGACATAGAATAACTCTAAAACTAAAACTATTGTGTTGGTAATATTAACAGGAAGAATGTGTTCATTCATTATTTTCAAAAATCACATGAGTTCAAATATTTTAAAAAAATGCCTGTTATCTAGTGCAGGAGCAACAGAATCAAAATTTAATGGAGTAATGTAATGTAATCTAATAAAGACGTGATGTCTACAAGTGATGCAGCAGTTGATGCTACATTCAAAACTATCGGGTTGATAACTGCTTTGGTGGAACAGTTTTTAAAATGACAACTCCACATCTTTGTACGTCTTGTTTCCCTCAACCTTGATCTTGTGGAGCATCAAGAGTAAGCGATAAGTTTTGGGAACTGTAGGGGGAGGGGGGTTGGCCTTCTTCCCTTCCCTTGTAAGGAAAGTTCTTGATAGGCCACCATAAATGTCTCCAGCTATGGAATAAATAATTGATTTAGTGATGAATAAAATATAATTAAATTTACTATTAGCCTATTGTGTAGACCTACTATTTGTCCTATGACTATAACTGGAAACGTATGAAAAAGCCTGAAAATACCTTTTTGTTAAAAGTAATGTATACTTGATAGTATATTTTTAATAGTAATTCTACTGGATGAAATATTCGTTGCTTGTTCCACACTGGTTGAGATATCCAATGATGAAGATGCCATACTGTGGTTCTCAACATCCTATAGGACAACTTAACTGTCCTCCATTGTTACTATATGCATATAAAATAAATAAATAATGATAGGCCCTAAATACTACTAGTGCTACTTACAGTACTTACACTTACAACTAATATAACATTTAAAACAAATGTCACAACATGTAGAATCATTTAATAAATTGCACCACCATCTAAAAATTGATCTGGTACATTTTATTACGGAGACTGGCGCAGACCATTTCACATTATTCAGCAGGGGAATCAGAATCAGAGTGCTCAACAGAAAATAAAAAATTAATCACATTAGTCCTTAAAATTTAGTGTCTTTTGTTTTAACTCAATCGATAAAAATTAATAGGTATTATAATTATAAATTTCTTTTGTGTTTCATTAATATTTCATAAATATTTAACCATCGTTCCCTGTAAATAATTGAGTTCGTCCACATAGTAACCAGGATTGTCTGGTGGCCATTTTGAATTTGTCGATTCATAATTTTGACGTGATAGTCCAGATAAACTGTAGTAATACGACCCTATCAATACTATCATTGATCCCATTCGATAGATTTTAAAGAATTAGTTAAGTGCATCCATATTTCAAGTCCCTAGAATGTCCTGAATTAAATAGCTTCACGTCTAAACACACCCTGTGAACAAGCGTAGTTCACTCGCTAAAACTGTGGACTAGTAGCGTTCAAATTTACATTAATAAAGTGTACTAATTAAACCAAACTGACATTCAAACTTAAAATTCATTTATTAAAATGGAAATGAAGCTTTAAAAATGATACTTACAACTTGTTTGAAGGCTCTAGCAAGGGTAAAATCCGTTTAGCATCATCGGTCGTCAACCTTTAAAACCGTTCTGCGAGCTACTCACCCGGGGCTGAAAGTTGACTCGAGAGTTATATGTTTATTGAGGGCACGGCTTCGCGACCGTAAATCAGAAATACTTGAATTTACAACACAAAGTAGTTATAAAAGTGAGCTTTACATCGGTGTTAAAATTGAAACAGAATTAGTTTGTTTTCGTGTATATATTGTCATTTAAAGTTTAAAGCTGATTTTTAAAAATGAAATAAGCAAGTTATTTTTTCAATTTATACATCAAACGATAGACTAGAATTCGCTCTTTAAAAGGAGATTAAGATTATGCTTCTACGATGCTTCGTCGCGAAGCCGCAACCAAATGAAACAGTGTGGGGTCGATCGGTACTCGCAAAACGGTAAAATTTGTTGACGTAACTGATACTTTTCAAACAAATAAAAAACACATTCAAACATGTGTTACAGATATAAAAATACCAGATTACCACAGATAAAGACTTAAACTTTATTGACATATAATTTTTATTCTTATAGGACAACTAGAAGTAGTGAAATTTTTTTTTTGAAAACCGCAAAAACTGACCCTAAAACGAACTTTTTCGCCAGTTTGGACTACCTACTTGTATTCATGTGTTAAAAACAGTTCATTTTACGTACTTAAAATAATAATTTTCAATTATGAAAATTAAATAAAATTAAAAAAAAAGTGTATCAACGTTTATAAAATTTCTAACTGTATCTGAATTGTTTTTGCATTTAATCCTTTAGCTCTCATAAAGTCCCTTGATTAGGAAAACACAGCTACTTCCCTCTAAAAAAAACATGAAATCGGGGGAAAAGAATTTACCCTTATTACTTTGTTTTGGTGTTAGGAAAAAAAAATAATTACATAATTAGCGGGAATGAAGTGCAATGTCGTTGATATTTTAATACTGCCTTTTATTTATTACATACACTGAACGTACCGTTTTCTTCTTCTTATTTTTAATCAAAGACAGGTGAAGTAACAAAATACATCTTTATTCGGGAATGGTAATTCCCGCAGGTTATTATTTGTCTTTTTTTATGCGCATTCATTTTGTCTGTCCTTTTTTGTCTGTCGCACAAGAAAGCTCTTTTAATGTTTTATAGACACCTGCACCAAACTACAAGAAGATATACCATTGATATAATACTAGCCGTCCCAGATTGTGTTGTGTTCGTGTTGTGTTTGTGGTTGAGTTTGCGTTTAGATTTGGTTTGTTTTCGTTTGCTTTTTCGTTTTTTCTTTGTGTTTGTATTGGTGTTTGTGGTTGGGTTTGTTGTTAGGTTTTTGTTTTCTTTTGCTTTTTCGTTTGTTTTTTCTTTGTATTGGTGTTTGTGGTTGTGGTTGGGTTTTTTGTTAGGTTTTTGTTTTCGTTTGTATTTGTAATTGTGTTTGCGCTATGTTTGCGTTTTTTTTTTTTTTTTTTTGGTTGGTTGTGGTTAGGGTGGGCAATGCCGGGTATATGATGATTACTAAACACACAGGTAATGGTCCTTAACTCGGCGTGGTCGAGTCGGTAGAGCTCATGGTTGCTAAACCGAAAAGTCTCCAGTTCGAACCCTCGGGCAGATGAGGCTCGTTTGCTGGGTACAGCCTCTCTTCTAGGAGAACTGCTGCCTTGTAGTTTGTTCTTGGTTGGACAAAGGCTATGGAAGCAAATCCAAAAAGAACAGCAGGCTGAAATCGGAGTCAATGGCCTCAATGGCGCATAACCAGTTGACACGTAATCCTTAATTGTGATGGAGGCGTGGTTGAGTCAGCAAAAGCTCATGGTTGATAAATTCAAAAAAGTCTCGAGTTCAAACCCTCTGGCAGATAAGGCTCGATCCCTCCCAACACTAAAAATTAAGAACGAAGAAGAAGAAGGTTCTTAACAGAAAGGCTTTTCAGAGCAGGGCCTGGTCGGGACGGCTAGTATATATATATATATATATATATATATATATATATATATATATATATATATATATATATATATATATATATATATATATATATATATATATATATATATATATATATATATATAATCTCTCGACTCCTATAATCTCTCGACTCGCCGTTCCCCCAACCTGAAAACCTGTATACGCCTCTGAGGACGTCATTTAATTATTTGAGAATGACCGCCCCAAACCAAAGTGGAGATAGAAAAGCCACTGTATTGTTTGAAGTTGGACATTCGATGAGGGAATAAATTTCCTACTTTAACTGCAATTTAAAAAAAAAATGGTATTCTATTTTATTATAAGATATCCAACAGCAACCAGACTAGCCTTTTCCCGTTCAAATGTTTCGTTCTGGCTGTGTGCATACCGGAAACGGCCTTGTCATATTTACCTCACACTTTCTTTCAATCCACTTCCGTTAGACTTGGAGCTTCGCCTGTTGACAGGGATAAGGCGAGACTTACGGGCCACATTCTGGAGTAGGTCTAAAGGTTAGGTTAAAAATCTGGAGCGGTTCATAGTCAGTGGCGTCGCTAGGTCGGGTGTCACCCGGTGCGGCACTTCATGGTGTCACCCCTCTCCAAAGAATGAATAAAGTATATATATATATATATATATATATATATATATATATATATATATATATATATATATATATATATATATATATATATATATATATATTATAGTAATAACGATAAATAATTGCTAGATAAAGCGCATTTATATAACAGCACAGTCAGTATGTGCTAGAAATGGTCCCTAGACACAAATGAAACCCAATAATGTGTTAAAGTTATATAAATGGTCCTAAAATTAAACCGATTACTGTGTGTTTTAGTAATAGAAATGGCCCCTAAAATAAACCAATTACTGTGTTATAATTATAGAAATGTCCCCTAAAATAAACCAATAACTGTGTTATAGTTATAGAAATGGCCCCTAAAATAAACCAATAACTGTGTTATAGTTATAGAAATGGCCCCCAAAATAAACCAATAACTGTGTTATAGTTATAGAAATGGCCCCTAAAATAAACCAATAACTGTGTTATAGTTATAGAAATGGCCCCTAAAATAAACCAATAACTGTGTTTTAGTTATAGAAATGTCCCCTAGACACAAATGAAACCTTCGGACCAGTCAGGGTCAGTCTTTAGCGTCGTCAAGCGCTAATTGAATCTCTATAAGCGCCTTAAGACGAGTGTAAATACTTCAGGTGTACTAAATCCTGTCCAAACATCGCTCCTTGACGTCAAAGACCCCCCCCCCCCCTTCAACCAACGCCTAAACAACACGGACACATTTACCCCTCCAGGTTCAATCTACTTCCCCTAGACTTGACCGATAGCAACGGCGGCAGTTTCCTGAGCAGTGTACGTCTGCCAACAACAGACGACACGAAAAGTTTTATTTCTGTGTGCAGGACTTTGGTTCTTGTCCAAGGCGTCTTAGTCGCAGCTCTGGAAATACTGCACTGCCTGATGGGATATGATGGGATATGATGGGATATAATGGGATATAATGGGATATGATATAATATGTTTGTGTGACGTCCAGATATACACCAAGTAAAGGATTCGTTTTTTTATGGTGTACAGTTGTGTTGGATTAAAATCGAAGCATTTTGAGAATTATCGAAATATAGCATTAAAAAAAAATACCGTTGTATATTGTGTTTACGGCCTAGAAGATATATACAAAGCAAATAATTTTTTAACTAAATGATTCGGCGTTGTTTAAATGACATGTTATATTCTTCTTTAGACTGTGTTTTCGTGTAAATACAATTACTTTAGTCATCTAATGGAAACAACTTTGTTAAAGAGCCTTTATTTATTTATCGGGGCTATAAATAGTTGAGCCGCGTCCACGGAAGAAATCATCGGACCTTCTAGAACAATGGTCGTTTGGCAGGTGGTCAGTTTAATGTTGGTGCTGAGGGCAGGATATGGTCTGTCGGATGGTACACTGGAACCACTCAACGGCTCACTGCCTAGTCACAGAATGGACGCTGACGAAAGTTGGAATTTGACAGAATCCCGTTTTGTGCTTGATGACGGCTCCATGCGTGTTGGTCCTCATCCAACCGACGATGCCAGATCTCCGGATCCTCCACTCCCAGACGACACAATGTCGACTGACCACCACCTGACCGAAGGTGCAGGTCTTCCAGAAATGGCATCACACGATGGCGCCACGACTGTTGACATTCCTGATATTTCTCCAGACTCACCACTTCAGGTTGACTCAATACCCACTGACCAACAACGGACAGGAAGTACCATCTCTCCAGACACGGAGCCTCTGGAATTTCCGGATGAATCCATGTCGCCCGTTCTTGACCTCACAGACTCTTTGAAAGCTCTTCCCGAATCAGGTAAGGAAAAACCATTTTGTAACTACCGTGTTTCCTGGCGTTAAGGGATCTCGAGGTATTCTAGCAATCTTCTTCCGGTTAATATACATAGCATGTTTGTAGTGTGCAGTAGGTCTTTAGGACTATCAAGGAAGGTCTTTAGGACTATCACGTTAGGTCTCTAGGACTATCAAGTTAGGTCTCTAAGACTCAAGGTAGGTCACTAAGGCTATCAAGTTAGGTCTCAAGATCTATCAGGGTAGGTCTCTAAGACTATCGGGATATGTCTTGTGACCTAATTCAAATTAGGAACATTCTGTTACCCCCATTTATGAACCTTGATAATTTATTAAGCTTATGTGTGTATGTGATTTGTGGATTTGACACGGTTCACTAATTCTGGTACCATTTAATTTATTGGTTTGGCACGTTCACGACGTTTAGTTTCATATGTTTGTGTAACAGTTTTTTGTTGTTGACATTTTGGTGCGATATTGGAGTTTAAGATATTTCTCAGAGTTGTACTTGTCAAAAAATCTCATAAAGCCCACTCATACCTTTAAGTAGCTTAAATGTGTACCTGTGTATATGAGTACCAGTTTATACTTGTGGATACTTAAGTAACTGTAAGTACTTCTAGATACTTGTGTACCTGTGGATACTTGTGGATAAATGAGTACCTGTGTATACTTGTGGATGCATTAGTAATACAACCCATCTATAAACGCCTGACCATATTTATTATATTGCAAGAAGAAAAAATATGACTTAAAGTAAAGCATTGAAAGTATAGACAATAGTCGAGTGTCTGATCAGTAAGCTGTTTGGGTTCTCATAGTGCAAGGATCTGTGCACGTTAAAATGTTGTATACAATTCTTAGTAAGTATTAGTAAAGATCAACTGCTTGCACATTCATCTTACGATTTACACTTTTTTGCAAGACCTTAGACTTAGACGAAAAAACACTTGATAAATTCATAACATGATAATTCTCAATGACCTAACTTAGGTTTTTGAAAACTATTTCTTCTGACGAAAGGGGTCGTCCATAAATGACGTCACACTCGTATGGGGGAAGGCGGGGGATGGGGGGGGGGGGTGTGTGTGTAATTTTGTGATGAGGGGGAAGAGGGGGGGGGTTCAGATGGTGTGACGTCACTTATTTGCATTATAAAAAGCAATGTTAGAAAACGAGTTTTAAGCTGATATTTCGCGTTTTAGAAAACGGTTTTAATAAATTGTAATAGGAATTGATTAAAATACTCTATGTTGACAGAGTTCTGACAAGATTTTGGAAAAGTATCGATGTTTTAAGAAAAATTCAACTGCAATGTTGAGGGGTGGGGGGTGGGGGTTGTAAGCTGAGGTGTGACGTCATTTTAGGGGAGGGGGGGGGGAGAGGTAAAGATCGTCAAAAAAAGCGTGACGTCATTTATGGATGACCCCAAAGACGTATCATAATCTAAAAATAAAACTGCCAATTTGTTATGAGCACATGACCAACTGACCAGCGCATCCACACACAGTGTCCACTTTGGCGTCTGGGGCAAAGAAAAGGAAGTGACGTAGTCGTGACGTTTTGTTCCGGCTAGCCAGCGCGCGGAGGGGTCTGGTTAATGGTAGGGGCAGGCCGTGCTGTCTGGTGTCTCGACATCTGAATTGTGAGGGGGTCGGGGTGGGGGGTGGGGGAGGGAGGATTTCAGTGACAGACAGGATCCTACCCTATGATGGTGAATACTACAGCAGACACAGACAATGGGGAGGTGATACATGGTCAACTAGACCTAGTACTAGATGAAGGTTAACTACCTTGTACATCTGTAACTCATTTATATTTTATGAGTCAAAGATCAAGCTTAATTATATCTTGTATTTCTCTGTAACTAGTTTATATTTAATAAGTAAAAGATCAAGCTTAATTATATATTGTATTTCTCTGCAACTAGTTTATATTTAACAAAAAGGTTATAATTACTATTTTATCAGTGGCGTCCCTAGGCCTATTGACACCCTGTGCCACCCCTCGCCTACATTACTATTTTAACTTGATGTCACCCCCAGATGGTGTCACCCTGTCAGCTAAAGTAGTATCATGAGTTATAGTTATAGCTAGAGTAACATCATGAGTTATAGCTAGAGTAACATCATGAGTTATAGTTATAGCTAGAATAGTATCATGAGTTATAGCTAGAGTAGTATCATGAGTTATAGTTATAGCTAGAGTAGTATCATGAGTTATAGCTAGAGTAGTTTCATGAGTTATAGTTATAGCTAGAGTAGTATCATGATTTATAGCTAGAGTAGTATCATGAGTTATAGCTAGAGTAGTTTCATGAGTTATAGTTATAGCTAGAGTAGTATCATGATTTATAGCTAGAGTAGTTTCATGAGTTATAGTTATAACTAGAGTAGTATCATGAGTTATAGCTAGAGTAGTTTCATGAGTTATAGTCATAGCTAGAGTAGTATCATGATTTATAGCTAGAGTAACATCATGAGTTATAGTTATAGCTAGAATAGTATCATGAGTTATAGCTAGAGTAGTATCATGAGTTATAGTTATAGCTAGAGTAGTTTCATGAGTTATAGCTAGAGTAACATCATGAGTTATAGTTATAGCTAGAGTAGTATCATGATTTATAGCTAGAGTAGTATCATGAGTTATAGCTAGAGTAGTTTCATGAGTTATAGTTATAGCTAGAGTAGTATCATGATTTATAGCTAGAGTAGTTTCATGAGTTATAGTTATAACTAGAGTAGTATCATGAGTTATAGCTAGAGTAGTTTCATGAGTTATAGTTATAGCTAGAGCAGTATCATGATTTATAGCTAGAGTAACATCATGAGTTATAGTTATAGCTAGAATAGTATCATGAGTTATAGCTAGAGTAGTATCATGAGTTATAGTTATAGCTAGAGTAGTTTCATGAGTTATAGCTAGAGTAACATCATGAGTTATAGTTATAGCTAGAGTAGTATCATGAGTTATAGCTAGAGTAGTATTATGAGTTATAGTTATAGCTAGAGTAGTATCATGAGTTATAGTTATAGCTAGAGTAGTTTCATGAGTTATAGTTATAGCTAGAGTAGTATCATGAGTTATAGCTAGAGTAACATCATGAGTTATAGTTATAGCTAGAGTAGTTTCATGAGTTATAGCTAGAGTAGTATCATGAGTTATAGCTAGAGTAGTATCATGTGTTATAGCTACAGTAGGATCATGAGTTATAGCTAGAGTAGAAATCAGACCGCTGGTTGGGGTTACTTTAGGGTTGGGTTACCGTCACAAGTGCTACTTCCGGTTTGAATTAGTCAGTATGGTAATTAGAAAAGTAGTCTAGTAAATATTTACATGTATTTATTGGTCTGTGTTATTAGCCAATTAGTAACATAATGCTTGTGAAAATAAAATAAAAATATTTCTGTGATTTCAGACAGGCTTGACACAGTAGTTGCCATGGATACGAATAGTTCACTGAAGGACGCTGAAAGCAAAGAACTCCAGCCGGGTGCTGACACAAACTCTACACACGGGTCTCAGGTAGTGCCGGCCGGTGCTGCGGACATGATGGAATCACGTGATGCCAGAGAGGGTGGTCATCTGCAGGAACAACTGGACCCCAACCCACATCCGTCGCCCGAGGAAAGTGTAGGGGTTGCACAAGTTTTACCAGATACAGATACTACAGGAAACCAGGACGAGGGTAAAGATGTAGATCTAGTACTGGAGGATACCAATTCAGAACCGGGACTAAAAGATACCGGAAGTGACGTCAAGAAGCAGACGACGACGCACGCGGAAACCATCCACGCCTTTATTGATTGGTGGTTTTCAGCGGACAACGAAAATAACGACAGAGTGGCGGATGACGTCACCGCCGACAACTCGATCAACGCCTTTATAGATTGGTGGGTTTCTGTGGAAGGTCGGAAAAACCACCGACCATACGATAGCAAGACGGTAGACGTAGAAACGACGACCGCAAGGACTCCACCGGAGCGAGTCACCGAAGATCAGCTGCTAGTTTCGATCACTGAAAGGAAATTCCCACAAAAACAAACGGGAATTCCCACAAATGTGATGGCGGATCAAATCGAATTTAAACCCGAAGAAAACAGAATGACACAAAAACTGTGGACAACAGACGGAGCTGAAAAACTTGGTTTCAGACTCGTTGCCGGGCAGCATTTGCCAGATATTCGCTTGCACAATCCTGATGACGTCAAGCGAGGCCCAGCCGCACAGTTTCCCAGCATGGAAGATCAGCTGAGACGGTTACAAGTTCTGTCTCGTTTTGGAGTACTCCCCATGACGTCAGACCTCAAACCCAACATTGGTAAAGCTAAGGAAGAGTTTCGGATTCCACTGCATAGAGTTATGTCCCCTGATTCTATTTTATCAGACGAAAAAAAATCTTCTACCACTAATGGATTGGAACCCACATCATATCACGATAATGAAAAAAACGCTATGGATCTGGCTAGAGATCAGGAAAACGCTGCCCCAGATATAACGCCAGGGCTGGAATCTTCTTTATCATCGCTCACTGAGGGTCACGGAGGTTTTGTGTTTCAACCACAATTGGTCTCACTACAAGACAATTTCCAGTCCCCTAGCAAGGCACAACACACAAATGATGGAAACCATATTACGCGAAACAACGATCCGTCGAAAATGTTGTCGGATCTATTTTCGTCCCAACCGGAAGATCGTCTTGCGATTTTGAACAAGCTCAAAGAGCAGTGGACACTAGGCCATGAACAGACAGAAATCAAAGATGATGTTTTAAGATGGCCAAGACAGTTTCACCCAAAACATTCCAATCCAAACACAGAAGCTGATTGGCTGATCACACACGACCCTGACCTTGAAGGACGTTCACTGTCCTTGAAAGATATTAAAGAAACAAAGGCACAGCTGAGCAGTGAGTATTTTTTCACTGACCCATCCGCCGGCAAGTCACGTGATCTGAACTACCTAGTGTCACATGACCCCCTCGTTGCATTCCTACCCCTCGACGGGAGTCACGTGGTCAACATGGCAGTCCCCGTAGCTCGTCCCCAGATAGCTGACTCCGTGTATCCCGCCCAGCAGGGGGATTTTTCGAGCCGTCAAAACGTCAAGTTTTACCTGGAGAATATTCCAGAACTCGCACGCTGGGGCAGGCAGGACACGCCCCATGACATGACGGACTACTCCAACCCTGTGAGATGGTTGCACCACCAGCCTGACAACCACGAGATCCCCGCGCTAAACTCTGATGTTCGTAAACAACCGCGAGAATTCTCGCCATTTTTAAACTTCTTTTTCAACACCTCGCGGGTTGAATTGCTAGACAATTTTCCTGAATTCCAGAAACTTCGTTTTCTGGAAGATTCCAGACACCCTTACACGCCTATAAAAGTACGAACTCCATTCAAAGCTGACTGGAATAATGACGACAACCCACTTCCGGTTTCTGACAAAATGTTCGATTTTGACCTCAGCATCAGGTACGAAGGGGATGAAGACACCCCTAGACGTGGTTCCGGAAATTTATTTGATCACCTGACCAGCTTCTGGTCGAAGGAAGGTCCCCCCAGGCAAAATTTCGACCCTTTCATGCAGATTTCTCATGACGTCAACGACGTAGATACCTACTTCATCCGACAGAAACAGACAGAGGCCAAATACCACTACGACATGGTGCCAGATTTCTTGCTGCTCAGCAAGCCAAAATTTAATTTCTACGATTCCAGAACTCATCCGCCCCGAGACTTTGACTCGCCGTATTCTTTATTCCCCTATAAAAAATTCAAACCCAAACTTAAAAAAAGCGAACCGACCAAGCTGATTCCCCAGCCGAAGTTCGACCACCTATTCCCGAAATTTTCTTTCTCCAATTTCGAGCCTAACCACGTGACCCTCCATAAAGACGAGCCCGTGCAGTTAACTAAATTATCCCACCGGTCGCCATCTTGGACGGATAAGAAAAAAAACCCGATCAAGGAACGTCCGGTCACTGAAGAGCTCTACAAGGCCAAAGTTCACGACACAGAAAGGGCCGCAACTCACGAACTGAGCGGCGATTTACAAAGTTTAAACCGCGGTGTTTTTTCATCATGGGCAGGGCAGACATCAAAGGGACGTCACCACAGTCCACGTCACGCCAAGAACGATAATCAAAACTCTCCAGCCAGCAGCCAGATGCCGGATCCTAGCGTCCTACAAAAAAGGGACACTACGGGCTTGAGCTCGCCATTATCTCTCAAACAATCCAAACGCCAGCTGAAAAAACAACGCCTTCAGCAGTGGCTGAGCGAGCGGGAATTCCCCATCTCCCTAACACAGTATCTACGAGACAGAGACCCGTCTAACGGGGATCTCCGATCGTTAAACGAAAGGTTCCGCAACAAGAAAATATTTTTAATCCGCCAGATGACCAACGAGGAAAACTCCAACCTGAAGAAGCAGTTTCCGGGGCAGGACGAGGGGAAGAAACTCCTGCCCCAGGTGCTGCCCTGGGGCATCAGCGTCCAGCCCCTCCAGCGTGACCTTTTCCAGTTCGACGACGACAGCTCACCGGAAGTGGCCTCGTACCTGGATACACTTCCGGTTCCTCAGTTTGACGTCACCGCTTCCGAAACCGCACTGCTGAAGAAATTGAAAGACGGAATGAAGGACGTCGATGACGATGATGAGGATGACATTGAAACCACCAAAAGTGTAACGGCCGAAACTGTCACCGGATTTAACAACACGACGTCTAAAAACCTAACAACTTCAGAAGATTATTCTAAAAACTTATCCATTTCTGAAAATTTTACAAGAAACGTATCCACTGCAGAAGATTATACCAGAAACATATCTATTTCAGAAGATTATACAAAAAACTTAACCAGCGAAACCGAGTCTCCAAACGCTACACTAGATGTGAACCTTGAGGACACGGACCAATCAAATACGCTCATACTAAAACCGTCAGATAACACCAGCCAACAGGAATTACCGCTATGGCTCGGTACTGATTGGGTCCCTATCACGGGACTCGAGTCTCCAAATGTATCTGAACAGATACCAGAAGTTAACTATCTGGAACCACAAGTCACATCGGAGAGTACGCTGGATGGATCCCAGACAAACACAAGCTCTAATAAAGACAAAGACATTCTTGTTGATGAAGCTTCTGTTTTTAATTATTCCAGCATAGACACGGAGGTTTATAGTTTTAACTCAACCAGTCGGCGATTGGATGACTTCGGAACCAATCAGACAGTGGGAGACATCACTTCCTTGATTGGACAAGTCGGTCGTGAGGCGACCAATGAGCGGTCTGATAACACAGCAGACAATGAAACGCCTGTGGACAGTGTGACGTCCGAAAGTGGGTCTTCTGTGGACGTTATGACGTCAACCAATAATACGTCTATAGACAGTCTGACGTCAGAAAATGGTACTTCTGTTTACAGTATGACGTCAGAAAATGGTACTTCTGTTTACAGTATGACGTCAGAAAATGATGGTACTTCTGTGGACGTAATGACGTCAACCAATGGCACGTCTATGGACAGTCTGACGTCAGAAAATAGTACTTCCGTGGACGATAAGACGTCATCTGTATACGCCAGTACTTCAACTATTTGGGAATCAGACATCGTAGCAAGCAGTGAAACACCAACAGAAGACATCGCTCAGACTAATGACCCTGGTCGTATCTTAGAAATCAGGGAACAGAGTGACGTCATAACAAATAATGAAACATCGTTGGATGTCACCATCACTTTAACGGATGGGGGAACCCGTAACATGACAACAGATGAACAGGTTGATAAGACAGGGATGAGCGATACATCAGTGGAGGACATCACATCTAGCTTTGTCCACACCCGTGATGTATCAACCCTACGGCAAGTTGATAACACAACATCAGAACCTGGGGAGGTTGATACAGTAAAAGATGGGGTAACTGAGATAAAAGAAAAGGAAAAGTTAAAAAACACAACATTAGAAGTTAAGAAAACGGATACATTTTTAACCTTTGAAGATGAGGACAACATGACAACCAATGCTACAACCCCGGCTCTAACCAGTGAGGCACAACCATCGCAAGACAACCCGACCACATCCAACCAAGCAGCTAATCTCGACTCACCATCTGACGCACGTCAGCGCGACAAACGGAACATTAAAAACATCCAAGTAACGTCACTCAAACAATTTTTCTCTACTCATCACGTCATCTCGCCCAAATCACGCGCCAAACGAGAACAGAAAAAAGACACCGATAAAATGAAATTCAAACAATTTTCAAGATGGCGACGATCGCCCGAGGAGATAAACCTCCAGAATGTTCCTTCTTGGATCGCCAAAGACACGTCAAACTCCGTCAAGAGGCAGCCAAAATTTGTCGAACCAGCGACCAGCACCACCACAACAACACAGAAGCCAAAGACCCAAGCGCCCAGCACGACTCCCAGCACTAGAACCGAGGCCAAACCACAGAGTTTTGATTCCAGCTCTCTGTACCCCAACTCCCAGCTGCCGCATGTCATACCTCCCCCCTCTAAAGTATCGGGGCTGAAGCAGCAGTATATTTCTAAGAGCAGGAACTCTACTTCCCCTACAGATAAGCTGATTCACAAATCAAATGTGTCCGAACATTCCCTCCCGAGTAACCAAAAGACAAACGTGCAGCAATACGACAGACAGCAGGACCAGAGCAGACGACTAACTACTCTACAGCCAAACGTCAAACCAACAAAAGGTCAAGGTTACAAGCCTCCTCGAGCCTCCACGGCACGACCGAAGACGGGCCTGCCTGGCAGCTCAAAGACACCTGGCCAGTCTGGCAGCTTAAAAACACCTGGCCAGTCTGGCAGCTCAAAAACACCTGGCCAGGTGGAGGACTCTAACCGCAGACCTGGTCGCAGCAACACTGGCCAGTACAGGGGAGATTCACAGGGAACGTACAATAGACGCGACGTCGTCACCGGGAGTGGCCAGGGCCACGCAGATGGCTACTCACAAACCTACCCATCCGGCGCTGTTGGCAGTAACCCCACGTCATCTTTCAGCGACAGCCAATCGCGTGAAGCCAGCAACTCGTACGCTCAATCAAGCAGCCAATCAGAAAACAGCCCTTCTCAACAATCGCAAAATTATCAAGTTGATTATTCTTCTAGCAACTCATACGGGCAATCAAACAGCCAACCATACACCAACCAAAATCAACAACAACAAAATTATCAAGTTGATTATTCTTCTAGCAACTCTTACGGGCAATCAAACAGCCAACCATACACCAACCAAAATCAACAACAAAATTACCAACAGGTTGATTATTCTTCTAGCAATTCCTACGGACAATCAAACGGCCAACCATACACCAGCCAACCACAGCAAGACAACTATCAAGGAAATTATCCTACATATCAACCAGACACGACAACCAGCGCCCCCTTCGTCCCTTCACCCAACAACCCCAGTGACGTCATCCAAAATGCCGGTGTCGGCAACACCAACGCCCAGTTCATGGAGCTCAGCAACAAAGACGGGTCAAAGTTCACCCAGTCGCCAGTCTATACCTACAATTCTATGCAGAACCCAGGACCACCCAACGCAATGCTGAGCCCTTTCACAGATTCCCTGAACTCCAGACTAAATTTAGATTTAAAAGTCCCCAGTCCCATTCCTTACGGCGACCCAAACTTGGCTTACGAGCCGATGAATTTCCCGCCATTTTGGCTGCCGTACTATATCTACTACCCACCCTACATCGAGCTGGTACCCATACAACCAGACTATGTTGGGGACCCCGGGGTGGTGGACCCTCCCCCACAGCGGCTGTCGACCCAGCCCAACCAAATCTTAAAACCCCAAACTCAAGTCGTCTCAAACCAGAAAGGTTACAGCGGTCAAGGAAAGGTCATGACCCCCAGTTACCCGAACCCCCAGTCTAAGACAAACTATGGTAACGGTTACACAGTACAGAACGATAGGTCAAGGTTTGTTGACGGTTCCCAAGGCGACTCTAACTACCCGGATGTAGTAAACAACGGACGCGGTGACCAAGGAATCGCATTAGATCAACAAAAGCCACAAGAGAATATCAGAAGCTTTCAAAAAGCGAATCGCTTCACGAATAAGGGAAGCTACCCCGTGTATCAAGATAATAACCCCGGTTACCAAGACAACACGGGTAACTACCCCGATTACCAAGAAAAGGAAAGCGACCTAGGTTTCCAAGACAACAAGGGAAACTACCCCGATTATCAAGACAATAGCCAATGGGTAAAGGGACAGCACAACTTCGGCTACACAGACGGGAGCCCGAACGTTGGAAACCGATACGGGGATGATTTCTACGACAGTCTTCCCAGCGACGGCTTCATGACGTCACAGAATCAACAGTTCAAGAACGCGCCCAGGCAAGCAGGTGTAGGGTTCACATCAAATCGGCCACCAGACGACGACGACATGGATGAAGAAGCCGTTCTTCAGTTTATCCTCGCCAAAAAGAAGTTCAACACGAAAACCCCAGGGGTGGTGTCCGACGATGGGGGTGGGGGTAGCTACGAGGGCGGGGGTGGCGGCGGCAGCTACGAGGAAGTGGAATACAAGGCGCCGTCTATCGGCGGGCGAGACAAAAGCGCGGGAAGAATGAGCAGACACGACAAGATGTTGCTGGAAGCTGTGGAACAGTTTATCTACGCCAACCCCAAATATGGTTGGACGAGAAAAAATACCGCAAACAACTTGTTTAATATTTAAAGTTTATTTTTTTAAAAAGTTGTTTCTTTTTGTACTAATGTTTTTTACTAAATTTCAAGGATAAAAATATTTTTCATAAGATGTATTTAATACCAATCTAAATTACATTTACAATAATAAATCAAAATATATATCTCATCTGGTTAGACGAGTTCTTTTAATGTTGGTTCATTTGTAAAGTCACTGTATGTTGGTCTATGTCTGATTGTCACTTTAACTTTGTGTTGTTTTATGTGTAAAGTTAGTTTATGTTGTTCTGTCACATTATGTTGGTCAATGTCTGACTGTCATTTTATGTTGGTCTGTGTGTACAGTCTATGTATAAAGCGATTTTTTTTGTAGAATTATAATACTTCCTCAATATTCTGCTTGCGAGAAAATAACAAAGCGTAATAGATATTTAATAATTTATTTGGATAATAAATTAGTTCAAAAATTGTAAAAAAAAAACCAAAGAATAATTTAAAAATGTGTAATACTGGATACTCAATTTATTTTGTAAACTAATCCAAATCACAGATCTTAATTAAGGAGTTAATTAGCAGCAAATACGAATGTTTTCTCCCCTAGATGGGTTGCTGGCCGCAGCTAACAAACCTCATCCTATAACACCAAAAAGTTGACTGATTACATAGATTTATTACGTATCCAGTGCATATGACCATCAAACCTATGTATCATAAGCCAAGTCATCATCACAATGAATCACCACATATAGTCATGACATATAGTCACGACATCTAGTCACGACATATAGTCACAACATATAGTCACCACATATAGTCACCACATATTGTCACCACATATAGTCACCACATATAGTCACCACATGTAGTCACCACATATTGTCACCACATATAGTCACCACATATAGTCACCACATATAGTCACCACATATAGTCACCACATATAGTCACCACATATAGTCACAACATATAGTCACCACATATTGTCACCACATATTGTCACCACATATTGTCACCACATATTGTCACCACATATAGTCACATAATATAGTTGTCACCACATATAGTCATGACATATAGTCACAACATATAGTCACCACATATAGTCACCACATATTGTCACCACATGTAGTCACAACATATAGTCACCACATATAGTCACCACATATAGTCACCAAATATAGTCACCACATATAGTCACCACATATAGTCACCACATATTGTCACCACATATAGTCACAACATATTGTCACCACATATAGTCACCACATATAGTCACCACATATAGTCACCACATATAGTCACCACATATAGTCACCACATATAGTCACCACATATAGTCACCAAATATAGTCACCACATATAGTCACCAAATATAGTCACCACATATAGTCACCACATATAGTCACCACATATAGTCACCACATATAGTCACCACATATAGTCATCACATATAGTCACCACATATAGTCACCACATATAGTCACCACATATAGTCACCACATATAGTCACCACATATTGTCACCACATATAGTCACCATAGCTAGCTACACCTGCATGACACCACAATCACATGTCCTACGTGATCACCACAACATAGATCTTCTAAAAAAAGTAGCATTCTATCACATTATCTTCTTCCCCACTCAAAACACCAGCTTCGACAGCTGCACCATTAGCAACAGCTTCATCTGGATTAATCCCTCTGCTTGGTTCCTATAAAAAATAATAAATTTTTTTAATAACCAAAAAATTAATACAAGATGAACAACATAAAAACTACTTAAACTGCTTAGAAGAAGATGAGTACCTTGCCATTAAAAAACTCCATAACTAGCTGTTGGACTTTAGGAATACGGGTTGAGCCACCAACCAACACAATTTCATCAATATCATCTGTCTTGAGATCTGCATCTTCCAACACTTGTTTTAATGGTTTCAATGTAGACTGGAATAAGTCCTTAAAATAAACATTTAAAAATGAGGATCTCATTTTTTTTGAAGGAGTAAGTCCTTCAAATATTTATTTCAAAATTAGGATCTACATTTTTTTGACGGAAAAGTCCTATTAAAGTATATTTGAATATGAGGACCTAAATTTTTTGATGGAAGAAGTCCTTAAAATATATATTTGAAAATGAGGACATCTTAAGTCGTTAAAATATATATTTGAAACTAAGGACCTAAATTTTTTTGGTAAATTAATGCTAAATTTTAGTGACAGTGACAAGCAATACTACTGACCATGTTCAGTTCTTCAAATTTAGCACGAGTGAGAGTCTCAGAGAAGTCTTCACCATTAAAGAAAGATTCAATCTCCAAACGAACACTGTGAGTAGAAGATAGAGCACGTTTGGCCTTTTCAACTTCACGAAGGAGTTTCTGAACTGCACTATTGTCCTTCTTAATGTCCACACCCTTCTTTTTCTTGTAAAGTTTAATAAAATGCTCCAATACTCGGTAGTCAAAATCTTCTCCACCTGTAAAAAAAAAAACAAGAATACATTGAAATATAATTTAAGTTTCAGTTCTTCAGTATCCTCTAATAATTTTAATTAAGCATAAAAAATAAACACTATTAGACCCAGATAATAAAATAAATATCCACAAAACTGACCTAGATGAGTGTTCCCATTGGTGGATACTACTTCAAAAACACCATAATCAACTGTGAGTAGAGAAACATCAAAGGTTCCACCACCAAGATGGAAAACCAGAATATTCTTTTCACCATCCTTCGTATCAAGACCATAAGCAATAGCAGCAGCAGTTCTGTCATTGAAAATATGATTATCAATAATTTTAAAAGTTCCAAGAATATAGCTAATGAAAAATTCATAGATACAATGGTCTATCTCATAGTCAAATGGAACAATTGACTTACGGCTCATTAATGATTCTCATCACATTGAGACCTGCAATAGTTCCAGCATCCTTAGTGGCCTGTCTCTGAGCATCATTGAAATAGGCTGGCACTGTCACAACTGCATTAGTGATTTTTTCCCCTAAATACTCTTCAGCAATGTCCCTCAATTTTCCTAAAACCATAGCTGAAATTTCTTCTGGTGCAAATGTTTTTTCTCCTTCAGAAGTATTCACAACAATGTATGGTTTGCTGTTTTTGTTAACAAACTAAAAAGAAAAAAAAAAATCACTAAATACTGGAACATAGCAAACAAAACAATATTCTCAAACAATCTCCTTTCCAATTAAACAAGATGTTTATAATAAAAGTACAAAACTTGACTATTAAACAAAATCTTATAATATAGGAAAAAAAACAACAACAATTAAACAAGATCTTATAATAAAAGCACCAAAACTGACTATTTAGCAAGATCTTATAATAAAAGTACAAATACTGACTATTAAACAAAATCTTATAATATAAGAAAAAAAACAACAACAATTAAACAAGATATTATAATAAAAGCACCAAAACTGACTATTTAGCAAGATCTTATAATAAAAGTACAAATACTGACTATTAAACAAAATCTTATAATATAAGAAAAAAAACAACAACAATTAAACAAGATCTTATAATAAAAGCACCAAAACTGACTATTTAGCAAGATCTTATAATAAAAGAACAAATACTGACTATTAAACAAAATCTTATAATATAAGAAAAAAAACAACAACAATTAAACAAGATCTTATAATAAAAGCACCAAAACTGACTATTTAACAAGATCTTATAATAAAAGAACAAATACTGACTATTAAACAAAATCTTATAATATATGTAAAAAAACAACAACAATTAAACAAGATCTTATAATAAAAGCACCAAAACTGACTATTTAGCAAGATCTTATAATAAAAGAACAAATACTGACTATTAAACAAAATCTTATAATATAAGAAAAAAAACAACAACAATTAAACAAGATCTTATAATAAAAGCACCAAAACTGACTATTTAACAAGATCTTATAATAAAAGAACAAATACTGACTATTAAACAAGATCTTATAATATATGTAAAAAAACAATTAAACAAGATCTTATAATAAAAGAACAAAGACTGACTATTAAACAATATCTTATAATATAAGAAAAAAATTAAACAAGATCTTTTAATAAAAGAACAAATACTGACTATTAAACAAGATCTTATAATATAAGAAAAAAAAACAATTAAACATGATCTTATAATAAAAGAACAACTGATAATTAAACAAGATCTTATAATAAAAGAACAACTGATAATTAAACAAGATCTTATAATAAAAGAACAACTGATAATTAAACAAAATCTTATAATAAAAGAACAACTGACAATTAAACAAGATCTTATAATAAAAATCAAAAGCTGACTTAAGTGCCTCACCTTAAATGGATAATATTTTATGTCATGTTGTACAGATTTGTCTTCCCAGGAACGTCCAATAAAACGTTTCACATCAAATACTGTATTCTCTGGGTTAGATGTAAGCTGGTTTTTTGCAGCATCACCAATCAAACGTTCACCATCAGAGGTGAAGGCTACATAGGAGGGTGTGATACGATTACCCTGATCATTGGCAATAATATCAATACGACCATGTTTAAACACACCAACGCTGAAACAGAATAGACAATTTGTCAATTATGGTACCTATATTGTTTTAAATTTCAATAAGACAATTTCAGAACTAAATAGTTTGTATCAAAATATGGACTTAAAAATATATACATCTAATCAATAAGAAAAAAGCTTAAGTATAATTACCAGGAATATGTTGTTCCTAAATCAATACCAATAACTGTGTAGTTAAAAGTATAATTACCAGGAATATGTTGTTCCTAAATCAATACCAATAACTGTGTAGTTAAAAGTATAATTACCAGGAATATGTTGTTCCTAAATCAATACCAATAACTGTGTAGTTAAAAGTGAATTACCAGGAATATGTTGTTCCTAAATCAATACCAATAACTGTATAGTTAAAAGTGAATTACCAGGAATATGTTGTTCCTAAATCAATACCAATAACTGTGTAGTTAAAAGTGAATTACCAGGAATATGTTGTTCCTAAATCAATACCAATAACTGTGTAGTTAAAAGTGAATTACCAGGAATATGTTGTTCCTAAATCAATACCAATAACTGTGTAGTTAAAAGTGAATTACCAGGAATATGTTGTTCCTAAATCAATACCAATAACTGTGTAGTTAAAAGTGAATTACCAGGAATATGTTGTTCCTAAATCAATACCAATAACTGTGTAGTTAAAAGTGAATTACCAGGAATATGTTGTTCCTAAATCAATACCAATAACTGTGTAGTTAAAAGTGAATTACCAGGAATATGTTGTTCCTAAATCAGTACCAATAACTGTGTAGTTAAAAGTGAATTACCAGGAATATGTTGTTCCTAAATCAATACCAATAACTGAGTAGTTAAAAGTGAATTACCAGGAATATGTTGTTCCTAAATCAATACCAATAACTGTGTAGTTAAAAGTGAATTACCAGGAATATGTTGTTCCTAAATCAATACCAATAACTGTGTAGTTAAAAGTGAATTACCAGGAATATATTGTTCCTAAATCAATACCAATAACTGTGTAGTTAAAAGTGAATTACCAGGAATATGTTGTTCCTAAATCAATACCAATAACTGTTCCAACATCAGAATTCTTTTTGTCAGATTCTTCTGATTCCTCCTTTGATTGAACAACAAAAGTGCTGATCATCAGCACCGCAAACAAGCAGAGAGTAAAATGCTTTTCCATTGTCACCACTTCAATCCACAGAGTTTTAAAATAACTAACTGGGCTGAAAAAAAAGAAGAATATTTAGGCCCTGGGTTAGTTAGTGTATTTAACATTAACTAAGTATTATCAAGGAGGAAAGGGAAAGTGATAAAGCAGAATGTGATAATACTACAATAATAAAACTCTTCTTTTTTTTTAAAAAAGGGGGGGCGGGGAGGGGGGCGGGGAAGAAATGCTGATTAACTCAAAACCAGTTGTCATTCTTAACAGAACTACAGAAAGGATTCATAGTGTAGATCTGTTTGTCCATATATACACTTGACAGGCCTATGGCTTATAGAATTGTATAATCAATGTCTACCACACTTAACTACTAGACAAATATGGAAATAGTTACTAGCATACTAAATCTACAGATTTGTAATCCGACATTCAATCACTATTCATTACAGTTAAAAAGGAACATGATGAACTAGATCTAAGTTAAATTAGAATCTAGATCTAGCTAGATTTATTCACAAGTATAGTAACTGCAGACACCTAGATCTATAACTGTTTAAGATAGATTGTTTGGCAATGTTTGTACTTTTCTAGATCTAGGCACTTTTCATTTTATTTAATTAAATATTAACTTAATACCATATTATTATTAATAAATATCACTACTATTATTACTAGATCTACTATTAAATTGAATTGATTGTAACCAACAACATGATTTTCATTTAAATTTAATTTTAAACAATAATATAAAAATATAGACTTTTAAGACCTAATTATAGGACTACTACATTAAAGATCTAGATTACTAGTTACCTCGATCTATTGACAAATCATTAAATAAGGAACCCGGTTTGTTGAGTAGCCGGTACAACTTTGTTCATGATTCTGACTAGCAGTGTTTCTTCCAGACTTTTTTTTTACGGGGAGGGGGGGAGGGCACTTGAAATTTTCGAGGGGGGGGGGGGGGGGGGAAGCGGACACTAACTAACCAACTCAGAGTGAACATTGCGTCAGTTTTTAGATGATGGTTCTAAACATACATATACAATTATACATATATAGGCCTACTGATTCAGAAATAGATTTAAGTAACAGTGGTATTATGACAGTAAAAAAATGTACAGAGGGGTCCATGGGGGGGGGGGGGTTGTAACCCCCCCGCCCCCCATCTCCCCCCCCCCTCTGCCTACGCCACTGTGTGTAGGTGTTTTTATTTTTATGTCACACGAATGACCTGCATTGTTTTTCAAAACAATGTAAGGTGTATTTTTTAATAAACTTATTGTAATTGTATGAAAATATCCTCATTTGGTTTGTAAAATACTAGCTGGCAACTACGAGAACTTGGTGACCTATTTACATAGAAACGGGAATTTCCGATTGCTAAAATTGACGCTGGACCGTGAAGTGGATATAAACAAACAAACGCGGAAGTTGTGAGCCGAACGGTCCAGTCTTACCGTTAAAAATATTCAGGAAAATTATAAACATTGATACTGACCGCTTCTTTCTCGTTTTGACTTCCCTCTTTTCTTTTTCCTTTCGGTATGATCGTTGACAGCCTGTAAATGCTTTTTTCTATTATTATTTTCTATTATTAGATTTATGGCGTGTCGGTTTGTGATTGGTTATCGCAATCGCTTTCTAAGTTAAAGTTGGGCTGTCCATTGGTTATCGTGGACCGAAGCTTTGAAGTTCGGCTGAAAGACACGTCGACTATCGACTTATAAATGAAGTAATGTTTCATCATCCCTTAGTCTAGATCTAAATAAAAATAATCTATATGTAACACGTTGAAAAACATTATGCTTTATTTTGTAAAGATTTTCATTTTTTTAAAGTACCCCTGAGGCCTACTATTGTAAGCAAAAATATTATTTAACCTTGTTAAATTGGAGGCTTATAGTCTAGGCCTAACGGTACTTAATAATTTTATTTTTAACATTATTGTTATTGTTGCAATTAGGGTACTAGATCTATGTATTTAAAAATCTTTGAAGCGAGGCATAGAAACAAATAGCTGCCATGTTTTTTGTTATCAATGGGAATTATGTTCAAAACAATTAATTTACTTCGAAATTTGTTCTCTCTCCCTGGCTAACGAGATTTCACATTTTAAGCGAGAGATACCGAGACTTACAAGCCCTTATAGGTGTTGTAAGTAGGTAACCAACTTCTCGGTCTTCTACTTACCAACTAGTATTTTTCAAACTAAATGTGAATAATTTTATTTAATCGGTAAAAAATAAATCTATATTTAAGTTATTTAAAATCTTAAACACGGATAATGATAGACTTCAAGATGTAGCCTAACTTAAAGAGAAATATCATCATCATTCCTTTGTGGCCCTAGGGAGCAAAGGGCTGCCACGACACATCTCCAGCGGACTCGGTTTTTGGCTGCCCCCTTTATCTGTGCCCATGTGAGCCCAGCTGTTTTCGCCTCTTCTTCAACCGTTCTTCTTCTCCATGTCTTCCTTGGCCGGCCCACGCTCCTTTATCTAGGTTAAATAATGATATTTTTAAGAAGCGCGCAGATATTTATTATCTATTCCAAGTTATACTAACATAATTATAATATTAATATAATATTAGCCTTGGCCTACCTGTACTTAATATGATTAATTTATGATTAACATTTTTCTAATTAAAACGCCGTTGGACGTGAAAATACCGCAAACAACATATTTAATATATAAGTTTTTTAAAAAAATGGGTTTATTTATATAGCTAGTAATTTTGTAAAGTAAATTTTCAGAATTTAAAAATAAATAAATTAAAATACATCTAAATAACAATCTAAATTACAAAGATAAATCAAAATATTTATCTCATTCTCTGGTTAGACTATTTCTCTTAATGTTGGTCCATTTGTAAAGTCACCTTGTGCTGGTCAATGCAGCGGCGTATTGAGGCCGGATGTCACCCGGTGCGGCACTTAATGGTGTCACCCCACAGAGGCGTAGCGACCATTCCCGGGGACAAACTTTCAAATTTTCGATTTGCACCCCCCCCTCAAACATTCGATATTGGTCATATGGCGTTCGTGTGTGAGGTGGGGCGTCATCCCCTGGTCCTAAGGTGCCCCCACTACCTGTCTCTAGAGGGTGTAACACAGAACTCGTGGCCCGCCTGTATGCTGTTGTTTGTATGTGTGCTCGTATTTGTCTGTATGAATTTTTTACGTATTTTTCTTTTCCCACCAGCTCCATACACTGATAGACTTTACAATTTTTTCTCCTCAATGGACCACCACCAAGCAACGACAATACAACTAAACTGACCACTCTACTAAACTGACAACTCTATTAAACTGACAACTCTATTAAACTGACAACTCTATTAAACTGACCACTCTACTAAACCGACCACTCTACTAAACTGACCACTCTACTAAACTGACAACTCTACTAAACTGACCACTCAACTAAACCGACTACTCTACTAAACTGACCACTCTACTAAACTGACAACTCTACTAAACTGACAACTCTACTAAACTGACAACTCTACTAAACTGACCACTCTACTAAACCGACCATTCTACTAAACTGACCACTCTACTAAACTGACCACTCTACTAAACTGACAACTCTACTAAACTAAAAACTCTACTAAACTGACCACTCTACTAAACCGACAACTCTACTAAACTGACCACTCTACTAAACTGACCACACTACCAAACTGACCACACTACCAAACTGACCACACTACCAAACTGACACACTACCAAACTGACCACACTACTAAACTGACCACACTACCAAACTGACCACACTACCAAATTGACCACACTACCAAACTGACCACACTACCAAACTGACTCTTCTACTAAACTGACCACAGTGCACAACTGACCACACTAATTAACTGACCACACTACTAAACTGACCACACTACCAAATTGACCATACTACCAAACTACTACCAAACTAACCACATCCCCGAACTGACCACACCACCAAACTGACCACCGACAAAGCTAACCTTCCCACCATGGTGAGTGCGTAACACCGTGATTAGTGTCTTCAAATCCTCTGCTAGTGGGAATCGAACTCATATCTTCATGTATCCATGTACAGTGACCTACTGGACGTAGGTATTAGCTGTGTACTATATGTCATGAAAAAACCATTCTATAATAAAAAGTTTTTAAACGTTCCAAAACACATTTATCAAGATGTAAAGTAATAACAAATAGTAGCTAAAATGTGGGTTGAATATTACTTCATCCACCGAAGATTTTAATTAAAAAAAAACTTTATGAAAAATGAATAGGACTAGTACGAGTGAAGCATCGTACACGTTTTGTTTTGGCCTAATTTGAACGTGAACTCTACTTCCACTGCTATTCGGACCGCTTGTTGCGCAAGTTTTTTAAATGTAATTTCCTCAACACGCAAACAGAACCATTGATTAACAATCACTGAAAATAACAATTAAAAAGATAAAAAAAAACAAGGTTAACATTTTTAAAAATAATTTATTTGGAACAGGATTTGGTTCTCAAATTGAAATTGAATTTTTTTTTAAAACGTGCTAACAGTGAAGTTCAAAATTTTTGACAAATGCATTTTTTTGAAACTCTCAAATATAATCCAAGTCACCGATCTTAATTAAGATGTTTTTATTTAATTATTAGATTTTAATGACCTTGAACAGATCGACCATAACGCAGCAAGGTCGCGCCACTGTTTTCTAGTTTCCGGTTGGGTACGAGTTTGGTGCCAAATGGAGCGTATCTTGTCTGAACGTTGACCCGCGACCACCCCCGCTTGCTGTAGCCGTTAAGCTTGGCCTGCAGTCTCTCGAGCAGGTCAGCGAGAATGTACTTTAAATCGTTGTCTCGCGACTCTTGCATGGCCCACGAGAAAGCCCGAGAGATGGAGTTGAAAATCTCGCGGCCCATTTTGGGGTCGACTTGGTTGAGCACGTCGAACTTGTCCACAAACGGCTGGTTGATGTCGTCGAATTTCTCGCTGATTTTGTCGCCGTCGGCCCTCGGCTCCAGGTCGTCCACCACCTCGGAGTCCCGGAAGTCGAAACGAGCGGGCTCCGCGCCCACTTCCGGCTGAGGGTAGGCCACGCCCCCGTGATGGCAGAGTGAGACGCCACAGATAAGTAACACTGCTAAGGCCTGTTAGGGAAGAACAAAGTAAAATGTTAATTAGCAATCAAAGATAGTAATTAATTAAGGTGAATTAAATATTTCATAAATCAAAGATTGGGGAAGGTAGAAAAAACCACTCAAATAACAAATAATAGAACAAGTTACACATACTTCAATAAGTACTGAATTTAACATGGTATGCTTTTAGTTTTCTTTCATGTTAATTATTTGGTTTCCACAGAACATCTACAAGGCGGACCTTGTTTTGTTTATTTTGGAGTTATCTCTCCTAGATGGGTTGCTGTAACGAGCCTCATCAAAAAGTGTCACCACTATCACACATGTCCTAGTCACCACTACCACACTTGTCCTAGTCACCACTACCACACATGTCCTAAAGTCACCACAACCACACATGTCCTAAAGTCACCACTACCACACTTGTCCTAAAGTCACCACTACCACACATGTCCTAGTCACCACTACCACACATGTCCTAAAGTCACCACTACCACACATGTCCTAGTCACCACTACCACATATGTCCTAAAGTCACCACTACCACACATGTCCTAAAGTCACCACTACCACATATGTCCTAAAGTCACCACTACCACACAAGTCCTAAAGTCACCACTACCACATATGTCCTAAAGTCACCACTACCACACATGTCCTAAAGTCACCACAACCACACATGTCCTAAAGTCACCACTACCACACATGTCCTAAAGTCACCACTACCACACATGTCCTAAAGTCACCACTACCACACATGTCCTAAAGTCACCACTACCACACATGTCCTACATCAAGTCACCACTACCACACACGTCCTAAAGTCACCACTACCACACATGTCCTAAAGTCACCACTACCACACATGTCCTACATCAAGTCACCACTACCACACACGTCCTAAAGTCACCACTACCACACATGTCCTAAAGTCACCACTACCACACATGTCCTAAAGTCACCACTACCACACATGTCCTAAAGTCACCACTACCACACATGTCCTACTTCAAGTCACCACCACCACACATGTCCTAAAGTCACAACTACCACACATGTCCTAAAGTCACCACTACCACACATGTCCTAAAGTCACCACCACTACCACAATGTCCTAAAGTCACCACTACCACTCATGGCATAGTCCCCACTACCACACACGTCCTAAAGTCACCACTACCACACATGTCCTAAAGTCACCACTACCACACATGTCCTAAAGTCACCACCACTACCACACATGTCCTAAAGTCACCACCACTACCACACATGTCCTAAAGTCACCACCACTACCACACATGTCCTAAAGTCACCACCACTACCACACATGTCCTAAAGTCACCACCACTACCACTCATGGCATAGAGTCCCCACTACCACACACGTCCTAAAGTCACCACCACTACCACACATGTCCTACATCAAGTCACCACTACCACACATGTCCTACATCAAGTCACCACTACCACACATGTCCTAAAGTCACCACTACCACACATGTCCTAGTCACCACTACCACACATGTCCTAAAGTCACCACTACCACACATGTCCTACATCAAGTCACCACTACCACACATGTCCTACATCAAGTCACCACTACCACACATGTCCTACATCAAGTCACCACTACCACACATGTCCTAAAGTCACCACTACCACACATGTCCTAAAGTCACCACCACTACCACACATGTCCTAAAGTCACCACTACCACACATGTCCTAAAGTCACCACTACCACACATGTCCTACATCAAGTCACCACTACCACACATGTCCTAAAGTCACCACTAGCACTCATGGCATAGAGTCCCCACTACCACACACGTCCTAAAGTCACCGCTACCACACATGTCCTAAAGTCACCACTACCACACATGTCCTACATCAAGTCACCACTACCACACATGTCCTACATCAAGTCACCACTACCACACATGTCCTAAAGTCACCACTACCACACATGTCCTAAAGTCACCACTACCACACATGTCCTAAAGTCACCACTACCACACATGTCCTAAAGTCACCACCACTACCACAATGTCCTAAAGTCACCACTACCACTCATGGCATAGTCCCCACTACCACACACGTCCTAAAGTCACCACTACCACACATGTCCTAAAGTCACCACTACCACACATGTCCTAAAGTCACCACCACTACCACACATGTCCTAAAGTCACCACCACTACCACACATGTCCTAAAGTCACCACCACTACCACACATGTCCTAAAGTCACCACCACTACCACACATGTCCTAAAGTCACCACCACTACCACTCATGGCATAGAGTCCCCACTACCACACACGTCCTAAAGTCACCACCACTACCACACATGTCCTACATCAAGTCACCACTACCACACATGTCCTACATCAAGTCACCACTACCACACATGTCCTAAAGTCACCACTACCACACATGTCCTAGTCACCACTACCACACATGTCCTAAAGTCACCACTACCACACATGTCCTACATCAAGTCACCACTACCACACATGTCCTACATCAAGTCACCACTACCACACATGTCCTACATCAAGTCACCACTACCACACATGTCCTAAAGTCACCCCTACCACACATGTCCTAAAGTCACCACCACTACCACACATGTCCTAAAGTCACCACTACCACACATGTCCTAAAGTCACCACTACCACACATGTCCTACATCAAGTCACCACTACCACACATGTCCTAAAGTCACCACTAGCACTCATGGCATAGAGTCCCCACTACCACACACGTCCTAAAGTCACCGCTACCACACATGTCCTAAAGTCACCACTACCACACATGTCCTACATCAAGTCACCACTACCACACATGTCCTACATCAAGTCACCACTACCACACATGTCCTAAAGTCACCACTACCACACATGTCCTAAAGTCACCACTACCACACATGTCCTAAAGTCACCACTACCACACATGTCCTAAAGTCACCACTACCACACATGTCCTACTTCAAGTCACCACCACCACACATGTCCTAAAGTCACCACTACCACACATGTCCTAAAGTCACCACTACCACACATGTCCTAAAGTCACCACCACTACCACAATGTCCTAAAGTCACCACTACCACTCATGGCATAGTCCCCACTACCACACACGTCCTAAAGTCACCACTACCACACATGTCCTAAAGTCACCACTACCACACATGTCCTAAAGTCACCACCACTACCACACATGTCCTAAAGTCACCACCACTACCACACATGTCCTAAAGTCACCACCACTACCACACATGTCCTAAAGTCACCACCACTACCACACATGTCCTAAAGTCACCACCACTACCACTCATGGCATAGAGTCCCCACTACCACACACGTCCTAAAGTCACCACCACTACCACACATGTCCTACATCAAGTCACCACTACCACACATGTCCTACATCAAGTCACCACTACCACACATGTCCTAAAGTCACCACTACCACACATGTCCTAGTCACCACTACCACACATGTCCTAAAGTCACCACTACCACACATGTCCTACATCAAGTCACCACTACCACACATGTCCTACATCAAGTCACCACTACCACACATGTCCTACATCAAGTCACCACTACCACACATGTCCTAAAGTCACCACTACCACACATGTCCTAAAGTCACCACCACTACCACACATGTCCTAAAGTCACCACTACCACACATGTCCTAAAGTCACCACTACCACACATGTCCTACATCAAGTCACCACTACCACACATGTCCTAAAGTCACCACTAGCACTCATGGCATAGAGTCCCCACTACCACACACGTCCTAAAGTCACCGCTACCACACATGTCCTAAAGTCACCACTACCACACATGTCCTACATCAAGTCACCACTACCACACATGTCCTACATCAAGTCACCACTACCACACATGTCCTAAAGTCACCACTACCACACATGTCCTAAAGTCACCACTACCACACATGTCCTAAAGTCACCACTACCACACATGTCCTAAAGTTACCACTACCACACATGTCCTAAAGTCACCACTACCACACATGTCCTACATCAAGTCACCACTACCACACATGTCCTACATCAAGTCACCACTACCACACATGTCCTAAAGTCACCACTACCACACATGTCCTAACGTCACCACTACCACACATGTCCTAAAGTCACCACCACTACCACACATGTCCTAAAGTCACCACCACTACCACACATGGCATAGAGTCCCCACTACCACACATGTCCTAAAGTCACCACTACCACACATGTCCTACACACATACACCCAACTGTCTTTTCTTGACCCACCCCTTCTAGAGCTTAAGAAAAATAAATTTTTCGCACAGATTCCAATTTCAAACATAAATCAATTGATAATTGGATCAAGTTCTAGTAAAAATTAATTACCGTAAAAACGCATCAGATGTAAAATTGAAAAACTATAAAAAGTTAAGTATTTATATGCTTGTGTTTACAAGCATTATAAAAAAACCATAAAAACATTTTTTCGCTGAGAGAAAAGACACGCATCAACACACAGAGAAACTATGGAGATATGATTGAATACATATTGAGCGGGGTGGTGACCGACAGAAGGGGGGGGGGGGGGATTGGGGGGGGGGATAATGGAGATTGAAGTACTTTACCAGCTTTTATAATGCAATATATATATATATATATATATATATATATATATATATATATATATATATATATATATATATATATATATACTATCAATCACACTTTACACACGAATTATAGGCCTATATTTTTTTAAATGTTATGCTTGTTTGAGAAAAATATTTTATAGCGTAGACTACCAATACCATATTGAATGGGAGGGGGGGGGGGGTTAGGGGCAGGCGGTGGTCACATTAACAAATCCATACCATCTATCACATCTATCATCAAACAATTGGGGCCATCTCACCTGCAGCAAACTTTTAAAGTAGTCTGAGTGAGTGTATTGATGGTTAAGGTAATGGGGCTTGTAAGTCTCGGTTT